TGATAGGTTCCACAGTCCCCCCCATTCTGCCAAGAAAATATTACGAAGCTGTGCCCCTAATCTGTCACGAGCGCTTTTCTTCAAGATATGGACGTACGCTAGGACACGTATTTGGTTTAGCTCCGTGCCTTCTCGTCTACCCCACACCCCGGACAATGGATCACCTTCGATCTATACAAACTGAGAGGGCGGCATGCATTCATCTTCTGAAGCAGACCGATTCCGTTCTTCTCCTTTCCAACCCATGAATGACCATGGTGCAACAATCTTTCTTGAGTTGTCCGCCTACCAAGTTCCACGTTCTGCAAGTCCAACAGGCGCGATTTTATTGCCCCCCCCCCCAAAACTTGCTGCGTTCAAAACGATATAGTTAAACCCATGGGTCTTCGATGGAAAGTTCCTCGCCTGGAAAATTTTAATCTCCGCTCCTTTCAAAGATTTCATTAGTTCTCACTCGTCGCCATGCCCACTCTTCCTCAAACAAACACCACATCGACGTCTCCTGAATATATCAGGATCCATGCAAACGGTGAAAACAATGCCCAGTGCCTCCTCTTCAACATCCTAATGCTTTTTCTTGCCGTCGCAACCCTTGTGGTTGAATTCCTACATTTCCGACTTAAGCAGCGGAAGCGTTTTGAGAAACGGACTCAAGGTCTCAGTCTCGAACGACTCACAGAATGCACCTGTCCAGACACGTCTCGCACAGACTGTCAGGGTGTCTCATATATGCTGTCCAAGAAAATGAAGCCATCAATATGTAAGAGGCTGACCTTGAACAGCTTACGAAAGAAGCTCCACACTAGTTAAAACTTTCGATTCTAGTAGGAAGATGAACGAGCTTAACGCTCGGTGGGGGAGTGACGAGAGACTCCTAAGCCAGGCCACCTCTTCCAGCCGGGAGCTAAAACCCATGACATGTCCGAGATCATTCTTATGCCTCATAGCAAGTTATAGAGTATTCAGGATCATAATAGCCCGAGGTGGAGTCCAGTGATGCCTTCGCCCTAGCCTTGTGCCTTACATAGCCAATTGGGCCCTGAAACGTAATCGAATTCCTCCCTAACCACCTAGTCACTGATAAGAGCACATCGGAAACCCATCCTAGGCGGTCGAAGGCCTTTCTTATTCCACGTGCCTTCCACGGGCCATGATTGCGGTTGGGGTTGGTAAGTTTATACTCCTGCTTGTCTAGTTGACACTCCGCGACAAAGATTGCTCTCTCCCAAGCACCATACGAATATGGCGTTCTTTCCAGCTGAGCGGCCTATCTGTACCTAGCGTGCGCAATGTCAAGGAGCCATGGCATTGGACGAGAGTGAGGCGCACTCGTTCCCCAGATCGTTTCCTATCAACTTTTCCCCCAGTTTAGTCGATCTTCTGCCGACTTGGACAGATATGAGATTGTGGGGAATGATTTGCGAGGGTCATTATTTACAGCATAAAACCGCCGCTTGGAGTTCCGATAATTGTCTCCTCTCAACTTTCAGGCGCTCCGCTAAATCAAGCCTTGTGTGCAATTTCAAAGCATGCCAGCCATTTTTCAAACCTGCACGAGGTATATTTCTCCTCTACCGCCTGTAGGTTTGTCGGTACCTTCGCAGTTGGACAAGTAAAAACACTGACAATTCTCTTCAACATCGAATCCATTCTTTTTACAGCTTCACTCTTTGCGGCATATCTCCACTTCAGACACCAAAAACAGGGAGATAGGGGACCAATTATCGAGGGGGCCAATTCGCCACACACCCAGAGGTTTTACTATCTATTTAGAGTTGTAATGTTAACAATGATGACCAGATACCCTTCCAACCTCGACTACATGCCTAGATTTCCCAGGAAATCGTAACCAAGAGAAGTGAGGTATTGATACTGGATACACCCAGTCCACCAGCGGCGGTATCAAAAGGCGCGAAACCACAAGAGATTAAAGAAGTGCTTGAGAAACTGGAGGTGAATTTTGACACTCTAAGTCGACGATTAGAATCACTAAGTCTTTGGAATAAATAAGGAGGCGAAATTTGAGAGGTCTCTAGACAGTGAGCCTATGGCTCTGGCTTTTCCGTGAAACCAGGGGTGTCAGCAGTCCAGGTCCACGGGCGAGGAAGGGAGAAGGTCTTAATAGAGGAATGTTGTGATCTGTGGACACCGGAAGTGTTCCATGTACCTACAGCAAAAGGTAAGAATGAAGACCATTGGTGGTGAAACCTATCTACGAACCGTAATCAGTCCCCTAATTCCATACTCCAGACGGCTGGCGAAGTCACTCTCCCCTACTGACAAAACCCAAAAGGCATATAAGTGAAGAACGCTATAATGTTCTTTGTGTATCTCCAGCTCACGCTTTGTAAGAGAGTCTTCCAGGTAGCGCTTAGCAACAGTCCCACTCTGGCCTTTGTAGTGATAGAGTAATTGCTCAGCCCAAACACGACCTTTTACTTCATCAGTATTGATGTGGGCTAGTATCAACGGGAACGAGTTGTATCCTGTATTGTGGTCCACTAGGTTCAGCAGCGTGATTTATGGTTAACCAAAGTACCATTGAAGCGGATCGCTTGTTCCAGTGTCTCTCCAGAGAATGTGCACGCATTTTGGAGCTCCTCAGGGTTGCAAATCGGGGTGCATGACGTGACGACTGTGTGTATGTCCAGAAAATGCTCGTCGCGTCCAAGAGCCATAGATTAACGGTAGCCGCGTGTTGTTGTACACCCTGCCTTAAACGGTTGGGAGCACCCATATTCTATGGCTTCATCCTTCAAGGAACGAGGCCTTTGGAGCCGATTCCTTGCATTCTCCACGTGCAGGTGGAGGACGCAAGTCAAGTCCAACGAGGCAGAGTATTCTGTGCTTGCGGGCAGTAGGCGTGGCAGTGCATATCTCAATAGAGCTCGAAGGCCAGAGATCCGTCCGTAGCTTGGCATGTTCAAGCGCAAATCCTTCGAGGCATCAACCAGTCGCTGTTCCAAGGGACAATACGGGGCCTTGAAACAAAAAGATTCCGGATCTGGCTAAATGAAGAGCGAGACGTGCATGAGCGTGCTTTGGCCACCAAGCGGATACGAGAATGCACGTAGTGTACATGGTCGGTGCACTGCAAGGGTGCGCGGCAATTGTCAGCTTGTGAACTAAACCGATTTTTGTCTTTCTTTACATACAAATTTCAGTACTTTGTGTGACCGCCCTGGGTATTAATCACAGCCTAACATCTCTCTAGCATACTTGCAATAAGCTCCTTAAGAAGCCCATTAGCAATTAAGTGCAAAGCTTCCTATACTATACTACGTAGTTCTTCTTAATATAGTCCTTTATCTTATTCTAAACTGTTTTAATTAGATTAAGATTAGATAAGAACGCTAGCTAAGTAATAGGATAGATTGTTCTCTTAAAAGCTTTGGAATTATATAGGCTGCAGTATGCGCTGGAGCCCCATCCTGCATAAATTGTAGCTAAGGATTTATACGCAACTAGCTATTAACAAGCAGGACAACCTGCTTATAATAGCTCTCCTTGTTAATACTCTTCTACTCCTTTTTCTAGAACAGGCAAGGACCTTTCTAGGACCTAGAGAAGCTGCTCTAGAACATTTAGCCTTATTTCCTACAAAGCTTCTCTACTATACAGGTCTTATTAAGCTCCTCTCTAGGCCTCCTTATTACCCACTTCTTCCTGTGCCTGCTGCTAGTGACCTATGTCTTATCACTCCATAGAATCATCTTCCACTGGCTAGGCTGCCAGTTAACATGATCCTGTGCCCACTAGTATTAAGCCTACTTATTAGCATTAGAGAGAGGAGGCTTAGCTAGAGCTACTTAGCGTAAATACTCTCTCTTGCAAAGAGCATAGCAAATAGTGTATTGTTACAATCCTTGCTTCGTGAAGCACTCGGGTCTGGTGATGTTCCTAGGTGGGAAGTAGGACGGATAGTAGGGGCCAATCCGGTAGGGTGTACAGTCCTACGTACAGGCTATTGGGCTAATGGAGGGTGTTATAGGGAGACCGGATCGTGGTTTGCCCTTAATGCGGCAGTAGGGTGGCCGGGTCAAACGGTCCTTGCGGACAGGGTTGGAGGTATATATGGTGCAAGATATACAGATAGTATTACAGCTCTTCGGAAAGCTGAATGCTACTCAGTCTATGTAAGAATAAACTAAACGTTGAACACGCCTCCCAAAGGTTGTTCAATGTGGAAACTATATACATGTGTGGGGGACGCCAAGGCGAGCTGGACGAGCCCACACGAGCCTGCCAAGCAGGGCTCGCTGAGCTCCCCTGGGCTCGTGGGATTCGCGTCCTATCTTCCTATTGGACGACGCATTCTTCCAAGGTCTCGGGTAGTCGTGCTACCTCCGCGTCCTCCGCTTGGTCTGTAAGCGAGTCCTGCTCCAACCGTACCATATTGTGGAGCATCCTAGGTGGAGTTACGCTGGTCCAACCGTAGACCGTAACATGTATTTGCCAACGCTAAAGTGTGCAAATAGACTATTAGTAGGGTCTTAAAAGCTTATCTACTGTAAAGCTTGTAATTAAGTAACATATGCTATAAGCTTGTTAACTTAAGTATTGCTAAGCTCTAAGAGTTAACTAGATTGTTATTTTAGCGTAACGCGTTTACAGGCAATTGCGTAGGCAACCTGTCTATAAGTGACTTTAAGGAGGTCTGTAATAAACTGTTGTGTATGACTAGCTAGACGTAGGGTCTGCACTTGGAGGCGTTTGTCGCGAGAGAGGTATCAGTGGCGGGGGGTGGATGGTGGAGGCATCTTGATCATGTGGATAGAGAGCGCATTGTTGACTGAGAGACTCAGGTACGCGACTTTGCATACAAAATTATATAGTATTAGGTGTATTTTTGTCAATAGGGGAAGTTTGTATTCTCCGTCGCGCACCCCTGCAATGCACCGACCAGGTGCACCTTGCGCCACAGTAACCGTACCCTGGGAGCAAAAGGTCAGCCTTTTTGTTCGCTCTTGGGGATTGTACTGCTTATAATAAGGACAGTCCTTTCGTGCTTCCGTTCGACTCAACTCAGCATCGAATTAACCTTCCGTCATTTAGCCTTCGTCTTTAGCTCGTTCCCAAAGCCCCACTCGTGGCGACCATGCCTGCCGTGTGGACTAATAGTACCTCAACGCCACCCATTGGATCGATAGCCAATCAAGATCAAGGCTCGTTTCAGTCAATCTTCTTCAACATACTCTCCATATCGTTCGCCGCTGCGTCGGTGGTGATTGCATATCTCCATCTTCGAGCAGCACGTCAAGAACAAATAAGACAACATGATCCAGTGAATGAAGATGCCTCGGAGCACACAGACAGTGCTCGAAGAATCGGAGGGCAAGGTATGTTTTCAGTTTGAAAAAACAATAAGAAGAATATAACTTAAAAGCGTGCAGAACATCGTTTAGAAGTCCAGTCGGAGGATATAGAGACAGGAAGCATGTCCTCTATTGCAGTCGATGAGATATTTGGGACAGAGGTGAGTTTGTTGTGGGATAAAACCAAGGAACCGATGTATGTTTACTGAGTGTGCCGAGGATATCCAGGTAATGGGACAATGCGGCGTTATTGATATATGCTATGCCTGTCGGACTCGGTCAGAAGGCGGTCTACGTTGCACAGGTGACATGGGCAAGGTTTGATATAACAGGACTTACATTCTGCATGCTCCCGAATCGCCTTCTTCCTGTTCAGAATTGGCGAATGAGGCCTCTTCGATACTACCAAACCGTCTAACACGGTTCGTCAACCTTATGTCGTACAGCACCAACGGGCGTGAACAGTCGGAAATATGTTAGAGGAATTGGACATTTTCAACTAATGCTTCTTGAAATTATAGTCGAATGGAAGTTTGGGGGCAACGCGCCCTTCTTTTTCAACCGTCGTGTGCCCCAGTCTCTGCCTCTACCGCTCATGAGATGTCAGTCTAATTAAGTGAAATCCGAAGAGACCGACCCTCAATAGCAAAACAGACTCTTCTTAGGCCTTTTACTAGCTGTGTTCCTTTTGAGCCGAAAATTCCAAGGTATTTGGAACCAACCTTGCACGATGCTGGCATCTCCATCATTTATCAATACAGCCAATCCTCTACCTCAGGTCCCCTAATCAAGATCTAGTCCCAGCGAACCCAGGATACAAAGCATCCTCTTCAACACAATCTTGATCGCCCTCGCCACGGCATCGCTGATGGTCGCTTTCCTCTCCTTCAGATATTAGCAAATAGGAGCTGCTCATAACCCTCTTGGTGATGTGTTTCACTGTCTAGTATACTTCCGTATATTGATGGGACGCTATGTAGAAAGATAGAGTAACATTGCTGAGAATCACGTAGCGAATGTTGTCGACTACCTACGAAAACCGGTTCTCAGACAAAGAGATGTTGGTGGTGCAGTTAGCATGGTGCAGTGCACGGAGATCCATGAGAGGACAACGGGGTCATCGAGCTGCAAACCGTGACGAACAATGAGCGAGATTATTGCCTGGATACGCCCATTGATGAAGAGGATGAAGGAAAGGAGCGTGCAGGAAGGAGCTGATAGCTACTCGGTAGATCTATGTAACTGAACGAAGCCAGAAGAAGGTAATTCGCCTAGCACTGTATTCCTGGGTCTGATCTCCTTATCCATGTTCTAATTTGTGATAGTAATGATCCTTACGGGTGGCCTTGGCTAATCCGGCGCTACCCCTCAGCCTTCCATGATTTCTGTAGATAAGGCAGGAGACGAAGTTTCCAGGCTTGCAATTCGTGGAAAGATATTCAAAGCTGACAAATGGGCAATGAGACAATTAGGAGAACTGAGATTGTAGACGAAACGGAATGTTATTGTCTCTGGACATAAGAATTCAAGTCCTTGGCTGCGTTGCCACTGGATATTTTTGCTCAAAAAATGAAGTCCTTCCATGGCGCGATTGAAGCCCGTACTCGTTGGTATTTCATTTTTTTATGAGATCGTGTTCTTTGCGTCTGTCAATTCTCGTGCACCATGCAACGTACCTTGGGAGACAACACGCTTCATTTATCTAACTCGACACAAGGAGAAAACAGCCCTGATTCATCTCTGGATCGCAACATCGACGTACTCGTCATTAGCGTTGGATTGGCAGGCTGATATTTGCTCCACACTCTTCGAAGCGCGTGCTTCGGCGTCAGAGTTGTAGAAACAGGTTCTGATCTCGGCAACATTTGGCATTAGAACTGTTACCCTGGCGCGAGGATGGATTCGCAATGGCGCATTTACGCATTGTGCCTGTCCGACGTATATGAAGACTGGACCTGGGGTGAGCATTATCCTGGCTATGAAGAGCTACAAGGATACTGTGGAAATATTGATGAGAAGCTGAATCTGAAGAAGGACATCAAGTTCTACAAGAAGTTAGTCAGCGCTGATTGGGATGAGTTAGAAAGGGGTAGAACGTACGATGTAACATTGGTTATTTAGTACAGGCCAGATTCCTTGTGGCAGTTATCGGATTGGGGCGAAACAATATTTTCCTCCGTGGAAGGACTTGGACAGCTTCAAAGGGACAATTCGCCATTCCAGCTCCTAGCCGAAGGAGGGCATTGACGTGCGCAGGAAGAGAATGGCCGTGGTTGGGAAGGGGCCACGGGGATATAAATCACACAAGAGTGTTCGAGAGAGGTGGGCGAGTACGGATCTCTGGTTGTGCCCCAGTGAACACACAATCTATGCCACCTGATAGGGAAGAAGAAGATCACGAATGAGGAGGGTGAGAAGATGAAGAGAGACTTTCGGGAGACTTTCGAAGAGACTTACCCATGAAGCTAGCTTCATGTACAGTTCGAAAAAGGAGCTGAATATGTTTGAGCACTTAAAAGAGAAGAGGGAGTAGTTTTTTGAGGAGCTGTGGGAGTTGGTGAGTTAAGAGTTCCTTCCATTTCGAGGTGCGCCTGCCCCAGTCAAATAGTCACAAAGTGAATGCAGCAGGGTGCCTTACGATTCCTCGCTAACTCACACGGCGACATGATGGTCGACGGGAAAGCAAATGAGGGGGCATACAACTTCAGGGTGAGGAAGGCCCGGGCCAGTATCCATGATCTGAGGAAGCGAGATGCAGTTGCGCCAGTGAAACTGCCTCACCTCTTTGGGCGAAAAGAGTGTCCGTAGAATAAGGCTTTACGAGTAGTTCGACAAACCGAATATCGGCGTCATTGATATCAAAGTCAACCTCATAGACGCTGTCGTGCCTGAGGGCATCCAAACGCCCAACGACATGGTGTACAGGTCTGATAGCATCACGCCTGTTACTGGATTCGATAGCATCACCGGTGGCTTGAATTATATTGACATCAGAGGTACCAAGGGGGAGCTCCTCAGAGGGAGAAATGAGATAGGGGCATCTGGACCTAGCTCGGGATGGCCACATCATCGTTTCCAAACTTCTTCTTTCTGTGTGGTCCCCGGGGGATGACGTTCCCTCTTGAATGGCCCAAACTGCGTCGATCCCCAAGCCGACTGGCTGCTGGAGGTGTTACAATTCATGAAAAGTGAAAGAAAGGAGAAGCTTGATGTTACGACGGCGGCAGAGTTGGAGTGGAGACAGCTGGTGCATGATTTCAGTGCTTAGACGCTTCGTCACCATACCAACAGCTGGCATAATATTCCCGGAAAACCCGGGGCCTTTCGGATTGTTTGTGCAGGATAAGGGAGGACCGGGAGAAAGGCATGATTGGGTTGAGGTGAGCTAAGTTAGGATGACGCCGCACGCATACATAGGCGCTTGGAGGCCATGAAATGTTAAACGTGATTTTTTTCTCCCTTTTTGATCCCACCGCCTATTGCTGTGCCAGAAATTCTGAGACTGAGCAAACAGGTGATGTTGCATCGGCCAGACTAGATAAGGCCAGTCTGCCGAATGAGTCTCGCCAGGGGCACGCTGAGAGAAACCTTGCGTGCGAAATGCGTAGCAACTGAGGCCCTGAGGCCCGAAAGGTCGTACGAATCCACATATGACGCGAACCGCCTAGGTCGATCGGATAGGAGAGTGAGAGTTGATTGCCTAGAAGGTGCTAATAGACAGAGAGGAAAGATTGTGGTCCGATAATGCTACACAGTAGATCTTCGAGACTTGTAACATGGAACATGGCCCAAGTTGCCGACATGTGGAGCACGGAAATGCGGGAGCCGCTCGTGCCACTCACCGAAGGCGCTAACATGTGCAGTTCTGTTAATAGTTCGCTTCACATCGTGAGATGCGCGCTGAGCCTCGCCGCTGTTGACGCCGAGCCTCGCCGTAGTTGGAGCTGGCGAAGTCAAAGAGAGAAGTTTACCGGTGAGGTTGGCGACGTGCGGGTCCCGAGATGAGGATGGCGACGGATGGTAATAGGGCCTTTACTTGATGAGACGAGCAATCTCTCCAGATACCCATGATGGCCCTGAAGCGGACAGAGAAGAGGAACAGGCTAGCGGGCTGCCGTTCTCAGGCTGGTGAGGCTTAACCCCAAACCTGGTGGAGCCAGCCCGCAGCCAATTGGCGCAGTGGGGTCGCTTCTCAAACGCGGAGGTTTTCTGGGCACGGAACTCGGGCAGCCGCCGTTGAGCGCAGGGCAAGTGCAGGCCAGGAGCGACTGACCACCAGGGCCGGGTCGCGGCTGCCAAAAGGAGCTCGCTCACTCTGCAATCCTTTTCACCAGTCGTGCCTCCTGTGCGGCGACCAAGAACACGTAGACGCCGTGACTTGGACATTCTCTTCTCGTCTCTCTCTTGCGCATCGCCCGCTATTCGTGCTGCGCGCCGTTTGCGATACCCCTCGCCCTGCAGCCTCACCCTGCAGCCTCGCGCCCCTCGCTCTTTCTACTCTGCGCAGTCCAACCGTCCAGGCAAAGCAGTCGCTGTTCACCGCGACTCCCACAACAGGAACGACAACAACATCAATTCCTGTCAATTGTCCCAATTCAAATACACCGCCCGTCGCTCTCGGTCTTATATCTGATCCCCTCCTCATGCCCATTTGCGCATTGTGTGCATCAGACAAGCCGTGCCCCAGCAGCCCACCCGCATCATGCGCACTGCGTAGCATTCCGGACCCCGACGTAAACGGACACGCTTCACACACTCCCTCGCCCTGACCTGCCCTGCCTTTAGCCTCTTCGCTCCGCCTCCACCTCAACACCACGCCCCTGTCGCTCTTTTGACTCTCTCCCGCTAGTGGTGTACAGCGGGACTGTCACCATCTCTCCACCAAATAACACTGCCATTGCGCCCATTGCGCCCATTGCCAGCTGCTCTAGATGTCCTAGCGACGTCGCTCTAGTCACTCATTTGCAACAACAGCTGGGCTGGACGAGACGGTTGCCGTTGAGCGGATACCCTACCTAATAATACCCAACAAAAACTCGCCATGGGGTGCTGCGGTGATCGCGAGAAGGGACTCACTGTCACCGAAGAGCAGAAGTGGGACTACATTGTACGTGCAGGAAGCTGGGTACCACGGAACAGCTGCTGACCCTTCACAGACACTCTCTGATTTCAAGTCCACCTCTTGCCTTGCCCCATTATCCTACGGCTGGCTATGGATTCTTGTCCTCGTCTCCATCGCCGTTTATGTTGCTGATGCGTTCACTGCCATCAGTCTCCTCGCCTTCAACAAGTGGTCAAGTCAGGTCAAGCCCAAAATCGAATTCGACATCGCCAAGTGGATCTTCGCCATATGCATTATCATCTCCTATGTTTTCCTAGCATACCGATGGATGAGGGCAATCCGCGTCATGCGCTCTGGTGGTATCGTGGAAAGCTATCTGGAACCGCTCGCAGCCATCTACCAGTGCATGCGCATCACAAAGAGCGGCCAAGGATGGAGGAGATTCTTAGTCTTCACCGAGTTGACGAGGAGTAAGAAGGGCGTTGACTATATTGCCCTATTCGTCTACTTCCAATTCAAAGGTATTGATCCGCACCACCAACGAATTCCTGCAGGCCGACTAACGAATACAGGTGCTCTGATCATTGTTGTTGCCCAAGGCCCTCGCATCGTCATCAACGCCTTCACTCTCTGGGCCGTCATGGAAGCCCAGATCATCCCCACCGGCGATCACGCAGCTCCCAAGGACCGATCGCCTGTGGCTCAATTTTTCATTAATATCGAAAACATGGCTGCTACTGGAAACAAACAAGAAACAATCATCTACTTCACCATGTTGTTTTCTTTGGTCATTTGGGTCATAGCAGCACTCTCTTTACTCTTCTCCGTCATTTTCTACATCTTCTTTTTGTGGCATATCATTCCAAGTTCAGATGGACGCCTATCCAAGTATTGCCGCAGGAAAATTGAGGGCCGACTGGAGAGAATCGTGAGCAAGAAAGTCAGGAAGGCACTAGAAAAGCAAGACCTTAAACGCAGGAAGGAAGAGCAAAAGTCCACAAAGAAAGGAGATGCTCCCTCGCAACGAGTGCCGACATTACCAAAGGTTGGAGGACCAGACGATGACACCTCTTCGGTATTCTCGATGGCGAGATCTGACACTCTGAGTACAACTACAACACTACCCTCCTACTCTTCGAACGGACCTTCTCGGATGAACACTACCAGCACCACAAGGACAGGTGGAATGAAACAGCCTTCTTTGCCGTCTTTGTTTGAACGACCGGCGCCATCCCGGACAAACACTGAGGCTTCTGCCTATTCAAATGCGAGCTACAGCTCCAATGCCCCGCTCCTAGGCCAGCCGGGGAGCATGGGTCTGTCCTCACCAATACCGCCGATGCCACCCGTCGATCGGAATGCTGATTACTTCAACCCACATGGAAACCGACCGGTACCCCAAGGTCTACCATCGCGGCCGTACTCTCCAATGTCTCAAGGTCGAGCATCCCCCCGACCACCTCGAAGCCCCCTTCCCCCAGTTAACACTGATTACTACGAGGGTCGTGTGTCTCCTTCTCCCCAGCTGATTTCCCCTCTGCCGAGTGATCCCCGTGGTCCGCCACCATCTCGTGGGAACACAAGCTTTAGCCCCAACGGCCGAATGCCCGGCCCTGGCAGGAATTTCGGCGCCCCGCGCAGTGACCGTACTTTCTCCCCATATGACAACCGAGGCCCAATCATAGGGCCGGCATACGAGATGTCACCTGTAGATATGACGCCTGTGGACAACAAAGTGCAGCATTCATACTCGGGCTCCAACGGCTCAGATGAATACAGAGCTCCTCAACTACCGTCTGCGCTTCGTCCTGGATCTCCAGCACAGACTCAAGCAATGAACAACAATTTTGCTTCACCACCTCCCCCACGCTCTATCACTGTACCACCAACGAATCCTCGTGCTGGACTGCCCGCTGCTTTACAGTCAGCCATTCAGCGCCGCGAGGCTTCTAACCCGCTACCAAACCGGAACATGAACGGGTCTGTACCACAACAACGCAGTGCCACGGCACCCATTCAACAACCTGGATGGGGTCAAGGTCCAGCCCCAAGGTCCAACACCACTCGCCCTGGGCCAACAAGCGGATATCCAGCCCACGGAATGGGGCAGCCAAGGGGCAGTGAGGATGGATGGTAGCACACATGAACTAATTTCAAAAGATGAATCTTTGGGGGTGAATGTGTAGCGGATGGATTTTCCTTTTTGTAATGACGACTTGATACCACGACGGGAGTTTTTTTTCTTTTCTTTTCCCAAGTTTCTTTACGGGGCATTATGTATACATTCAGCATCATGATGCGCTTGCTTTCATGCGCACCTGCATCTCCCCGCTCCTCCGATCGTGTTGAATGGGAGATGGAAGTCTCGACATGAGTATTGAGAGCCTTCCTTTCCATTAAGTTTATGAAATGACGTTGTTCGAGATACCCATGGGCCTCGGATGTCCAGTCGTTTCTGATGGCGTAGGGTTCGGGTGGTTGGATTTGTGGGGAATTTGCGCGTGTTCGGGGGCTCTAGATAGGAATTTGGGACGGATTGATGGTATGTGTGTATGAAAATGGATTTTGGCGAATTGAATTCAGAGCGATGATGATGACTTACAATCTGGGCTGTGCTTCACTGCTTTGATCCCGCCAGTTTCGACATGATGCTCTTCCAAGCCACATCCCCACCATCCTCAAACGTCACAAACAAATCCTGCTAATCTTGTGAGCTTGTGCTCCCAAATGTGGAAGTGAGACACCGGTGCAGGATCAGATCAGGTCGCCGCCTGTTTCGAAACAACGTTCCTTGGGCCACATCGTGCGGGGAGGGTGGAATGAGGTGCATGGCTTGGCGTTGATGCCATCGGTCCCATGTTAATTATATATTTCTTCGAGGGTTGGTGACAGTCTGTGTTGCGTAGGGAGAAAGTGTTGAAGCATGGCATGGGTTGGATGGGTGGGTGCGGACAAGTCGACTCTAGCCAAACTTGGCAAGCATGTGAGAAAGTAGTGGGGCTTAGGTGTTCAACTCGCGAGGGAACTCAAAAAGGGTGATTCCATACAAAAGCCAGGCGGAATTTGTAGACACAAGCTGGGACAATGCCTTCATCTCTCACCAGAAACATTAGGCATGAAGACTGAGGACCTGATGTTCCCTCAAACATTCTCTACAGGAAGGCCGTCGGAAATACATAAACGAACTTCAACTAAGCAAACTTGAGCGTTTGGGCCATGATGAGGTCAAGTAATAGACGTGGCTAGAGAGAGCGGATTGAGTTGAGACACCGGATCTCAGAGTGCGTGAACGTTTTGAAACGCGGAGGTGGATGGATGGAATCCGTTAGCCCCACCCGTGCGAACCTGAACCATGCGTCTGTGCTTGCGATAGAAGGAACGACTGACGGAAAGGATGATACAATTGATTGAAATGGATTATTCAAGGCATTCCAGGTTGAAGGATAGCACGACAGTGTGAAGGCCTTTGTGATGTGGAGGAGACCTGAAGCTAAATGACCACTGGGAAGCGAGTGCTGGTCTTTCCATACGACGGATGCTACGATGCGATGAAGACAGCACGAGAAAGCAGAAACATGACTGTGACTAAGGGAAGGAAAGAGAATGCAGAAATGTGACTGTGACTGAGGGACGAGAAACAGGTTGATTGTCAGCCGAAACACGGTCGTGGCAGACTATCACGATTAATCGATTACATATCCTGTCTACTTTCAGGGTGGTTGTAAATGGGGTATAGATCCCAAACCTCAAACGCCAAGTCGTGTTGTGTGTGCTTCAAAGACGTTAACTGTACTACAACGATTAATATGACTCGGCGTGCATTTACAATTGTGATGTGTTCCTCGTTGATGTGTTCTAAAGATCAGATTCATCTTTCAAATCACAATCCCGTTGCATACAGCCTCATATTAATCAGCCTCATAGCAAACCTGGAGGCGAATAACCTTTCCTCGGACCGGACCGAACAGATCTCCCTTCTCGATTTGAGGTTTTGCGTGCTGATCCTTGGTCGACTGGGAAAAGACCATGTCATTGCTTCACGTTGATGAGTTGCGACAGCCAAAGACGTTCACCTGGGAATCTAGATTGGGTGGCGGTCATGCAGCTATAACGAACCACAGTGTGAGTTAAGAGAGCCGAATCGGGAATGATAAAAGGATTGAGTATGATTATGGTGATGTCATTGAGATAAGAGGTATATCGATAAGAAATGAACCACACTCGTCGATAAGAACTTTTAGAAAACAGAGGGATGTTTTTGAAAGGATATTTTCGGTAGTGGGAGGGATCCCGGACACCGAGATCTGACAGCAGGAATCGCCGACGCAAGAACGGATAAATATGCTGTCTTCTAAGCTGACGTTTAGGAAGAGAGGAAAAAGCTAAAGATATATATATAAAGATTGAGTAACTTCTCAAAGGGCATAAAAACAAAGCAAGTCTAGACTTTGCGAGGAACGGAAACATAAAGATGTGTTTACATAATCTGATCGAGGTTCTTCTTGCTCAATAGATAAACATCTAGACCTCGAAAGAGTACAAACATACGGCAAAAAGCAAAAATTTTCTTTGGAAAGGCGCACCGAGACTTTCTTTCAACCTCCACATGACTGGTGGGCTCAACAAGGTGTCCACAATAACTCAAAGCGGAAACCCAACTTACCTCCGCATCCAACGACAACAGTCCACGTCGCGACGCTGTCAGATTGTTAATCCCAACGAATTAACCTTCTCGCTCCGTGCCATGAGCTTGTTAGCCGTGCCACTCTTCGCCGCTCTTCATCTTCCCGTTCGTGATCCTGACTGGCTGTAAACACCTAAAAGCCGGATTGATGATCAGTCAACCAAGTCCGGTTTCCTTGCGCCCGGCAAGTGGTGACCACGTTGCGATTCAAAGAACACCTGCTTGTTCGGCTAGACGCACATCGTCTTGCATGTCTCCACTCACAGTGACAACAATCGAAGCAGATCCACAGCAGCCCTTTGACAAAGCAGGAAAAATGGCTCAACTGCAGAAACGTGCAGATGGATGACTTTGGGTGAAAGTGAGTGGCATGCGAGGTGCCGTGCCTGCATACTCGCGGAGGTAGGAGTTTTGCAGGATTATGTTGTGTGCTTGCGTCACTGGCCGAAACTGCAGAAACGTGCAGATGGATGACTTTGGGTGAAGGTGAGTGGGATGTGAGGTGCGGTGCCTGCGTACTCGCAGAGGTAGGAGTTTTGCAGGATTGTTGTGTGTGCTTGCGTCGCTGGCTGATTCGGTTGACCAAGCAAATGTCGGGGAGATGATCGCCACAGATCAGTCTGTCGGGAACAGAACCTGCCGGCCCGCATCCGTCCCACCTCTGCACCCGCGGCACCGTGGAAGAAGAATTGAAGCGGCAAAACTCACAGAGCTGAGAAGGTCGTGAGGGACCTTCTCGCCCATCGATGATGTTCCAGAAGGTTTCAATGACCTCGCCAAGCGTCGTTCGACGACTCCACTTTCGTTTGGACACCACGGCGAGTCGTTAGTAACACAGTTTCTCTCATCCAATCACGGTAGGTAAAATCCAGTCGGTTCCCCACTGAACCGCCCATCGCAATGGCGCGTCGCAAGTCAACTGCTGGCCAAAGCAGCGAAAACACGCTCCACTCCCCCTTTCCAGCAAGAGAGGAAGCAAGATCACATCCGCAACTCCACCTCCACAAACGATATGCTGCGATAACAGCGACCGTCACCGCCACCTCTGCCACGGAGTCAAGGTTGCGCAAGTTGACCACAAACACGTGCAGTAATACAGCCTGTTGTCTGCAGCTGTTGTGGATGTGCGCCTCGTCCTTCCATCGCTAGATTTAGACCAGGATGCGAAACAATCGGAGCACCAAGCCGTGTCCAGGGGTAGGCGTCCAGGAACACCAATCAGACCACTCAGTCCCTGCTCCAGCCGCCAGGCACGGCCCCTGATTCGCCACGCGCGAGATGAAAAACGGTGATTGTCTTTTTCAGGTATCGCGCACTATGCCATAACCGGCAAGGCGTCCTTGCACAGGAGATGAGGAAATCAAAGGTCCCGACTCCGTGAGTCGCTCGTTCGGGGCGCCCACGGCCACGACATGCTTGCTGGCTCCTGAGCACCGGCTGAAGGCGTAAGCGCAGCGACGGCCTTAATCTTACGGCAGCCTACCTGTCCGATTCCTTTTCTCTTCTTGCTTTTCACCATCGCTGGCTGTACACGTTCAGTTCACTTCAAGACTCTGGCAATCACCGCGTTCACTCCTTCACGCGGCGTCTTTGCTATTGTTCTAGTCACTCTTTATTCACACAGTCGTGTCGTATTCATACTCCCCCAAGCAACCAAAAAGCCTTGACGCTGGGCCTGAATATACCAGTTCACGAACTCCGTCCCAGTACAGTTGTATAGCTACCGCGAGGAATCTACCCCAAACCAAACCACAAGCCATTGATATCAATATGCGCTACTCATCTGCCTTGGTGCTGGGCACCGTCGCCGTAGGCCAGGCCGCGGCCCTCAATGTCCGTCACGCCGGCTTCCACGCTCGTCGCCAGGCGTGAGTCTTCCGTCTCCTTAAATGCTGCTCCCCACATCCATATTAACGAGTGCATAGTGACCAGAAACGAAGCTACGATGATGTCGACTGGTCCAAGGTGTCTTATGACCTCTCCAACGTCGACTGGTCCTCTGTTTTCGCCAGCTCCCAGGCCACCGCTACACCCACACCCTCATCCAGCGAGGTTAAGGCTGAAGCCGTGTCGACTTCCCCCGCCTATACTCCCCCTCCTACTACCACCACCGAGGCCGCGAAGTCCACCGAAACGCAGTCGTCCAACTCGCATCAGGAGGCCGGCAACGACCTGCTCAAAGGCGTGGAATCGCTACTCTCCAACATGGGCGTTGCTAAGCCTGCGTCAGATCCCCCCAAGTCTAACAACGGCAAGATGTGGGTTGGCGGCGACTCTTCCTGGAAGACGACATTCATCAACGGCGCAGCTTCGGATGTTGTGTTGCTCTGCTGGGCGGCTGAAGGTTATACCGGCATGACTCTCAACGTACACCCGCCCGCCCTCGCCATCAACATCAACAAGGGCGCACAAGAGACCATATCCTTCGCTGGAGGCGTCCCAGGCGCCTGCTGTCCCGCATACTCCGACACCAGGCTCGCCATGTTCGGCGGCTGCGACAACACATGGTATGAATACACCTTCGGCAACAATGGCGCTTTCGACATCACCAGGAACGTTAATATGAACGGTAACTCTATCTCGGCCAAGGGCTCAAAGTGCATATCCGACATGAGCACTTGCGTGTTCAAGTGTACGGGTGGCGTCAGCTCTTGCGAGAAAGGTTACGAGCTCGACAACTGCAGCGCGTCGAATGGCGGCGGCGGTGGCTACGATTCCAATATGCAGGGTGTGGGTGGTGGATGTGCGATGGGTTCGTCCGAGGAGCACGTTAAGGTTACTTTCACCTAAGTCTGCCTTGTTCTTGTCTGTTGCGAAGCGTAGTAGGAGAGTTGAAGTTCATTTGTTTCTCAAGCGTACTTTCATCCATCCGTCATCTCTGTGCATATGCTCCCTCCGCGCCGTCTGTCATTCTACCCGCCTTTTGTTTCTGGAATACCCTAAGGTCTTGGGGGGTTTGTTAGCTTAGCTACCTACCACACCGTACATTTATCCGTCAGCTAGAACCACGACCTCGAATTTTTAGTCAATGTGTATTTGTTTAACTCTCTAGTCCCGTTCTCCTCAATTCCAAAAAGTTAAAAATAACTCTGATCTGGCTCGCGTACCTGACTGAATAGTATCTCGCATGCCTCACCATGCCCTGCTGAGATGAAAGTCGTTTCGCGGACAACGGACATTGGCCGCGAAACGAGAAGGGAATATTAACGGTAATTTGACGCCGAAGACAAAGCCCACCAACCACCGCCCTATCATTCACTCCGTCCGATGAAATTGAGAAACATAAGGACAACGGGAGTTTGAGAAATTCGTTTCTTGCCACAACTACCGAGATCCAATGTCTATCGTGAAGTAAAGTTAGAGTAGTGAGTTTGGTATAATTGAAACACCTTGTTGCCCGGCACTCTTCCTTGCCGCTGCATATGTCCCGCAACGTGTGGGATTGTTGATTCTGAGTGTGAAACATCACCCCAAAGGATGGATGATGGATGACAGAGAATAGTTAAGGTGAGGTCGAGGTGTTGTTCTACTAACCTTTTTCCCGAGTCTTTGGTACAGTTTAGTTTGGTGCGGAAGGTGTCGCGCGGCGGCCACGTGTTTGACGTGAGGGTACCGAGGGCAAATCCGAAGCCATTTGCAGCCTGGAGGCCTGGAAACAAAATTTTCTGTGCTTTCTGGTTTTGAAAAAGTGTGGGTAACCCCTGCAAATGGGTAGGTGTCTGTAAGTCATACTCCACGAGCTTTTTCTAATTTGAGTCAGCCTCGCAGGTATCATCCAAGTCTTACAGAACCATCTTCACATACAATCACGAAAACCAAATTCACTAAAAAAGAAATGTCATTCCAAATCCAGACTCCGATCATCCCCATGGCAGTATTCTAAGCCATCGACTAATGTATGATACTTATACACGACTCGAATCATGAACACGAGTTCGACTTGCCAGCTCCATGAATGCAGAATAAACTACCGACGAACTTTTCCGCCCGCCGAATACCTGGCCCGATCCATCTACAACTCGTCGTGGCCGGCATCTTCGCCCTCGTCCCCATAATCGGGCATTCCGCCCGCACCTCCCTGGCCGTAGAGCTTGGATGTGATGGGATATGCAACGTTGGAAAGCTTCTCAAACTGCTCGTCAAAGTCCTCACTGACAGCAGTGGCTGCGTTCTCCTCAAGCCAGTCCTGAGTCTCCTTGACAGCCTCGAGAAGGGATTCTTTATCCTCTTCGTCGATCTTGCCGCCAAGACCTTCCTCATCGTTGACTTGGTTCTTTAGGCTGTAGGCGTAGTTTTCGAGCTTGTTGCGAGCCTCAATACGCTCACGAGTGGCCTTGTCCTCTTCGGCGTACTTCTCGGCCTCTTCGACCATGCGCTCGATTTCGTCGGCGGAAAGACGGCCCTTGTCGTTGGTAATAGTGATGGATTCACCTTTGCCAGTGCCCTTGTCGACTGCACCAACCTTCAAGATACCATTGGCATCGAGTTCGAAAGTAACCTCAATCTGGGGAACACCACGGGGCGCCGGACTGTAGAAGAATTAGCAGCTGGAATGGTGCACGCCACGGTTTTGAGTGCTACTTACGGAATGTTGGTGAGCTCAAACTTGCCGAGAAGGTTGTTATCCTTAGTCATAGAGCGTTCACCCTCATAAACCTGAATCAAGACCACCGGCTGGTTATCGGCGGCGGTAGAGAAGATCTGGCTCTTCTTGGTGGGGATCGTAGTGCCACGCTTGATGAGGTGGGTCATAACACCACCAGTAGTCTCAATACCGAGAGTAAGCGGGTTGACGTCCATCAGGATGATCGAGCCCGTTGCCTCATCACCAGAAAGAACCCCACCCTGAACAGCAGCGCCAAAAGCGACGGCCTCATCGGGGTTGACATCTTTGCGGGCCTTCTTTCCGAAGAACTCTTCGAGCATAGCCTGGACCTTGGGAATACGAGTAGAACCACCAACGAGAACGATGTCATCAATGTCACTCTTCTTGAGCTTGGCATCCTTGAGCACCTGCTCAACAGGCTTCAGAGTCTTCTTGAAGAGATCGTTGTTCAGCTCTTCGAACTTGGCACGGGTAAGAGTCTCGGAGAAATCCTCGCCCTTGTGGAAAGATTCAATCTCAATCTTGGCGGTCTTCTGGGCAGAGAGCGTGCGCTTGGCCTTCTCAACCTCGCGCTTCAGTTTACCCATAGTCTTGGGGTCCTTGGTGATGTCGACGCCTTTCTCTTTGTTGTACTTCTTGGCGAAGTAGTTGATGACACGGTTGTCGAAATCTTCACCACCAAGATGGGTATCACCGGCGGTGGATTGTACCTCGAAAACGCCCTCCTCGATAGTAAGGATAGACACATCGAAAGTACCACCACCAAGATCGTAGACGATGACCTGGCGCTCGGCCTTGTCAGTCTTGTCGAGGCCATAAGCCAGGGCGGCCGCGGTGGGCTCGTTGACGACACGGAGAACGTTGAGACCGGCGATAGTACCAGCGTCCTTGGTAGCGGCTCGCTGAGCGTCGTTGAAGTAGGCCGGAACCGTAACAACGGCGTTCTTGACCGTCTCTCCCAGGTAGCTCTCAGCAACCTCCTTCATCTTGCCCAAGACCATGGCCGAAATCTCCTCAGGAGTGAAGGTCGTCTCCTCACCGTGGACGTCGACTTTGACGCGGGGTTGGCCATTCTTGTTAACAACGGAGAAGGGGAAGTGCTTGATGTCATTCTGGACCTCCTTCTCGGCGAATTTGCGTCCAATCAATCGTTTCTGCCACTGTTAGTATTTTTTGCGTGCATCGAGAGTAGGGGAGAGCTCACGATATCGAAGATGGTCCGGCTGGGATTGCTGGCGAACTGATTCTTTGCGGCGTCACCAACAAGACGCTCCTCGTCGGTAAAGGCGACCCAGGAAGGCGTTATTCGGTTACCTGGAAAGAGGCCACCTGTCAGCTCCAATGCTCGCTTGGCTGGCAAAACTCGCACTCACCCTGGTCGTTGACCATAATCTCGACCTTGCCATTCTTCATGACACCCACACATGAGTACGTCGTCCCCAGATCGATGCCGATGACGGGACCCTGAATGACCTCCCGGCCCGAGTCGTCCTTGAGCGGCTCCTGGTCGGCGGCTCGGACTGTTGAGGCCAGCATTAAGCCGCCACACAGGACGAGGAGAAGATAGAAAGCGATGGACCAAGCAGAGCGCTGGTTAGCGCTGCCCCGCGACCGCCTCACCATTGTGATGGTATGTGGAGTGTAGACGATGGAGAGGGCGGTGAGGTGTGTCTATGGACAGGCTCGCTCTATCGCAGAGCAGACAAAGGAAAGGACGCTAGGGTATATGGAAAAGAAAAGAAAAAGAGAAGACTCGATGACACCGAGTGGAAGTTGGGTGGTCGTAAAGAGGATGGGAAGGAAGAAGGTTTGTACCGACGGCGGGCGGTGTTATATGGCACGGTTGTTCCTGAACTTTTGAATTGAACAGTTGTCGATTTGCCATTGTGAAGACCTCACCGCCTGCCGCATCAGGCATGGTGCAGGACGAGCATGCGCCACCTCTCAGACATGCAACCGTGTCCAATTCACCTCAGCGTCTGTCAGCCTCGCCTCCACCCACAGCACTGTCATGCTCTTTCACTGGACACGTGTGAACAAGCCTTGTGCAAGAATCTTCTACGGGCTGCCAAGCAGCACAGAAAGAACCCGGCTTTAATTGACACTGCACGCACTCTATGCATCCTGCATCCGCCAGAACCCAAGGAAGGTTAAGCGTCCAGAAGGAACAATGAAGTCGCTGGTACACACCAAGTGTTGTGCAAATCGGCCCAGCGAGATCTCTATTCACGCCTTTCAAGATCCCATCTTCATCCTTTCGCGATCCACAATATGGCCCCTCCTTATCACTGTGTATCGGCCCCTGCGCCACGCGAGTTCCAGCCTCAGCCGTTCCGTCCAGGGGCCTCATCTTCCAGGTGTCCTTTTCCTAGCATTATTCACTGACCGTGTTTCTCCCTCCAATCACACGTTCGTACCGCTCCGTGACTCTTATTCGTGAAAGTGCAACGTCTCCTCAAGGAGTCGGGGAGTCGGGGTTGCGAGACGCATGTCTGTGTTGCCTGATGACTCTTTGACTAGTCAAAGCCATGTCCGGTGATTTCTAAGATCGTTATGCGGATACCTAGTAGGATTGTCCGGTATTGACACATTAGATGCATGAGCATCGTTGACGAAAGAGTGTTGGGAATCAACAGCATATTCGCGCCTACCACGTAACACCGGCGATGAAAACTGTTCAGTCTCTCAAGCATTTTACTCATTTGGGGTAGAGTTTCAATCAGGTGCCAAGTTCTGTCATAATCTACACCATACGAAAGAGGGAAGACATATTAAAGTCAAATCACCAGACTGAATGAAAACATAGATTTTCTCCGCACTTATTGGTCAGAACAAACACTTTCCTTGCTCTTCACAAGTTTGAATCCTTCTTTTTAAGCACATCCCTAATATAAACGATCAGAATTATTTGTCTTCTATACTCTAACTTCTACGCCTAACTATGATCGAGGCCACACTCACTTCTTTCCCCTACCACCAAATCCCCACCTGATCTGATTTGCCCATCTACCTTCCACGCCAAGGTCATCCGCCCATGCCCAAACTAATCCTGGATTCTTTTGGAACATCCTGCCAGCGATGGCGAGGTCAAGGTTATCGTTCTCAAGGTATCCGTTCGCTTGCTTGCCCTCGGTAATTGTACCAACGGTACCAACAAGCATCTTATCCCCTACCTTCTCTTTCACAGCCTTCGCGAACGGAACTTGGTAGCCAGGTCCACCATGAATATGCTGCTTCTCGTGCAAACCACCAGACGAGACATCGAGCAAGTCGACACCGTTTGCTGCCAGGATCTCGGCAAGTTTAACAGTCTGGTCAATGGTCCAACCATCAATACCTTGCTCTTCAAGCCAGTCGGTGGCGCTGATTCGCAAGAAGAGGGGCATATCATCTGGGATTGTGTTCCTAGCGATCTCGACAATTTCCAAAGTCAATCGAATACGATTCTCAAATGAGCCTCCATACTCATCGGTTCGGTGATTTGAAGCAGGCGAGAGGAAGGTATGCAGGAGGTATCCATGGGCATTATGGATCTCAATAGCGTCGAAACCTGCTCTCAAAGCACGCTCGACCGCGGCCTTGAATGCAGTCTTGAAATCTGCGATATCAGCTTCCGTCATCTCCTTCGGAGAACAATGTCGGGCGTTGAACGGGATTGCCGAAGGTGCCTTGACGTTGTCTGGCCATCCATTCAACTCCGGCCCTGCAACGTCCCCCATGCTCAGCCATGGTGCGACTGTGCTGGCTTTTCGGCCTGCATGGGCGAGTTGAATACCAATCTTCTGTCCTTGGGAGTGCGCGAATTCAACAAGGCGTCGGAGTGGCTCGATTTGCGAATCTTTCCAGAGGCCAGAATCTTCAGGTGTGATTCTTCCCTCCGGCACGACTGCGGTAGCTTCGATGAACGTTATGCCTGGTCCGCGCTGAACGATGCCGCCGATATGGGTGAAGTGCCATGCTGTGTGGTGGCCGTCTTCAGCCGAATACTGGCAGAGGGGAGAGAGCTAATATCCAAACATGTTAGTCTGTCGAGGATAGTGTGTAGAGTAACTAGGACGACGTACCATTATCCGGTTTTGAAGAGTGAGGCCCCTGAGCTTAAGAGGGGTGAAAAGCTTAGGTATCTTGCTGCTGCCATCTTTCATTCTAATCGCCGTTCCAGCTGGGGGATCTTGTGCTGGGGTGAAGTAGGATATCTTGTTTCATCAGTGTAAGCCTACAAAGTCAGAAAGATTGACATACCCCTGGTGCAGCTTTGTTGACATTGTGAGGCTCGCCTTCAACCTCTTTCGGAAGGGCGTGATGTGAGTGTTCTCCTGGTGCCATGTCCGCTTTTACTTTCAACAAGGACTTAGGGTCTGTCTGGGGAGGAGGGGTCAATTGGGCCAAGTTGGTCTTGTCTGAAGAATGTATTCACCCAGGGGGCTTCCAACGCCTTTATACTCAACATCCCACTCTTCAATAATTCGCAGTGGTGACGTTGCGGGCCCCGGCGGAATTCAATTCACGGAAACCCTGTCGCGGGGCATTGCAGTGCCCCGCCTTCCAAACCGAGATTGCACGTACGTCCGTTGTGTCTATTGATTTGTAAGTCGATATCGCGCAATAATCGCCACGTTTCCCGCCTCGAAAATGGTGAATGCTCTGAGAAAAGCTACTCGAGTGTATTTGTGGAGCCACTAAGCATCGGCACTCAGTCGCTTATGAAATATACCAAGTGCTAACGCATGGTGATGGCTAGGGAGATTAGATAACATGCATCTAGTGGCGATGAGTGACATGTGGGACGAGGAGTTGATATTCCTATTCAAGATAAGTACACAAACTCTTAGAAGTATATCCCCGTCTTCCTATGCCAACTTCAATTCATCCAGTTTCACAAGTGTTCTCATAGGTCCTCCCTTGTAAACCCTCGCAGAAGTAGTAACACTTTTGGTATAACGATGACGTAATATGCAGTATTATTTATAAGCCGTCCAATTGTGCTATGTGATTTTTCAAGTTGGCTGAGGCCTACGGGCATGTTTCGGCTGTCTTCGTCGGCATTCCGAAGGTATGCCGACTCAGCATCGCCGTTCTTCGGCCGAATATATCACGAAATTCTACGTAAGTGCGCAAATCGCTAGGATAAATTTATAAAACCCTTAGTCGGTATCATAAAGGAAGAAGAATAATCCTGAAATAGCGGGCAGACTGTACATACCGATGCTGTCCCATCACTATGGGCCTGGCAAACAACAGCAACACCTAGGATGCGAAGCTAACTCCTAGTGCCTTGCGTGTTTACAGTTAGTTCAGCTGAGTCCCATTATGTGGCTATCAGAGCGTGCTCAAGACATCCATAGAGAGGATTGTCAAGGAAGAAGAAGTGTCGTGAGGGCATGTGTAAGGCAAATAGGTCCAAGGAATGGCAACGCGTGCCAAGCCTCTTGTCGTCGAACCACCTTTCCCTTAGCTTCGAATTCAGCCTTCAACCCCGCTAAACCTACCTTCTTCAATGAGTTTCAATATCGATGGGTAAACGACCGAAGAAGTCGTCTCCTGGAACGAGGATCCTTCAACAGGCCCAGGTAAGCGCCGTGCAGTGCGCTGTCCATGAGGATCTTGCCGACACAATCTGCCTTCTCACCGCATGTACAAAAAGGCTGCCAACACTCAACGTTGTGAAGGGCGACGGACTCTTTGGAGAATCAGCCGCCTCAGATGTTCGTGCGACGAGATCAAGCATCAACTGTAAACGTCTAACCTATATAGACTGGAAGTGGAAGTCTCGACACAGATGACGAGGATGTGGACCTCGAAAACCTCGAGGAGGTTGAGGCGGACCTAGGCGAACAAAGAAACCTCGCGAAATTGCGAGACAGATTCCTCGACCGGTTGGCTGAGGTCCTGGCGAGGTTCAAAACAGAACCCAATACGAGAAGGAGTTCAGGACAAGATGCAAAACACGTTTGTGCAACTATGATGGTAATGTGTGAAGATGAAACGTCTGTGAGGATACTTTGTGCGAAGAATGAAGGACTCGACAAGGTCGACGATGAATTCTTAGGGCACTGGAAGAACTGTCTCGAGAATGTTGCCAAAGCTGGTACGTGATCCTTGAGTCTTTCTCCCCTCTGATAACCACTTGTTAGGCCGTGCATCGGAAGCGGATAGAAATCATCTCTTGGATCTGATCCTAACGCATCAACGACCGCGAGTTGAATTTTATATCCACAGGCTACAGCTTGCATACCGTAAATCTTCGGCGACCACCGGCAAGCTACTAGACAGCGAAACAACCCTGTCGAAGGCTTGGGTAGAGAAGCAGCCAATTTTAAGACTTCGTGAGTGGGAAGATGATAATGGCTTGCGATACAAAATACCGACAACGCTACCCCAAAAAAATTATGCAGGCTCAGATGTGGCCCAAAGTGGCCTCACTTTTCAAGAGAACGCCCTTGCACTGGCAGCTCTTTCCACTGATATTGAAGAGCTATGTAATCGACCACCTGCTGGAAACGTAGAATCATCCCTATTGAAACGATTATTAATTAGCACGTTCAATGTTTGGATGGGTGTCAAGACGCGATCAGCGTTCAGAGCTTGTCTGATCCAACTGTTTCTTAACGAGCAAGCGCGTAAGACGGCTGAAAAGGCACTTCTATTCCTTTGCCGAATCTACTACGGTACGACCATCTTCATCAATACCGCAGAACAAATATCGGCTTTCAAATCGATCATCTGTGTCTTAGTCCCTTCCCAAAGTTTCAACCGGTGTCCAATACCGCAACTGCAATCCGAGGCATTAGTTTCTGCAGAGAGGTTAGGAATCATTGCGAGGCACAAGCGAATACGTGATCGGCTTGGCTCCTCACAACTGAAAAACGCTTTCCGAGTGTCTCGTCGCGAAAAGCGCTACATCCATTGTGAAGTACAATTACTTCACTACTACGACGAATCTTTCAAATCCTCGAACCAGAAATATCAGACCCATCCATATATTGGGTGCAGCAGGCTGTGCTGCTACCTTTGTTATTGCTTTACACTCGTCTACGGTGGATTCGACGTCCGCGGAACCCACGAAACTATCATGAACAGATGGGAGATTCCACTGCATTCGCCAACAGGACGGTACAGTTCGACGGTTGATTTAGCAACACAGCGCCTTCTTCAAATCCTGAAGGCTGAACTCCAGAGCAACCTCTACTCCACGGCGCCTCCGCGCAATTACGAACTTCGAGCTCAATCGTCAATTGGTCTTTCCACAGCAAAAACAATGCTGGAGGAAGAAATTGTGGAAATGGAGCGGTCAGAACTCGCAATACGGTGAGTAAACATATGCTTTGACTCAATATTGTTGCTCATCTTGACAACAGGTCGTCCATGATGATGCCAATGATATCTAGTGATGCCATTTCTGTTTTCCCTCTACCCGAGAGACCTGGGTTTGCCGTAGTTTTTGGCGGCGAAATACGTGGATGTACAAAGCCTATGAGGCTCGGGGAAGCCGAGACATTGCTAATCAACCACTTGCGCCATAAATACGGGTTCGAACCACTCAACGAGCTGCCACCAAGGAAATCACGCGACATGGCAATCTGCAAAAGATGCGGAAGTATATCAAACCTGCGTTGCCGCTCCTGTCGGATGTCTTATTGCTCGCAAACTTGCCAGAAGAAGGATTGGAAACGACACGTATTCCTATGCACGGGCAGCTCTCGACCGAACGAGGTGGATCGCTTGAAACTCTACGTCAGTCACTGGTTTCGGGCAAAGAAGATCAGAAAAGAATCACTGGATGATGCTTACACCACCACGTTCCTGCGAGCACTATACTCCGATGACAAGCTGTCTACGACTTTTGGATTTGATAGCTGCGAGATTAGCCTGGAGGTTAGCTACTTACTTTGCATCTACAGAGAACTCATCCGGTCTTGTGGGTCCGTGGTTCTCCAAAGTGTGGTAAACGATGGCAATCTATGGAACTTCATGGAAACTTATAGTAGATGTTTCATGAGCGTCAATGCCTCTCCAACAAACGGCTGCCAATGCTTCGCTTGGTTCCTTCAAATGCGAGAACGAGACGCAGGCTTCCCAGTTGAGCACGAAGACGGGTTTCATTTCTACCTTGCGAGGAGCATGGCTGTAGTTTCTCAGATATTTTCTCTGGATTCTAGAGTCGGCTTTCTGGCAAGCCTTTCGCCAACAGAAATAAAAGTTCTTTGGCTCTATGCAATTCTGTGTCGAGATTTCAACTGCCTTCCGGACGTGGATAGTTCTCAGTGGCTTGACTTCGGGTTTTGCTTTTGCAAAAACTTGTCCGACCGACAGAGGCTTCGAAAGGCCCTCCTTGAGCTTCCTATAGGAGGGAGCTCGCTTGGAGAGATAGCACATGCCTGGAAGAACGATTCACTCCTCACGTTGATGAAGGCTCGCGGTATTGATGTTTACGAATTAGAGCTCAACGATATCGTCCCGCAACGACCTAGGTTGGAAGAGTTTGGGATATACAGATTGATTGCAGAAGTCAGCCATGCGCTCTCTGGCCGCTTTTGTCTCTGCTTCAGGCCTAAGGAATTTAATAGCGACTCGAGCTGCCACTCGAAAGCCCACTTGAAGCACGAGACACACCTGAGTAGAGAGACCGATGGTGATTATGGCTTCCACGGAGTAAACGCATGGGAGCGTTGGCAGCTTTTCAGTTTCTACGCCAAAATTTTCAACCACCCTCACTTTGACGCGCGTGCTATGCAGCGCGCGAGACACGATCCAGATCCAGGAGCGTTGGATAGTTATCTTGAAAGGTTGATTCCAGATTTCCGAAGGAAGATGCGAAATTGGTCCCAGTGCGATGTAATGTTCCCTAAGTTGAAGGCCAGAGTGCAGTTTTTGCCTGGCCGACCTCCGTGTTACTGTATCGTGCACGATACAACCAATCCTGATGGCCTAGATTCCAGGATGTATGTCCCACGCAATTGGGCTGTAAATCATCCTCGGTACCCTTCTAATACAGAAGACAGATAATTTGGTTGATGATCTATCCAATTAAGCGCGGGTTGGCTTCGAAGGGATTGTATTCACTGGGACTCTGCAGGTTTTTGAATATCTGAAATCATATATTTGGGGAGCCAGCGATAGGTGCTTCGAAAATTGGACATGTATGAACAAATTTTCGTTCTCCTGGACCTCCCAAGCTGGATGTGCTTTGCTTCCTATGGAAAACCCCTTCGTAGCTCTATCGATGCTAAAGATACTGGTCAATCATGGAGCTCTAATCTGTTGTCTACTCAAGCTAGGTTAATGGCTCCCGGCGAAAAGGGAATCACCGCCAAGCACAGGGTCCGTTGTAGCGCTAAAACTTGGCGCATTTTGAAATGCGAGGCGCTACGCGGACAGAATCGATTTTCTTAATCGTGATCTACTAGGATCCTGTCTCTTCTGGTCGTTTAGAACAAAAATGTAAATTTAAAGTAATACCCTGTATGTCACGACTTCTTTGAAGGGTCAGGAAACGGCGTCGAAGCCAGCCCCTTCTTGGAGAACCGTAATTTAATAGTTCTCTCATCAATCATTCACCGCCCAGCCCCGACTGCTCAGGCCATAGACCCGATTCCCCAACTTCTGGTCAGCTTCAAGGGCTTCATCTACTTCTTCCTCTATCGCCGACCTCTCTTCATCCCAAGAATTATTCTATAGAAAACACCCTTCAGGTAAGGAAGGTGATCTTTCTCGAGACAGGTACGTACCTAACTGGTGAATGCCAAGAGTAAAGCGGAGACTATCTTTCCCGACTTCCCGAAACAACCAACATGGGCCTTCCTAGGTGCCTCACGATCCTCTTTCTCGGGTCGCCTGGCTGTTTGAAGCATGTGCTAATGATCTGTGTGTTTAGCTTCGTGTACTCAAACTGGTGTCGCAACTTTGCTTCATGTATGTCCAGCACAGCTGATACGAGCCTAGCAGCGCAGTCGATGCTGTGCTTGGAGATGTTGGACAAAGCTCCGGTTACCGATATCAATTCCCCAATTACCACTACTGTGAGTTGGTTGACTTCTAAAATTCTCTTTCCTCGAGGCGGGCTCATCAAGCTTCACAAAATCTCATTACGAAAGGTTGATCTTTTTCTAACTCCTACTCGGATTGCACTCTGCCGGATCCTACGAACGCCACGCCCCTGCTCTCCAAAAATTTATATTTTTTTATTTTGAGGCTCAAACTTCCCAGAGACGTACCAAGGCCTTTGTAGAGACTGAATAGTCCCTATGCCGATGCAATGATTGCCAGCGACAGCCTTCCATTCCTGACTCGTTACATGGGTACTTCCCTACCACCAGTCACCTGGCCCTGTTAGTTGCAATGTTTTCGACTCATTTGGCGTTTCTTCGAAGCTTCAACGTGCGGGGGCTTCGAATTTGGTTCTGCATGAGGATACTACTATCCAATCACGAAGACGACATTTTCTCGCCCAAAGAGAATCCGCACAAACTGACTAGTCCGTTCGAGGTGACCAAGGATCTCCATGATGGATACTGATGGGCATTATTCGACCTTCCTAGGAAATTTGGGTTCACCCTTACAGCCTGGCATGCACGCATGTAGTCCTAGCGGCCTGGTATATGTACCTGATAGCCTGCGGGTAGGGAACCGCCAGCTCCTCCCTTTTTACTTTTTGGTGGGCTCGTTCGTTGGGGCCAATAGTTCAGTTGACTACATACTTGCTTTTTTTTATCTCTAGGACTGCAGAATGTCAGGCGAATTGATGAACGGCTCGAGGCAGCTCAACGCATATGTTTGCCTCTTCGTTACCTTCACCGCAGCAACTATATGTTTAGCGTTACGGCTTATAGCACGGAGAATTACAAAGCTTCGCCTTTGGTTCGATGACTATTTAGCCATTATCGCATTCATTTGCGCAGGAGTATGGTCCGGCCTCGTCCTATGGTGTGAGTCTATTGAAAACATCTCGCCTCTACTTCAACTCCTCACGCATCAATAATAGGGTTGCAGATCGGCCTCGGCCGCTACCTCAAAGACATTGACTCCCCCGACTTCTTGGTTCTGGAGAGGTCGCGCCTAATCCTCTGGAACGTAGAACTCTTCTACGCGTTCTCGCTTGCGTTTACTAAACTCGCCATCCTTGCTTTCTACTGGCGCATGTTCAAAACTTCCAAGATCAAAATACCTATTCAAGTTCTGGCCGGGTGCGCTATTCTGTGGTTGGTCCTTCGTGTGAGTATTTGTATTCCTCCCTATCGCATATGCAGTTCCATGAAGCGGGTCCTGAACAGATCGGTAGACCTTTCTAGCCATCTTCCATTGCGCCCCAGTTCAGAAGTTCTGGCGCCCTGAGCTAGAAGGCGTTTGCAACATCGATGATTCGAAGTTCTTCTTTGGAACCGTGCTCACGCATTTGATTCTCGACATTGCGATTCTAGCTCTACCTGTCATTGAGGTTCAGAAGCTGCATCTCCCCCTTGGGCAGAGGCTTGGAATTATGGGCATGTTTATGTTCGGTATTTTTGTGTGTGTAGCGTCGATCGTCGTGCTTGTGGATTCATTGCAGTACGATACTAGCTCGATTGAGGTGCCGTGGAACATCTCTCCCATCATCATCTGGGCCACTGTGGAGGTCAATCTGGCTATTGTCTCCGGTACGTACAACCCCCTCTCTATCACTATTCCCATTCCCATCCTTATTTTCCCATCCCCTCTCCTCTTCTCTATAACACCAACCTAATTCCTCTCCAGCATGCCTCCCCATGCTCCGCCCAATCTACTTTGTCGTTACACGCCGCGGCCCAATCAGCAAAAACAACTCGTCGCACCTCTCCTACCCATCGTCCTTCCCTAACGGTCGCTCGGTCCCTAGCGCCCACAAACTCGCAACCATTACCGTTAGTAAGAACAATGACTTCGACGAAACTGGCTCGACGCACCAGCTGGCAGGCGCTCGCGGGGGTTCAATTAGTAGTACGAGCAGCAACGGTGGAGATGGAGACAGACATGGGATGCAGACTATCATTGTGGGGAGGGCGAGTGCGGAGGATAGAAATGGGGGTAGGGCGGGGAGGTTCAAGGCAGCGAGTGATAAGCGGGAGGAGAGATCCAGGTGGAATGGAGGGATGGGTGGGATCATGGTTACGAATGAGATGAGTGTGAGCGTTTCGACTATAAGGTAGGGGCTAAAAGTGGAATTAGATATACTAGAGGTGATGAGGGCTATGAGAGTGATGCGATCGGCTTTGGAGATCCTTTATTTGGTGGCTAGATAATTGTGTTTGATACCCTGAGAAATGGAGCGGTTTGTGGCGATACAGCAAATATGAAGGTCATTTTGTGGAAAGTGTGGATTCGACTCTACTTAACATGTTCATAGTAAAGTGACATTTAGAGGAGCCTCCTCAAGAGCCGAAAGAAGACGAAAATTTGACGCTTCCTATCTTGAGACCGAAGCTCGGACAATGTGTATACTTTTTAGATATGCCTTATCTTCGCCATGACCTAAGTTGGGAGACTTCGAATAGCCTCAGCTCGATGCATGGCACATACACCCGGAAATTTCCTCTAACGAAATAGCGAGCAAGCCCGAAGACTAGAATGGAGGGCTGTGCTGTCGGTTCTCATCCACGCTCACAACTATGCCGGCGGAGCCGACAACAGTAGACAGTTTGGCGACTCTTGTTGGTGGTCATACGGTCCAAGTCCGGGTCAAAGGGCAAGGATTTCGTGATAATGGAACTGTTGGTATTTCTGGCGTTACTCGTTTTAGATGGCTTTGAAGGGCTTTAGTGATCTCATGTCCTAATAAACTTGAGATTAAAGCCACTAATGGAGCAATCCCCGTATATTTCGTTTGTTGCGATTCTGGGCATCCTGGAGGTTTCAAGGGACCATAGTTCATGTCGTAGCCCTAACAGGCCTTACCACTAGCAGAAGAGCCTGGATAGTAGTACATAGTTGGCTTCTCGTCGCATGGGGCAGATCCCGAAGTAATGATAAGTGGAAGGGCTTTGAACGGCAAAAAGCCTTTAACGAACTGCACACTCTGTAAAAAGCGGTAGTCCCAGCAGTTTCTAAGCCCGTCGCACAGCACTCGTTTGTCAATACCTTTTTGCAAAGGTTGAATAGTAATATGGGAAGGAGTTTAGAGAGATAAAGGTGGAGCAGCGAATAATTTTCACTTTGTGCCTCCCTCGAAACCTTCGATCTTCTCACAACTGTATTTGATGTTTGCATCACCTATACTATTATTAGAAGGAATGTAGTGTACCTAGACGCCTCCTAACTCACGATCCTATCGCTGATGTTCATTCAGCATTCCTTTTAGCCATTAGTTAGCGAAGCTCGCTAGGGCCACACTCTTAGTCTCACCTAGAACGTATGCGAACTGCGCTCATTAGCGAGCTGCTCTCATTAGCGAGCTGCGAACGCTCCTTTGTGCGTATAGTGTAGCTTCCTTACCTAGTGAGCCGCAACATATTCCTGCGCCGCAGTGGAGAACTCCATCATATTAAGTTACGGCTTTAAGTTTACTCATGTTCTCATTGCTAAAGAAGTAAGTCCGGTCGAACCGGCGAGTAAAAGAAAGTATGAGATATTCATGCTAGTACGAAGTCTGCCCAAAGGTAGTAGAGTACGAGGAGAGGGCGTAGAGGGTGTAGATAATGAGTCAAAGTGTGTATTCAAGCAGAGGGAATACGAAGATGCGGAAAAGAGGGTCGTAGCTATGACGTGGTGGAATATAGTTGAAACAGAGTTGAGCGAGCGAATGGGACTAGGCATCAATCGCCGCAGACCAGAGAACTGAGTTAAGTTTGAGAGCTGCCGCTATTATGACCGAACACGTTTGTTCTCTCGTCGTATCGCGGATGGCTGGTATTTGCGTACATAGTGAGGGCCTAGCTGTGGGATTCGACCTGGACTGCAGTGACAAGGGAGGAACTCTGTGATGCTAACCCAGCCGAACATCAATTTCTCCATATCGGCAAAGCCTCAATACTTCTGAAGACTACTGCTGAGAGAGTCTCCACACGTAATACTATCTGAAGAAGAAGCCTCCTTCATTGATCGACCTATAGCTGCCATGACAGTCAAAAAGGCTTGCAAGCAATCCGCCGGATGGGAGAGTTGTTGTCTGGAGAAATCCCTCATTGCTACGCTATAAGCAGCTACGTTCGACCAAGGCCTAGGAGATGTTGTCCAGAACAGAGGGTAGGGTAGAAACTTTTTGAACCTCGCGTTAGCACATCACCACCTCCTTTCCACATATATCTGCGACAGATTAAGTCACCGCGTTGTCATGAAGGACAAGCTTCCAAGGAGAGAGAATTTATTCCTAGAAAGCCCAGTCCCGGTTAATGTAAGTTGGAGTAGAAGAAACCGAAGGTGGATTTGTGAGGTGCCTTTCGGTAAAGATAGATCGGCGGGAAGGACGATCGCGGGGTAAGAGATGACAACTATGAAATAAGCATTAGCGCAAACCGAAACCGTAGCCCTCAAGTTAGTTGCCTTATGAAACCTATCATCCTAGATGATATAGAAGCGATCAACCCAAAGGTATTGCAAGCCCAAAAGCCTGGTCAAATTTATGCATTCATTGATGGATCTTGGTAATCGGTCAAGGTCATGCGCAATTCTAAATGCACCGTGTTGGTGAAGACTTGCAGCATTATTTCAAGTGATTTGGAACGGTACAGAGGGCTTCCCGAAGAGGTAACTCAAAGCGAGATATTTGCGACGCTACTTTTACCTCACTAGGTATTCCTGTTCAGCGTCGATGAGGACAAGCTCAGTGGGATGTCCAATCTATAACCGTGGGCCGAATTGAGAGTGAAAATCCCCGAAATGGTCGCGATTGCGGGATGACATCTAGTTTTGGATGTCAGTCATACCAATGGTCGGATGAGTAGGGACAGTGTCGGGCATCATATCTGTGAGGTGTCACTGAAGGGGATAAGGATGTCGTCATGAGGTCCAGTGAAATGATCCCTTGGAAGCTAAACACTCTAAACAGTGTTTGTCACGGACTCCAGTCTGTTCGCGTCCAAACAAATACGAATCTAAGTGTGAACGCCTGAGGAACAAAGGTATTGAACCGACTTGTGGCCGGAAACACTCGTCCGTCCTAGTGGTTTTCACTACTTCCTTACAACGCAGGCATTCGGTTCCATGAAGAAGGTCTCTAACAGTGCCTGGTTAAAAACCTTCAAGCTGTTCCCGAACCGCCTTCGCTATTCTTGGCAAAGCGGGTAGCTTCCGTGCCATTGGCCGGTATATCCATCAGCCCGGATTGATCGAAGTGTTCTAGTAGAAAACCTACATATAGTAAGTGTTGATGCAGAGTAGAGGAATATATTGTGGAGTGATACTGTGAGGATGGGGGATCAGGCTGGACGTCCAGCTACCTCAATCTTGCCGCTTGATAGCATCAATGCCTGGCTGCGACGTAACCAGTCTAGGCCAGGCGCCGATGCCGACATGTTTTTGAATTGAGAGAGATTGAATAAGCATGAAAATAATTCTGTGTATGGTAGTACATAATCTTGCGGGCAAGGTACACATGACAAGCACGCTAGTCAGTCTTCAGATCACAGATCACGTGAAATCTTGCTCTGCCGAGGTTCCGTTGAGCGCCGAACTCCCTTCACTTCTCATCCACCATCGTCCAACCACGCTTTGGATTCAGCCATTGCCGCAGGTGCCGCCAGCACGAATACAAACATACCAGCCCTGCAGCGTGGGAACGAAGCTCCTTACGAGAAATGGTGACCAATTTACTGGTGGTTTTAGTAGCCTCGGATCGCACCGCCGGAGTGTTCTCTGTACTTCATCTGACCTGATGTGCCTTCGGCAATATGGAAGGTGAATATCCCCACTCTACGGATCCTTGGAAAGCAGAGCGTCTCTGTGGTTGGAACTTAGCACACAACCAAGCGAATGACGACTTCACATGCTGGCGTAAAAGAAGTATTAGTACAGCCTAGATCTCCTTTCTTCTTTCGTCCTTCACTTCAAACTCATTGCCTCACTCCTAGTTCGATCTTCCACCTAGCATAATGTCTCCCGCCGCTATTGTCAATGCTGCCCCTTCCCCTTCGAACGGGACAAAGATAGTCCCTGTGTCGTCGGTCAAGCCGATCATCACTCCTTCGTCTATCCTGCCCCCTGCTCCCAGCAACTCTGTCCCTGCCTGGGTTCAGCCTGATCTTACGCGTCTTCTCCGCGTTGAGCATCTTCCCGGATCGTTCGCCGCCCGTTCTGTGTCTCTCGTCGATCTCCCTGCGGGCGCCATATTCGCGCGCATCTCCGGGCCTACGCCTGCGTCGTGCGCGTACACGTCAGTTCAAGCCTCGCGTGACCTTCACATCGAGCTCAACAGTGACCTGGTCTTCATAAATCACTCATGCCGGCCGACACTTCTCTTCGACATGACGCGCTGGGAGGTCAGGGTCAACCCAGAGCTCAAGGGCGGACTCAAAGCTGGAGACGAGCTCACATTTTTCTACCCTAGCACGGAGTGGGACATGGTACAACCATTTGATTGCAGATGTCGAGAGGCTAGCTGCAGGGGCACCATCTCCGGCGCCAAAGATATGGAGCTGGAGGTATTGAGTAACTACTGGTTGAACCCCCACATTGAGGGGCTACTTCAGGAGAAGCATGCGGCTAACGGCAAGGGCAATGGTGTTCACAATGGCGTCAAGAATAGCTCTAGCACCGCTTCGTAAGCTGAGCTGGTTGGATGAATGCCCACAAGCGACATTGCGGTGGATGGCACAGCGGCTACAATCCAAACTCTCCCCAAAAGCATTGAATGTTCGCATCGTTTTCCTACCTCAAATACAATCGCACATTATGCCGAAAGCACCTTGTTCACTCTTCTGAAACCGATCTTCAACCTCATAATATTGTCGCCTTGATTCATCCCATCTTCAATCTGCAAGGAGCACTGACGTTCTAAATCCCCGGCAGGCGTGAATAGCGTCTCCTGAGGCTGAAATTCGCGCACTGGCATGACATGAGGGGCGTAGAGGGGCATAGGGCAGAGTGAAACGCGGGGGCGGGGTAAACCTTATTTAGGGAGCCGATGTCGGCCTTCACCTCAGATCCAGTCTCTTCCGATATCTTAAGAAGCGCGGCCGGAAGGCATCGATCAATCTGGAGGGTTACGAATCACGGTATTGGATTGTCCTGTACCTGAGAATGATATTGGCCAATCACAGCGAGCCCCACGCAGCCCTCCAACTCTCGCAACACCTACATCACACCATACTTTTTTTCTAAAAGGCTTACAGATTTAACTACCGACCGAGAGAGGCTAGATAGAGAGCTGAACCTCCTTGTTTTTGAAGTCCGTCGGCTCCCGACGCAGAAGTCCTTGGGTTTTGAGCAACTCGTGGGGGATTGGTTTGTCCAGAGAACTCAAGATTAGCTAGAATTTGAGCTTTCCGAGCCGGCCGGCGGCACAGGCGGCATATCTGTGAGCTACGTAGCGTTCGGAGACTGGAATCTGAATGAGTTTGGGGACCATCCTTAAAGGGGGTCTGAGATCTAGAATCATGGCATATTTTCTTTATCCCCAGTAACTTGGGAAGCAAGGAAGTTGTTCACGGCCTCAAAACAATCGCGGGCATTTATTCTAGATGATAAATAGTATTTAAACATTGCACGGTATCGCCCGGAAACGATAAGAGGACCTGTAGAGGCCTGTTTGCTAGCACTGGAGAGAGTGAGACAGAGTCCCCTTGGTGAACACACCGTAACCAAGCGAGAATTCAAAGGCTGGAGGTTAGAGCCGAGCCATTCCCATTCCCTCACCATCATTCATTATTCATACATTTATATCAGTTGCGCATCCCCCACGCAGTAAGCCGACAATATGCGTATACGGTATTGTAAGTATCAGTAAACGCTACGCCCAAATTCGTCCACCATGTCAAGATAATATTTAGTTTGCTAAATCGTTTCTTGCGGTATTTTTAAGCCTGGTATAATAGTAGGCGTAATCATAATACGTTTCTACCTAAGACACTTGGTTCTTCCCGGCAAGGCAGGACGAAGACTAAAAGCAGGTTACGAAACTGGCTTGCAGAGGGCAGATCCGTCAAAATTTACCCCCTTAAATGGTTGGTCTTCCAACTTCGCTTTTCATTGCTGACCGACTACTCCTAATACTACTCCTAATGCTCTTACAGATGCTATTAGATCTCTATCATTATCCCGACTTTCTATCAACATCTTTGCGCAAACCCTTTAACAAACGAACACATATTATTACTTGAAACTCCTGCTAGTACACATCGATGTTAGTGTACTCTCCTTTCCGCCTAGGTATCCTCAAACCAATCACTGAGTGTCATCATCCAGCCCGCTAACCCACCAACATCGCTGGGACCCTTCCTAACTCCACATCCCCAGCCTGGGTCTCCATACGACATTCTACATGGGTATTAGTTGTCTTGCTCGTCGCCTGACTTGGCTCCACACTCACGGTATTGTTGTCCTTGGTCTTGAGCTTCGTCACGTCTTTCAAGGATGTTCATGACTCTTTGGTTTCTCTACTCTCGTCGCGAAGACTAAAGATGAATGTAGACTACTACAACTTACGCAGCCGCAAACAATAAAGAGAGTATGCTGAAGAATATAATTTAGAAGGTACCTTGTTCATGTAGAGGTATTGAGTCAATATGACGGGGCGGAATGGTGGAAGTGGTATTGGCCAAGAAAAAAGACTTCGCTGTGATAGATAGGTCTTTGGAAATGGGGGAAATAAACCAAGAGCCAAGGCTAAATAACGCGGAAGTTTATCGGATGAAACATAAGGGGCGCCTCAGGGGTGGCAGTGCTGGCCCTTTCAACTAATACCTCTTGTCTTTGGCCTGGATTGAATAGGAGGTTTTGACTGCGTGTGGACATCTCTCATTAATTTTCCCATGACTTTGAGTTATCACCAGGAATGCGCACCGATATTTGTATTCTCAGACATGACATCGTGGCTGCTAGAGTGTAAGTCAGGCAGCCATGGTGATAAGAGAATCACGGCTACAGCCCTGTCTGCATAGTCGAAGTCGCCCCTCACGGCACAGGATTTTAGTTATTCTCGTATAGAAAATCCAAAAAGAGGCTAGGGTGATATGGCAGAACGTCCTCTTTCATTTGGTGCACTAAGATATTTATCCCTCTTAGGAGCTCGGAGTGTCCTCAGCCCGCAACCCTCTCAGGGCTTCCAATGGGGCGTACTACTGTCCGTACAAAGTGAGCCGTACCGGTCACGTGTTCAATACAAACGTACCTAGTTTGCGGGCCGCACCGTAGGTTTAATAATGCACCAGGTACAGTATATAGCACGGATCGTATTGCCCTTTTAAGAGGTTCGCATAGCGATTCTAGGGGAGTAGAAAGGCTCCGGCAAGCAGTGCTAGAGGCGGGTTACCTTGCGCTGCTGCGATTTGTCTTCAGCTATAGACAACGTACTACCGCAGGATAAAGCAAGAGAAGCAGTGTAGAGGGCTCTTAACTTCTGCGGCCTAGGTAAGAGACCGCGCAAAATAGACAACAGAGGTACCTAATTGACTAGGTGAGGCCCGTAGGTATCTGAGTAGTTTTGAATAGAGTACTTTAATTAAATCGAACCACTCGTACAGATCACGTGAGAAGTAACAGTTACAATACGTACACCTACCTCTCATCCTCCCTGCCGTACGAACGTACACAGAATTTTACCCGTACAGGTATCAACATCGCCCAATCGTACAGTACTATGGCTCGTTGGAAGCGCAGAACCTTCTTGAGCTCTCAAGGCTTCTGGAAGGCTTCTCAGCTCGAATGCAGAAGGATACAAATTTGAACAGAATTGTTCCCGATTTATATTTGATCGGTTCATATTTAACTTGACTGTCCTTGCTATATGCAAGCATGCTAGCTGAGGGTATGTAGTCAACGACCTTGATATTCTTAAATTCCTGTAAGAATCATCTCGGAATGCCAATAATGCATTTGCATTTTGTGCTTTAGTAGTGACTGCGTACTATGAATTCAACTCTGACCCATTCCATACTCCATTCTATCCATTCTGAAGTAGAGATCGAGGTATCATGCCCTGTTAAGATCCAGCTTAGAGAAACAACCTATCCAAACACTACTGCACTCAAAGAATCATAGCAAGAATAGTCCTCGTACGAATCACCCCACCTATGAACATAACTATCACAATAAATAACAAACTAGCCGCTTCCAGCACTTAAACAGCCTCAACCCCCTTCTCTATGTCCATCTTTACATCCTCCTTCTCCACAGCGGGCGTCCGCCACCCACTCCCACTCCCCCTCTTCCTCTTCAGTCCAAACTCCGTATCCAACTCCTTCCTCAACTTGACCTGCCTCTCCACGAACGTCAATGCAAACCCGACTCCCGACAAAATCGCAAAAACAATCCAAATCCACTTCAAACTCTCCGTAAAAGCCGTCACAATCTCATCATTAATAGCATCCCCGAACTTCGACACAAACGCGGATGAAGCGCGTTGATACGCTTGCCCATTCTCCAATTGTGCGCGCACGGAAGGAGAAGAGATAGTAGGCAGGAGGGATGAGAAGCGGGTGTTGAAGATTGCGCCAGGGAGCGCGACGCCAAATAGCGAGCCTGTACCGCGCAGGAATGCCCATGAACCGGCTGCCGCACCGCTTGCTCTGTCAGGGAGTTCGACGAGGACGGCTGGGAGCGTTGTGGATACAATGATGCCGGATCCGACGGCGATAAGGAGTTGGAAGACGACCCAGGCACCCACGGGTGTGGCCTTGGCTAGCATAGTGCAAAGACTGAAGCCGAGCGTCATAACTGCAAAACCAAATTGATGAATTGGACGATATTTGCCGAAGTAAGTGAGGAATGGGCCACCGATGGCGGCGAGGACGACGATGACGAGAGTTGTGGGAAGGACTTCGATGCCGGATTTTGAGGGCGAGGAACCCTTGACTGCTTGGAAGAAGGGTGGGAGGTAAAATTGTACTCCATAGGTGAGGAAGCCATGGATTGCTGTCAGAGCGAAGGCGGTTGCTGAAGTGCGATTGTTGAAAATTGATGGTGGCATGATGGGCGAGTGACACCATTTAGAGGCTTCGAAGAAGGGAAAGATCATCAAGCCGAACAGGCCAATAATCAGGGGTGCTAGGACAGTCGCGGAGGTCCACGGGTACGGAGCCCCACCTGTGGAGAGCGAGACAAGAATAAGGACTACGGAGCATGTCAGGAGGGAAGATCCCCAGCCGTCGATGCGACGGAGTTGTTCTATGACCTTAACTTCTTTAGTTTTGACACCGCGGTTGACTTTGAGACAGAAGAACATGAGTATAATGGCGAGACCGCAGACGGGGATATTGATCCAGAAACACCAGCGCCAACCGTGCTCAGCAAATACACCACCCAGGAGGGGTCCGATGGTAGTTCCAGCTGCGAAGACGACGTGCTTTATGGCCATGTATGTTCCTCTTTTCCTCAACGGGACGAGATCGCATAGGATGAGCTCAGCGAAGAGATCGATACCACCAGTTCCAAGCCCCTGAATGATACGTCCTGAGATCATCATTGCGCCGTTGGTCGCCCATCCACATACCGCGCTGCCGATGCTGAAGACGAGAATAGCGAGCATCATGGGGTATTTTCGACCCCAAATATCTGCCAATTGTCCATAAAGAGGCTGGAAGATGGTGCTGGCGAGCAGGAATGCGGTGGCGACCCACGAGAACTTTGTACCAAGATTGAGGGCGTCTGAGATCGTGGGAAGGGCGGTATTTGTAACGCTACCTTCGAGGGCTGAAAGAAGCAGTGGAACGCAAATTGACAGGAATGATCTCCAGAAGCCGTGACTGCGTGTCCATTTCTGCGAGGGTGTCTGTGACGGAAGCTGAAGCTGAGGCGGTAGTGGAGGGTGAGTTAGATGTGGCTGCTCTTCTGGTGTGGTGCGAAGAGCGTCAGGGAATTTGAGAGACACAATCTCAGGAACCTCAGTGCTCTCGATTCTCTCCGTTTTCTCGGGTAGAGAGGATGTGGAGGGCTGGGTGATACTTGAGATCTGCTTAGCCTTCGAAGAGCGAGAGGATCGAGAGGATAACGAGCTCGGACGAGTAACTGTCGGGAAAAGGTAAGGGATGGATGGAGTAGGTACTCCTCTCATCGGTGTATTCTCTCCGGATACCAAAGGGGTAGGTGCCTGCGAGGACGTCGGTGTAACGAATGGGTTCTCCTGATGATTCTCCGAGCCAGAAGTCGGTGGCTGTAACGACATAACAAAGCGGAAGAATCGGTGCGATGGTACGGTTAACGCTGCCTGTTTGGTAATATGTGTGATTGTGTTGAAGTGGTAGTTCGTGTAGTGACTGTTGTAGAGCTTCCTGTTCTTCGAGCGAACCGTATTATGTGTTGTATAGAGTTGAGGGAAAAATCGAAAGTCAAGAGGAGCAGAGGCTTTTTTAGAGAGTTAGCTGGTGGAACTCGTCCGGTTCGTTGACCAGAATAACTGGGGCTCAGAACTCGGGTCCTTATCTGCGTGTGTTGAATGTTGTACAGTTCAAAATTTCTCGTTCTCGCTGTGGCTTTGAACTATGGCTCCGTCTCTCTATGGTGCCATAGCCCGGGTTTGGACGTGAGCCATCCCTAACCTTAGTGGTGATTCCATAATGGCGATCCCACGGTTGGAGTTGACCACGATAGCAGATACCCCACAGCATGCTCCTGGTTGTTGAGAGTACCTAGGGGGAGGTCTCAACACCCTATAGGGGCTCCTTTATATAGTCTTGACCATTTTGGAAGATAGAAATTATGAGACTTGCGTGGCGCCTCGGCAATCTATCAGTGTGGGAATGTAAATGCTAGAATCGCTTCATCACTCGCGGCTGTACCTTCGCCTACTCGTCCAAGCATCCAAGGGCCACAACAGCTAGCCTCCACTGCTGCCATACGCAACCTTTCCTCGGGTACACGGAAAGGGAAGTGACAATTCCTGGTTGATCCTTGTAGCCCGCTGGCTTCTATCTCTGACAGCCCAAGTGCATCTCTATACAGAACGCCTTTCCGACCTAGGAAGCCCAGAGACCGCATTGCTGAATGTTGTGTTCCAGGAATCTTGAGACTCTAGCGAATAGAATCTCTCTTAGCATCGAATGTCTCTAACTGAGGATCATTTCATGCTGCGGAAAACACCATCCGTCAGAGAACGGCATATCTTCCTCGTAGACAGATCGTAGGACTTCGTAACATCTTCATCCACGATATACCCTATCATCGGAGTCAACGTTGCGCGGAGAGTAATATAAGAGAGACCCAGGTCTAGATCTGAGGAAGTAAAAATTCTGCAATTATCTTGCAAATGTAGATGCAGAGAGAGACAGGGACTCAAACCACTTTTCCCCTGTCCAAGTTCCTACCCTCTCCCCAACAGAGTCCATTAAGCGTGCCGCATTCGCCCTCGCGCAACAAAACAATTATGAGAAGGTGTCCAAGTGAGTTGCATGGTGAAACAAAAGACATTTAGTTGTCGCAATTTCACATCAAAGGGCCAGGCAAAGAGACGAAATGACGTCCCAGCATCCAGAGTCTCGAAAAGCATGCGCCCGGACCCTGCATAGAGCTAACCATTTTGGGCAGAACCAATCACAATCACAAAAAGCTTCGCAGAGTGAACTTGTTCAGACAATATAGAGTACTGTTGCAAATTGCGTTGCACTGGTATATCTACTCCATTCCGCCATCCTTTCATCCACTTCTTCCTCCCCATACCTTTCTTCCTCGACCTAACCTACATCATCCCAACAGCAACACCCACTACCGCTGCTAACAAGCCAGCAGGCTTCAGCACTGCCGCGGCACCTGACGACTTCGTAGCTCCAGCTGAGGTTGTGGCATTGGGAGAGCCACCTATAGTCTGAGATCCAGCGTTCACGATGCCGACGCCGCTAACACCGGTGGAGTTAGAGCATTCGTTGTCTGGGAGTAGGGCGGCGGTGGCGTTGAAGGTTATGTCTGCGCACTAGGGATTGTGTTAGATAGACTCGAGGAGGGAGTTGGGGAGATGGGAAGGAGAGAATTGGCGTACGTTGAACAGCGAGGCGCCGGTTGATGCGATCTGGATTATTTGGAGGGAGGCTTGTTTGCCGTCGAGGCCTATTCCACATTAACATCTCCGTCCTAAAAGGACCATCACGCTCATTTTGCAAATATTTCTTCTATAATTTAAGGAAATGAGCAAACGTACTCTTAGCATCAAGGCCCGACTTCGCCAATCCTGCCGCCAGCGCGGCCTTACCTGTCTCCTTGAGGCAGAACGTTCCGTTACCCGTCTGATTGAACTGTGTTACCAGCGAGATATTAAAACTCGAAACATTCGTGCCAATGCCAAGATTGACATATGTCAGAGCCCAAGGATGTGAAACATGGAGTCGAATAGAGCCCCCGGTTGTGGGCCATTGAGTGCGGTTTTTGATGTCAGTGGTTTCGTTCACACCGGCGCCTGAGGGGCTGCGGTTAGTAAGAGTGGAAGGCTGGGAGGGAGGGTGGTGTTTAGAAGATTGAATAGTGTGCGCTCACATGGGAAGGTCCACTGGGATCGTCCTGCGGCGAAAGAATCTCCTCGCCAATACGGATATTCAATCTGGAAGTGCGCGGATACAAGACCCAGCAAGGTCAGAAGTGTAACAAAGCTCTTGAAACCCATTCTGTATGCTGAAATTATACTTGAAGAAATCTTGGGCTTGGAATCTGCAGATCTTCCGTGAATAGTTTCATGAAGAGCTCCAGAGTTAGGGCAGCACGACACTTTTTATACCCTCCCTAGGTCCTCGCCAGGCTACCATAGCTACTTGCCGCGGGGTTATTGACATCTGCATACCATGTGTACCGATGTCCCGCAAGCCTCATGAACAGATTCGCTTAGATTGCACATGCTCGCCCATAGATGCGGAATTTGAGCTTGAATCAAGCTTAGCTAGAGCCCAATGGACCCTACAGGCGGGTAGCCAAGCATCTTTAAGAATGATGGAGAGAAGGTTGTGGGGTTCGAGATCGGTAGAAATCCTGCCTAGCCATGTGCTTGGGAATGAATACTTCTCAAATGTGCTCAAATGGACTTGGCGCCGAGACTTTGGAGAGACCAGTGATGGGAAGCTAACCAATTGTGGCGAAAGTCAAGAAAGACCCATGATGCACGCGTAGAGAAATGGAAAGAGAAAAGGAAAGAGGGAGGGTATTTTTGTGAAGGTCACTTGCGCAAGGTAATTGTGTATTTGAAGGTTTCTCCCATGATGAATATACAGTTGTTTGACTGATGCAGAATACCTACGCCAATCCAATGCTGCAGGCCATTTCCAGCTTGGTGCGATCCCAAAAACGCCGTGGATATCGTATCTATACAACTAGAATATGCTGCTCTGCTTCTTACGTAGCGTATTCGAGTTTTGCTCGCTTACGCTTCGAAGACCCCAGAAACTTTTCTTCTTCATTTTGGCCTGGCCGTCGGGTTTTGGAAGCCCATTGCTGAAGAAGGAACTCTGCGATGCTGCAGGCCGTGGGCCGGTCGGCGGCTGCAGGTACGGCCCTTGCGCAGGCCGAGCTTGTGCAGGTCGAATTGGTTGTGCAGGGGGCCTTGAGGGTTGCTGGAAGGGTCCTTGTAGAAGAGGGGCAGAGTACCGTTGCTGAGGTCCTGCTGGTGGCAGCAACTTGCTCTGATCACCAAACTGCTTCCGAAGACGTTCGGTTTCTTTGTCAACTTCGGCCTGGCGACGCCTCCGCTCCTTATCTTCTTGCTCAAGAAACTTCTTTGTTTTCCTCGCTTCTTCCTCATCCACCTTTCTTCTAGCTCTCCGGTTGATTTCCTCTACCCGCTTTCGTTCTCGCTCCTCGGCTTCGACTTGAGCTTTAAGACGAGCAGTCTCGGCATCAATCTCCCATTGCGCTCGAGGGTCAAGTCGTTGTGTGGGCTGGACACCAGTTCGGAGTGGAGGGAGCGATGTGCGTTTGGCGTCATTTCGTGATGGCTGGTTGTACAATGGATTCACTGCTGCACCTTTAGCGGGCTGCATAGGGCGCGGTTGTTGTGGTGGGGGCTGAGGAGTCATGACTGGGGGGACAATGGCTCCTGGTTCCAATGGGGAAGAACCTTTTCTACCCCTCAGCCCTCCACTGTTCTTTCGAATTGTCGGGTCGATAATGTGGAAAGATTCTCTGGCGTTGTTGAAGAAAAGATCTCGAATAACAGCTGCTCCAAGCAAGAGAACCACCTCCAGGCCTTTGTAATCCTCCATGTCCACTCTGTAGAGGTTCGACTCCATGATGGTCATCTCCTTGAGCCCGGAGAAGAGGGCAACTGCGATATCGGGCTCTTTGCTCTTCTTCGCCTTCTTCCCAGTTGGGTCGGTAGACTTCCCTGTGAGGTAGCACGTCATGTCCTTTCCTATCCTGCCCTCCTTCCTCCACACAAAGTTGATCTGGGGTGTGGCGGCATCCGCCCCGGGGTCGTTTTGGCTGCGATCAAGGGCTGACGAGCTTGGTGTCCGGAATGTTGTCTGAGGCATGCTGAACTCATACCACACTGTTCCACTCCACTTTGACGTTTGCTGCCTGATTATGATTTGCTGGTCAGGGTTGTACAGCTGGATGGCGAACTCGGTGGGGAGAATAGGTTGGGGCGACGGGGGTACTCCTCCATTCTTGCGTATCTCGTCCTGCGATAGAGTAGGTTGCGTCCAACCCGGTTTTGAAAGGACTTCGCCATAGAGGATGTCGGGACTGTGTGAGTCGAAGAGAGCGGCGGCGTATGTGTTTTTGGCTGCGTTGGCGGCGGGGTCGAGGTGGTGGAGGGCATACGTGGCCTCGGGTTCAGTGCCGCGTTGAGTGAAGTAGAAGGACTCGTGGTGCTTCAACCCATCAGGCGAAGGCTTGAGAAAGAATGCTGCGAGCCGTTAATGCGAACATGTTCACCCAACGACAGGGCTGTGGGGGAGCTTACTGGGTAGGTTCTCGTCTAACATGGCGGCATGATATGGCGCGGGTGGCTTCTAAATGGCAGGACGGGCGAGAGAGACAATGCAGTAGCGAGTGAGGAGGGGTGCAGCAAAGTGATGTTCATATATCATGTCTTCTCCACTGTAAACGCGTCTGGGGGCGCTGGTTGGAGGCTGTGAGCCTGTGATCGAGTTCCCGCGCACGGATCCGATCAATGGCGGTGCTTGCCTTACCCTGCTCCGAGCCTATTCTTGGAAAGAAACTGTGAACCATTCACATTTACCCTGCTCTCCATCACTCTTACTCATCAATGGGTGGCTAACTCTTGCGAATCCTCCCCGATCTTCAATCCACGGCTCCAAGAGACGACAGTGGGTTTAGCAGAGCTTAGAAATAGGATTATCACGGAGGCATGCGCAATGAATCTGCCACACGTCTCACGACAACACGCCGCCGCAGCACAGCCACCTGGAAGTCCCACAAGCTCGTGATGCAGACGCAGCTCATCTCGAAACGGCTCGCGCTGTGTGCCTTGTAGTACTTGTTCTCTATGATTACTTCTCTATGCTTTGTTGCTTCCAATGACCTCTCGTTTGTTTCGGGGTCTATATACCCGTGTTTCGAATTTTGACGTCTTACACAGGTCAACTAATTAGCTTTTCCTTTCTGATTACGCGGCACATGGTCACCACTCTCGCAACTCCAGCTTCTTTTGGTCATGAATTTGAATGCTCATTCGCTAATTAAATGTAGATCCTCCTCGAGAAGTGTGGGAAGAAAGAAAACTGCCTCCAAATTGTGTCGTGGTCCCCCATACGATCCGCCAGCCAATCGCAGAAAATGTACGAGGCCACAATCACCAACTGCCATCCAGCTTCTTAATCATCGCCTTTAAGCTCGGAAGCAATATTCCCCGCTGCCAAGGTTTGATTACTAAGACTAGCCCATCTGTGCAAGAGATGGACAGAAGCCTTGGACTTGATTTCACAACGTGTGAACTTGATCTCGAACGCCTTGCTGGGCGAAGGATAGTGAAAGTCGAAATTGTCGGTAGCTTGAACGCCAACATATTCCATCCAATCATTTTGCGCCTTCGCTTGGGGTAGGTCACGATTACCAAAAGTGTATAATAACACGGCCTTCCTCCTGTTGCTTGACTCTTACCCACGACGATTCCAAATCTGCCTTTGAGTTTCACGCCGGTTGTTGACCCGGGACCTCCGACTTGTGCAGCCTGACTTCCGTACTCTTGTGGTGGGCCAATAGGGAAATCTTCTAGGTAATAGACGATTGATCCAACCTCAACAAGTCCAAGGCTGTAAGCTGTGAGTGTCTCATACTCTGCTCGCTTGTGACTAGTGCAGCTATCTGTTAGTACACTTGGCGGTACAGTACTACAGTACATCAAATTTAGGACTGGTTAGTAAGTATAGAGGTTGTTGTCAGTATAGTAACTGTATGTGAGGCTCTGTTACTAGCCGTTTACGGTAGTCTGTATACACGTTGGGTGGAGTAGAGGTGCCTGCGCGGCTGCAGGAGGTGCAGAGGGCTCAGAGGGCTGTAGAAGGCGCAGAGGGGCCTTATGGTAGCCAGAAATTAGTGCAGATTATCCAAATCTAGCGTGTTTTGCTAGCAGTTTGCTAAGAAACTCTACAACACAAGAATCTAGCCCCTCTATGCACCTTATAATATTAATTTCTTAGTACATTACCTGCTAGCCTTAAGCATCTTAGCGCATAGCTGCCTCCTCGGCCTTTGGGAGTTAATCTGCCTCTAAGAAGGCGCCTGCTCACTATCCTACTGCGTTTTATACACAACAATTAGGGCTAGTTATAGAGCTACAAAAGAACTAGCTATTTAATAAGGTAGTAAGTGGCAAGTTAACTAAGCTAGCAGTGTATATTAAATAGTAAGAAATGCAGTTTAAGAAAAGTCTAATTTACTTCTGCTTCTACTACTATTTTTTAATTAGGTTAGAGACCCTGTAAACAGCCTGTTACACTCTATATAGTACAGCGCAGTCTATTAAGTCACCCGTTACGGAGTACTGCTAGTTACCCTCTCTCATCTACTCAGTACAGTTAGTACTCGCAAGCAGGTTAAATAGTACAGTACACCGTGCAACCTCAAAACTACTCCATTGCGTACAGATGGCCACGCTGTGTGGGATTAGCTATGTAAATACTATCCAGCTAATATTTTAGCAATGCATCTTTATCAAGATAATCTCTAGCTATTTCTCGACCTGTCACCTGTTTCATCTTTAATATTGCATGCGCTCCCGTATCCCGCATCACTATCTCCCAGCTGCATGAATTCATATGGACACCCTAGCTAGCTAATATATCCTGTATAATCACTTCGTTCAGGGTTTTAAATATTTTTGTCTAAGCTAGTCTCCTGAATGCCCTAAGCAAGGTGTTCTGCTGCTCCTTACTAGCACTTCTACTTCTATTGCGACAACACACTCTAGCAGCTCTACTGACTCCTTCACTTATCCGCTCGCTTGATATGCTCTGGCGAGCTCGTGCTGCGACGCTAATCGATCAGGATGGTCTTCTTTGAGTACTTCTGTACGTATCGCGACAACACGCTCTAGCAGCTCCACCGCCTCCTTCACCTGTCCGTTTGCTTGATATGCTCTGGCGAGCTGGTGCAGCGATGCTAGTCGATCGGGATGGTCTTCTTTGAGTACTTCCGTACGTATCGCGACAACACGCTCCAGCAACTCCACCGCCTCCTTCACCTGTCCATTCGCTTGATATGCTCCGGCGAGCTTGTGCTGCGACGCCAGTCGAGAGGGATGGTCTTCTTTGAGCACTTCCGCTTCTATCGCGACAACACGCTCCAGCAGCTCCACCGCCTCCTTCACCTGTCCGTTCGCTTGATATGCTCTGGCGAGGTTGTGCTGCGACGCCAGTCGAGAGGGATGGTCTTCTTTAAGCACTTCCCTACGTATCGCGACAACACGCTCCAGAAGCTCCACCGCCTCCTTCACCTGTCCGTTCGCTTGATATGCTCCGGCGAGCTCGCGCTGCGACGCCAGCCGAGAGGGATGGTCTTCTTTGAGTAGTTCCGCTTGTATCGTGACAACACGATCCAGCAGCTCCGCCGCCTCCTTCACCTGTCCGTTTGCTTGATATGCTCTGGCGAGGTTGTGCTGCGACACTAGTCGAGAGGGATGGTCTTCTTTAAGCACTTGTGTACGTATCGCGACCACATGCTTCAGAAGCTTCACCGCCTCCTTCACCTGTCCGTTCGCTTGATATGCCCTGGCGAGCTCGTGCTGCGACGCTAGTCGAGAGGGATGGTCTTCTTTAAGCACTTCCGTACGTATCGCGACAACACGCTCTAGCAACTCCACCGCCTCCTTCACCTGCCCGTTTGCTTGATATGCTCCGGCGAGGCTGTGCTGCGACGCTAGTTGAGAGGGATGATCTTCTTTAAGCACTTCTGTATGTATCGCGACAACACGCTCCAGCAGCTCCACCGCCTCCTTCACCTGTCCGTTCGCTTGATATGCTCTGGCGAGATCGTGCTGCGACGCTAATTGAGAGGGATGGTCTTCTTTTAGCACTTCTACTTGTATTGCAACAACACGCTCCAGCAGCTCCACCGCCTCCTTCACCTGTCCGTTCGCTTGATATGCTCCGGCGAGGTTGTGCTGCGACGCCAGTCGAGAGGGATGGTCTTCTTTGAGCACTTCTGCTTGTATCGCGACAACATGCTTGAGTAGCCTCACCGCCTCCTTCACCTGACCGTTCGCTTGATATGCTCTGGCGAGCTCGTGCTGCGATGCTAGTCGATCAGGATGGTCTTCTTTAAGCACTTTAGTACGTATTGCGACAACACGCTCCAGCAGCTCCACCGCCTCTTTCACCTGTCCGTTTGCTTGATATGCTCCGGCGAGGTTGTGCTGCGACGCTAGTTGAGAGGGGTGGTCTTCTTTAAGCACTTCCACTTGTATCGCGACAACACACTCCAGCAACTCCACCGCCTCCTTCACCTGTCCGTTTGCTTGATATGCTCTGGAGAGCTCGTGCTGCGACGCTAGTCGAGAGGGATGGTCTTCTGTAAGTACTTCTGCTTGTATCGCGACAACACGCTCCAGCAGCTTCACCGCCTCCTTCACCTGTCCGTTCGCTTGATATGCTCTGGCGAGCTGGTGCTGCGACGCCAGTCGAGAGGGATGGTCTTCTTTGAGTACTTCCGTACGTATCGCGACAACACGCTCCAGCAACTCCACCGCCTCTTTCACCTGCCCGTTTGCTTGATATGCTCCGGCGAGCTCGTGCTGCGACACTAGTCGAGAGGGATGGTCTTCTTTAAGCACTTGCGTACGTATCGCGACAACACGCTCCAGCAGCTCCACCGCCTCCTTCACCTGTCCATTCGCTTGATATGCTCTGGCGAGCTCGTGCTGGGACGCCACTTGAGATGGATGGTCTTCTTTTAGCACTTCTGCTTGTATCGCGACAACACGTTCCAGCAGCTCCACCGCCTCCTTCACCTGTCCGTTCGCTTGATATGCTCCGGCGAGAATATGCTGCGAGAGAAGCCGGTTAGGATCATATTTAGTGAGATTTAGCTCCCTCCATTTACAACACTCTTGAAGCCATATAACAGCTTCCTGTATCCTTCCGTCAACGTATAGGCATCGCCCAACCTTCTGACAGAGTTCGCTCTTCTCTTCTCCTTGTTCCACTTGCTCATCTCTCTTTATACGTGCTACATGCGGTATGTATTCCCGCCAGATCTCACGATTTGTGTAATCGTCGGATGGAAAGACTTTCAAGAGGTGTTTTAATGCCACCTTCCTTGTCTCTTCTCCACGGCCGTTCTGACTAATCCACGTCCTGGTTGATAAGTGTACTAGTCTATGCATGTCAAATATTTTGCCGTCTTCTCTTCTCTCCAGAAAAGAGTATGAACAGAGCGTGCCAATAGCACTTGCCATCTGTGCTTCCGGGTGAACTGCGGGCAAGATGGAAGATGGAATTGCCTTCCATTCAATGTAAGAAATGAAGGCGAGAAGGTCTGCCGCCAATGTATTGTGCTTCAGAATTTGGTTGAAGGTTACTGTCCATGTCTTCACAATCGCGTTCGCCGAGTGCTTGTACCGTGTGTTGTCATAGAATTCTCTGCTTAAGGTAGCGATAGCGTCCTGGTCTGTGTTCTTTAACAGCTGGAGGTATTCTAATATAGAACTTTTGTTCGTGTTAATGTATGCAGCCGCCTGAGTGATGGCTAATGGGAGATAGTCCAGCTCGGTAAGAAGATCTATCATGAGCGTATCGTTTTTAGGTAGGCTATTTCGGATTAACGACTTGTTTAGCAAATTTATCGCCTCTTGTGTCTCCATCTTTTCTACCTCAACCACATTGCTGCCTGCTACAGATTGTGCAACCCCATAATGCCGAGTCGTAAATACTGTCAGTCCGTCATCGCTTTCTGGCAAGAAGTCTAACAGACCTTTCCCCTGCCCAGCCCCGTGCAGAAGGTCCTGGTCATCAGCATTGTCAACGATTAACAGCCACTTGCCTGCGGTCTTTGCGTTCAGCCGTTGTAGTACTAGCTTTCTAATGTCCTCCTTACTCTCCTGCGACTGATGTATCCCTAATGCTCCTGCTATTTCCGCGCATCCTTGCTCAAACGTTTCCATACTCGGCGCTAGTATCCAGAAGATAGAATACTCTGGATAGTCTTTCTTAACAGAGTATGCCAACTGTAGCGCGATCTGTGTCTTGCCGATGCCACCGAGACCAACAAGCGCCACCTTTTGACAATCTTTATTCACAAGTAGCTTTTCTTTCAGCTTATTAAGCTCCGTGTTCCGACCAATAAACTGGAGGTTTCGTGGGAAGGGGAGGTAGAAACAAGTCGCCTGGCTCCGCCCTAAGGCGAATTAGTTATATTAATAAATATATAGAAAACTACAAGATGTACACTAACCTCTTGCTGCTTCATCAGCGGTCTGCGTCCTCGCTACATTAGCTGCTGGAATAACCTGCAGCAGCTCCTTTGCGTACGCTGCCGCGGCGCCGGCAGCGTACGATTGCCATCTCTTACTCTTATGTGAGTCGGCGTAGTCGCAGATCCCGCGGATTATCAGGCACGGAAAGTTGTTCATCAAGCCGGCTGCCTCCATCTCAAAGCAGAGGACCCCTCCAAACTCTGAGCTGATCTTGTCCCGTATCACACCATCCCTCATCACCTGGTTCCCTGATGCGATCGTGCCGTAGTGAACCATGGGCATGTTGTTTGTCCGCTCCTCTCTCTGTATCTTTCCTGTGGCCGCGCATGATGCACAGTTGTCCCCTCCAACATGATTGTATTCCGCTTCGAAAAGCACATCGCTTCCTGCTTCATCACGAGCAAACTTGCAAATTTTACTGAGCTTCGACAGGTGTGGAGATAGACTCCCTCTCCCTCGATCTTGGTTAGAACGAAGCTTCGTGACGGCGGCAAGGAGAACTTGGGGGGGAGTATTAAGAAAGCCGGTTTGCTCGAACCCTTTTGGCGTTGACTTTCCAAAGTCATATTGGACCACTCCACCATGACCATTTCCCGGCTGGCTGACCACAACATCCCCAAGCCGAACGTCTGCTTCTTTACTTGGAACACCGCCTCCGATTCCCACCATCAGCCCAAATCGAATAGCTGGGAAAGTGGCCTTCAACTGCACAGCGACTGCTGCTGCGAGGTTAGTGCCAGTCTGACCCGCAGGCAGGCACGCTAGGACGACATGGTGATCCCCGATGCACCCGAGCGTGTATATGTTTGCGTCGCTGCCGTTCGGGAGGAGGTCTTGGTGCTCTTCGTCAAGCATCTCCTGTGCTGCAGTGAACTCGTCCGGCAACGCGCAGACCCAGCCCACCGTGTACTCGTCGCGACCGAGGCGGCGTGTCATCTTGTCTCAGTGTTAGTCAAAACATTAGAAATTTGCTCACTTGAAAATCGATGGCAACCACCACGTAGGTCGAAAAAGAGCCTTTATGAGCTTGCGATGAAGCTCAGCCTCGTTGCAGTCCCCATCTAGAGCTAGGCGCCAACGCGCATATATGACTGGCTGACCGAAAGGGAACAAGACTACTACTGTCGCGTGGCGTCGAATTGCAAGCAGCAGTCAAGTCTCACGGTCGGCTCATTTTCGGCGCATCTTACTCGTGTAGTTTTTCTGATCCACCTCTTGAGAAATTCAATCCTACAGATAGTCTGAATCACGTGTGGCATCACGTGCCCATAAACAATCGAAAATTCGTTCGCAGGTATCTACTCGCTGTTACCAGACTCTCAAGGTTGCGTGCAGGCTCAGGTGGGGCTAAACCCTCGTTCAGAGTTATTCGAGAAACAGGATTTCCTGGACCAAAATATCAAAAGCCTTGAGTGAATTGGATTATATATTTCAGGCTGGGGTTTTGGCGCTAATCCATCTAGTTAAGAGATCGTGGCGGAGGATATCAATGCTCATTCAAAAATTTGATGGTGGAACAGATAACAGGTCGAGAAATAGCCATATTGTGTATATTGGCAGTGATAGGGCGATTACTAGTCAAGCGAACAAAGAAAGCCGAGATAGGATGATGGAACTAAGAATTGTTCTAGACTTCAAAGGGACCGGATTTCTTTGTTATTCATACACAAAGTACACCCTCACTACAGATCTTTGAGTCGCGAACTTCCCTCACAATATGTCAACAACTCCGAGAAAACAATTCCCCCGACAACATCACTCACCACCGCACATCTATGGAATATCGGGTACGGCAACATCAACATCAAACCTGATTCAAACCATTCATCGCTAACAATACACATCATCGTTCGGTCATTTATCTAACTAAACCCACAGCAAATCAGTTCAACACATCCAGTCCCAACATCACAATCATGCTCCCCTCACCTTCCCGCCTCCACAACCACAACTTCAACACCACCACCAAACACCCAAGCGCAACACTCACATCCTTCAGCCCCGAGCCCTCCCGCATCATTTTGCACTCCTGTCCCACCTTCCCATCATATCAGAAACCCACAACAGCCCTTCTCCTCTCATTCCCCCTCGCGCAAGAAATTCACAATATGATTCTTACAAGTCGCTGCATTGAGGTCCTTGCACGCCGGCTCTTCCGCGGCGATGTAAGTGAGGAAGAAGCTGCGCGGAAGATGTCGAGTTTGGAGGAAAAGTATGACGTGTTGAGAGAGGGTGTTGAAAACGAGCTGGAAGTAGCGTGGGTCGAGGCCGGGTTTCTACCCCCAACAGCACTGACGCCGCGGCTGTCGAGTAGTGCGATGGTGAAGAAGGATAATATGGAGGGTTTACGGGGAAGGTATATGGTTGATAAGTCGTTGAAGAGGAAGGGGGAGGGGAGCGAGGGAAAGGCTGTGGGGAGGAAAGCGAGGAAGAGGAGAAAGGGTGGACATGTTGGAGAGGCGACAGAGGTGGAAATAGGGCGGGATTGTGGTGAGGATGATGAATGGCAGTACACGGAACCGTTAAACCCAATTGGAGTACAGCAGGTTATAATTCCGTTGAAGGGTGCCCAGAAGAAGAGCATGTATGGGTGGAATTGGAGGGAGGCTAAGAGGGTGGAAGAGAGAGGGGGAATGGGGGGGCTGAGGGAGTGTGTTAGCCCGATGGGTAGGTCGGTCTTTTGGGGGTAATTGTCGCTTGGAGGGTGTAGGCGTATTTTTTTAGTAAGAGGTCTGTCCGTATTTTTTCTGGCATAGTTGCCCCCTGTGTATGTTAATCATCTTTTACTTTAGCCTTCCAAGTTTGAAAATACTTTGCTCACTAGCTTGTTAATCACTTCGCTTGCTTCAAAGTTGTTGGCCGTCTCCACAGCTTCCCTTAGTCTTCATTGAACACAACACAAGCGGGGAGATCATGCTTACGAAGAAAACCCGGAAAACCGCGAAGATTACTAGGTAGAAGATGGATACGAAGTCCTGGAAGACTCTCGAGTAACCTTTGTTCCCTAGTGCTCAAGCCTGACAGATAATGGCAATAGCTTTACTTCCGGTGGCATTTCATTCGTTTTAGCAAGATATGGGTAAAATCTGTGTCCGTCTCTGCTACTTACCTCGGATTGATCCAAGAAATGTAAACTGCTTCGTACGCGCCGCGGAACCTTTGGCAGGTGGAGTAATTTGGAGCAATTCAGGATAGCGACTTGGTTAGATTGTAGGCTGGTAGGCTCTCACAAACAGAACGCGGTAAGGGGCAAGGATCCGCCCAGACAAAAACCGCGCTGCCATTGTTCGAGAGCTTCAGGAATCGATAAAGCAAAATCAGCAGGAAAGAGAGGCACCCCAAGAACAAAATGAAGGGCTGACCAAGATGTTGAAAGGCGCTAAACAACGCGAGGAGCAGCGTAGCTTGATTGATGGAATCCTGCATGACCTTAAGATGATCGCCAAGACGCGGATCTCGAAACGGAGTTTGGCCAACTATGGTTTAAGCGACGCCAGGAATTGACACAAAAATTGAGAGCGGAGCAAGAAGCGTACGAGGCCGCTGAGGTCGTCGCGAAAGAAGTAGGCGTCGACGTTGACAAGGCGGGGGGGCTGAACTCGCGAATACCGAAATCACGAGGTCATCAAATCCTAAGAGATTAGAAAGAGAAAATGTATTGAATTGTGAGTGGATGGGGCATCGACAGAGGATTTCGGAGTGTGGCCACCCTAGTCAGAGTATCTAAAAAGTCTGTTGGCTATTGATACTATGAGCTATGTAGCGGATGCTTCGAGGGCCAATGGCTGGAGCGACCCGCAGAATGTTGAGCGCCAATAGTTCCTTGAGCCTGAACTAAGAGGTGTGGCGTTTATATCATTCCCCAATATAGCAAGTTAGCATCGAATCCTCTCACAAGATTAAGGGATTAGACGGATTGTACAGAGGACGCAAGCTTCTGTCGTGAATCAGATCCTTCTGTTTTTTGCGTATGTTGTGTGGACGCTGTTGAAAAGCGTTCAAAAATAATGGAAGCTAAAGAAATAAAGTTTCATTTGCTAGCAACGATCAATTAGAATGATCATGTTGAGGTGAGAAGAATGATGTCGATATCACTAATCCTAATATGGACTGATCTTTAAAAGTCGATGTGATCTCTCGGAACTGCGCCCTTCCGAGACGGCAAAACGGCGCTCCACGTGACTGACACGTCTTCGGTGGCTTAGCGAGTTCCGTTTGGAGGAGTTGATAATACGGATCCGTAAGCCGGCGAAACTTGTGGAACGGTGACCCGCAATCGTTGGGAATCATCGCGTTCACGAGTACGAACATTTCTGGCCCACATTTCCCCTCGACCATGTATGTTACTTCGCGATTTTACGAACGGCGCACTAAGCTGGCCAATCAAAGCTCACCCAAATCATTTATTGCCACTCTTTAATTCGCTACAGAGCCTATTTTGGCGCCAACATTCTGTCATCACATTTCAATGCTTTATCGCTGCTCGCTGCTCAGGCGAAACTCAACACGCTTCAACGATGTTACTAGCCTGTTTCCAGCCGCAGTCCTGTGGCGCCTCGAGACTTGAATTTCAGGATCTTGCGAGGGCTAACACTTGAACGCGGGAGGCACAGTGGCTAGCTGACTTCTACCTACGATATTTCCTAACCTTGAAACACCCAACATTCGCCATCTTTCACATGTAAAGGGAGTCCAAAAGGAACTTTTCCTTGCTTTCTATCTCTTTCCAAGCTTCTTCGTATTAGGTTCTTCTTTTTCCTTCACTGTCATTTCTAGGCTGCTCCTTCCACATCCCTTCAACCCCACTTAGGTAAAAACTCGCCCACTTCCAAATCACACCTCACCTCTCCTCAACCACAATGCTGTCGTCAGAATCAAGCGGTGTTGTAGATCCAGCAGCGCGCGACAAATATCTGCTCCAGGTCACTGCAGGCCCCTCTTATGACTCGTCGACTCACCGCGAAGTGGCCGTCAACGGTGACGATGCCCACGTTATCGACAACGATGTCATGACCTGCTACCTAAAAGTGCGGATACGTGACTACCATGGCCTTCCCCGCAGTTCTCCCTCAACAAATAAGTACTTCTCACATCCGACGCATCTGTCAGACCGGTATTCCATAGGCTTCTCCTTCGTCCCTAAGAAAGACATTGCTGGGAATGATCTGGTAACTGGATTCGACTTTGATCACTCCATCAAAGATCGTCTCCCGCCAGGGTTTAAATACGCGATGAAAATCGTTACTACCATCCTAGATCCTGGAATTTATAGCGATCCATATTCTGACAGGCCGTACTTATATGGTCCAGCGCTTTCGAGTTTCTTTTCGTTCCGCGTTGGTGAGCATGAGAGTCACACACCGGCGGATAACCAGCTCGCCACGCAACTTCAAAAAGACCCAGCGGGAGTAATTGAGGAAGGTGCCGATGGTAGTGGACAGCAGATTCGGCAAGATCTGAGCATTCCGCCAAAGGCCAACAAACGGCGGAAAAACTTTCTGAACATCTCGAATCTCGAGAACTTCACCTTTGAAGCCGGGCGACTTTACCAAGCAGATTTCTTCAACCCGTATCTTGATTTCGCCAATTTCGCGCTAAGGATTCCCGGGTTCTCCATTTCGGTAGTACGCTACATCGATAACAAAACACATCAGTTACGCTACGTCCTCAAGAACAGGAGAACGGATGAAGTTCTCTTCGTCGTCATCTTCACGCTTCTCTTCGGCCAAAAACTAGCGGGTACTTTAGGAAAACACCCTGAAGCAAAAGAAATTCAGAAGCCAACAGTAGGGACACCACAAAGGCACACTCCCGAAGGCGAGCCGTCAAGACCGGATACCTCATCGTCTTGCGAGACTCCTGTGCCATCTTCTCGGTCCTCCACCCCTGCAAGTTCGGAGGTAGAGGAGATAGAGAATTCGGGTGCGGCAGCCACCTTTGCGAACTCGATTTACTCAGGATTCGCAGCCCTCGGATTCGGTAGGACGGCATCAAGCTCTGAAGCGTCAAGCGAAAGTGGGTCGAAGAGTACATCACCCGAACGTCCAAGGAAACCGTTGGCTTCATCAAAAACAACGAGTCTCGAGGAACGGAAAAAAGATATAAACAGCAGGATTGATGATTTAGACGAAGTGCAGATGGAGGATTATTTGAGGGGCAGGCATGGAAATGGGGGTGTGAGAAGATGAGCAAGCCCCCCCAATGGAGACAATGAAAGATATCTCGACAGGTTTTGGCATTGCGAAGGCGTTAAGAAACTGCTGGGCATCGTGGGCAAGATGAGGGCTCATCGAGATTAATGAAATGGGAGAATTTGCCGCTACCATGGTCGGTTCATGCACATTGACCGAACAGCACTCAAGACTATGCTTTTTTTATTGGAAGCCTAGGCGCAAATCTACACCGTCAGTTATTGTTATCTACGCCGGCAAATACCCCGAACATTGACTTCCTGCAATCCTACCAAAGACGACGCACTCCAAAAGAGAACTGCCACCAAGCCTATTTCCTCCGTGCACGCCACCGGTAACTTCACCGGCAGCCCAGAGTCCCTCAATCCTTTCTCCACCTTCCTTGAGCACTTCCGCCTTCTCATTGATCAGCACCCCACCCATCGTGAAATGAACTACCGGCGTCACAGTCCCGATATAGACGACAGATTCCGGGGCTACATCTGTAAGCGTCCAATTCGCGAAGGCAGTGCGATGTAAAGGATCGGCGTTCTTCCCAGAAGCCGCGTTCGCAAACTGTCGTATGGAATCTAAGGCTTCGGCTCCCAAGTCGGAGATCTTGGTCTTCTTCATTAGACCTTTCCAGACATAGAAGTCAATGTGAGATTTGGCTGCACTGTAGACACCTTCATCGAGGACGAGTTGCACAGTCCATTGGCGTGGTGTCTTCGACGTCGGTGGATGGGCAGTGATGGCATTAGTGATGTTTTCCCTCGTTTCCAGTTCATCGATGAAGCGCTTTCCGTCCAGAAGGAGGAGCCCACCTTCACCTCGCAGGACTTCCGCAGCGAGGAATTTGAGCGGGGAAGAGGGGTTCGCTGGGTCAACAAAGCCTGTGGGATGAACTTGGACGAGATCCATATCTAGAAGTTGAGCGCCGATGGCAGTGAGGAGAGGTTGTGTACCTGGCCTAGGGTCGTTGGTTGATGGATAGCCGGCCAGATCAGGTCGGTATTGAGCCAGCATGCCTTCTGCGTCGCCGGCGAAGCCTCCTGCAGCGAAGATCACAGGGCCATGAAGTTCTTTCTTCTCGCCGTTTTCGCAGGCATATTCAACGCCTGTGACACGTGGGCCGGTTTGCAGGACTTTAGTCACAGTGCATGAGGTTTGTAGCTGGAAGAGTGGAGATCCTTGGAGCGCTTTGAGAAGTGTGGTCACGATGGAGGCTCCTGGAGGCGTTTGACCTGCTCCGCGATGTGTTCGCGGAAATGAGTGACCACCCAGCTGGGCGACTTTGCTGAGATCGATACCGTTGGTATCGACAAGCCAGGATACGGCTGCTGACGACGAGTTGGTCAAGGTCGAGATGAGCGTTTCGCGATGTGCTGTCATGGCGGCCATCGCTTTCCCCGCCGACTTCACGGTATCGGTGTAGAAGGCATCATCTGAAACTGGTTGATACTTGGTTGGTGCGCCGTTGATGCCGGAGGACGCTTTAATCGAGTTGCCGCCCGGTTTTGCGGACCGTTCAAGTAATTGGACAGGGACATTGTGAGATATGAGCTGAGATGCCGCTGACAGGCCTGCCAGGCCAGAACCCACTACGATGGCTCCGCTCCTGGCAAGGTTTTGCGCGGGAAGGGCAGAAGGTGTTGCCATTCTGTTGTTGTAAAAGTACGCAGCTAGAAATCCGAATACACCGAGCGAGAGAAGTGTGAGAAAACGACGACGACTCATCACAGCGAGCGGATATCAAGATTTGAAATACATTTCCTGAATGGAGGTCAGCGTGAGCGGAGTTGTGAGCTTTTCGTATGTTCTGGGCGAATTATCAGGTGATGGTCACGTCTGCGGGTGCTGTGCCTGGCGGGGATTCTTGGCTCTTGTAAAAAGCTTCTAGAAATCGGGTACGATGTCGGAATCGAAGAACCATTACAGTACTCTCTCCCAACGGGATGAAATGCCACTTGGGGTAAATACGTGACCCTCTGGAAAGCTTGACAGTCCAAGTTGAGGATGTGGCTTTCAGAGGGTAGATGACCCCGCCTGGCCCATTAGGGATAGCGTGCCAAGTTCGAGTCCTGAAACCGGAGCAAGTTCTTGACACGCTCTCTGTGACTTCGCGTCCTCTAACAAACCACTCAATGGCAACAGTACGCGCTTGCGCCGTGTTCACAGGCAGTTCTAGTCGACGAAAATCATATTTCGATCCATTATTGTCTCGGCATGTCGGACGGAAGCCAGGAGCCGCCTCGGGCAACCCAGCATATCCCAGATGACAGATCGCGCCCTCGGAACGATGCTTTCCATCCCAATGATCCTGTAGAGCCTCCCTAAGCACGTGCCGGTTGGAAGCGTCGCAGAGAGTTCCTTCCGCTTGCGCTTGCTGTCGGGGAATGTGTTCCCGCCGAAGTCCAACCAGTCCCTTTGAGCTTTGATACAACCCACCGTGGCGCGGCACAATGCGCTTCCGGGGCACCGTTCCCTCTTATATCCAAGATCGTCTCAACCCTTTCAGAGTCATTGTCACTCTTCTCCCGCTAGAATTATTGATTCTGGCTCTGATCCACCATGTTCTCGACATATGTCGACGTTGCGTTGGTCTGCTGCCCAATTCTTGCTTTCGTTACCGTTCAACATCCCAAGATGCGCATCAATAATCAGTCCAACCTACAATACTTCCTTCTTTCCTTTTTCTCCCTAGTTGCCTTGCGCTATGCCTGCTCAACATACTTTGTAATCCCTAATGAGATCCCTCTCACAACTTGCACATCTAAAGACCAACCCAACCCGATCGCTTCGAAATATCCGGGCAATGCAACCGGCACATTGAATGGAACCGTAGCCGTCATCCCGATTTCTCTTGAGCTTGCACGCCAACTCATTCCTCCCCAGTATGGGATTCTCGAACACGCGTACCGGGCTTTACTACCTTCGTTCCCTAAAGACATGTACCCCGCGGTTGTCCAAGCGCTACATGATCATGAGGTACAAGCCTTTGGATACAAGATTCCTGATTTCTCCGTAAGTCCCTCTCCTTCGCTTGAATACACACAGTCCCCTAATCTCATCAGCGTACTGGAGTTGAGTTCCCTTTCGTTGACATGTTGAACGACAACTATACCTCGTTCAAATGGGCGCCTTCCTTGCTCATGACATCTGGACACGACATCGCCCTGAAAGGAGCAATGGATTATGGGACGATTACCTTTCCAGCAACTTTCGAACCCGGGTGTGATGCGTATCGGTCTGTTCCCAACTCGAAGAGACCAGAGACCACATACTTCAGCGCCAGAAGCCTCGAACCCGGTGCTGCATCTCTTTCTACCCTTTTCTCCTCTACTAAGGATGAAATATTTCCGTTAGAGTTCTTCAAAAACTTCACCAACCAACCTACATTTGCAGACGGCAAGACTTGCGACAACATGATTAGGCTCTTCAATACATCAGTTTCTACTGCACCGAATGCCATCCAGCCTGTCAAAGGAACGGTTCGTGCACATCTAGCTCCCTTCACCAGCGAGCAGGAATGGACGAATGTATATGGCTTGAGGTTAGATTCTGCTTTCATCGAAAATAATTATCTGAGCTGCGAGAGCTTCCGCGGATACTCGGGTCATGGATGAGGGCAACTTTACGACTTCCATACCCCGCACCTTGTACTACATGGGGCACGGTCTTCTTTATCGCAGTCTAAGCACCATGTCAGATTCACTCCTTTCCTGGTGTTTTCTCTGATACAATCCTACTTCCGTGACTCTAGTGGATCTCCGGTACGCCACGCATTACACTAGCAGCAGATACGCTGTCATTCACCTCACGCGATCAGTGCAATATCGTCCAGGGTCTGCATTTGGGGCAAGGCTCCCATAGCATCCTCAAGCTGACGACATCAATTTTGCGGAGCTGCGCCGGACTTTTGCTTTGCAAATCCAGATGTGAAAACGTAAACCCCCTTTTCACTACTTCCGCTTTTGCTGTGGTCGCATTCGATACTGATGTCTGGAGCAGTAGCACTGTACTACAATATTAGCCACTGCTCAGCTAGGATGAGCTCTCCTAACTCACGAGCTAATATATCGGCCCTCCAAACAAGACTTCTTCTCTACTAAACAGCATATCTCGAGTCCAGGGGACCTTCCTCCTCACTGCAATACTTACCATCACTATCTCTGTTCTACCGGCACCGTTTGAGCATAAGTACAGTGCTTTGCATTGTCAGAAGCCGCTCAATTTGTGGCAAACACATCGCCTCATACTCACCATGAACTCTGCTCAGCCGCGCGGTGTCCATCTCGTTGGCAGCATCAATCTCCCTACAACCGAAAATGTTTTCGAACAAATCCCAGCTCTCCTGCCTAGCCGCCTCCACCGAATCCCGGATGGGGAAACGGGAAATAGACATTATTTTATCCGTTGGCAAAGGCAATTATTTTCTTCTGCACCACAGGTTCTCGCCAAGTATGACGGTTCTGGGGAAGTCACCGGCGCCCAATCAGCTTTGACAGATCAGCAAGTTTCGACTGCACTAGAAAAACTACCAGAGCTTCATACTCAATTCGATGATTTTGCTCTCGAATCTTATGCTTTGTTCAAGAAAAATATGGCAGACGGCCATATTGCATCGCAAACACGCTTCCAAGTTTCGCTACCGGGCTTAGTCAACGTAATGGCGCTAATTGCCGCCCCTTTCCAGCTCCGTCTCGAGCCTCTATACGAAGATGCGCTCGCACGCTCCCTCAAGAGGATTCAAGATTCCATCACACACTCCGAACTAGCCATCCAGATTGATGTCGCAATTGAGATTGCGCTCATAGAAGGCGCAGGACCATGGCCGGCCTATTTCGACCCTATCTTCTCGGGAGTTATTGAACGACTGTCTCGCTTCGCCAACCGAGTTGCCAATGATGTTGAACTTGGATTCCACCTATGTTATGGTGACACTGGTCATCGTCATTTTGTAGAGCCAAAAGATACGAGACTACTAGTTGAGCTTGCTAATGCTCTAAACAAATCCGTTCAAAGACCAATTCAATGGATTCATATGCCTGTTCCGAAGGGTAGGAAGGACCTAGCGTACTTCACTCCGTTGAAAGAGCTTAACTGGAAGATCCCGGAGCTGTATCTTGGCGTTGTACATCCGCATGACGAAGAGGGTACTAGGGAGAGAATTGTTACGGCGCAACAAGTGGTTCAAGAATTTGGAGTGTCGAGCGAATGTGGATTGGGCAGGACGCCTCCCGAGGAGTTTGGAACAATCATGGGGATTTTGAAGAATGTTAGTGCTCCGGTATCATAATTGGCGGATAGGATAGGTTAACGGTAGAATCGAAGCATGATATCAGGCTATTGCTTGCCAAGAAGCAAGACGATGTCAAAGGAAGTAACTCTAGATGATGAGACAGGAACGACAAGAAGGGATAACCGAATGTTTAGGCTAATAGTAACTGTCCACTTAATGAAATGATCAGTCCTGCATAAATCTTCACGAGATTAAAATATTTACTATCATCGCCTCCATTCTCCAAATCTTTTTGTGTGACTTTGTTTGGATCGTAAGTGTATAGCAGTGCGTGTACACGATAGCTCGAAACCCTTGTCAGCCGGTCATCCCGGGCCGCCCGCTCCTGGTCATTGACTGTTGAATGCTATTAGGACTGTTCGAGCACTCTTTTTCACCCTGGCTTAATTGTCTGATCGAAGCCAAAGTCGATGGTTCCTGTAATCGACACCATTCGTACTGCAAGCTAATCCAACTATATTACTCGACAAATCAATGCCCCAACCGACATCTTTCTCTCCACCAATCAAAAGCACCAAAATCGAATTTCCGCCATTTCAAGTAATTGCCAAGTCCAAATACGTTTCCAAGCCAGATGCAATGAGACTAGCTAAATTCTGAACGAAACCTCTTCCCCATAATTTGTGTTCATTTGGTCTCCGGGTGAGATTCGGGCAATTATTGGTGCCAAGAGGTTATAGTCACCGACTTAGTATAAGATATGAAGATTCGCACGGTAAAACATAGTCCAATTCGACATATAAGTGATTCGAGATGAAGTATTTGATAACTCTCGTTGCTTGTGTGCCATTGGTGGCCAGCCATGGCTTCGTGCAAAATGCAACTATTGGAGGGAAATATTATGACGTGCGATGATTCCACTCTCTTGCGGCCACTAGACTGCTAATTCAATTTCAGTTCTATCATGTGCGATCTTTTACTCCCTCAACAAAATCGCTTAGGCTCTAATGTGGTTTTGTAGCCCTACCAGGATCCATACATGAATCCTACAGTACGTGACCTCTCATGCAATTCCCGGGGCGCCCAAACTCATATCCATCAGCCTCAGCGCATCTCCCGTGAGATCCAGGGAAATTTCCCAGTCGAGAACGTAACTTTCAAAGATATTGAATGCGGCGGCAACACGACCGGTGGTATCTTTGGGTCTAAGCCTGCCGCTTTACATGCTCCTGCTGCAGCCGGCTCAACAGTGAATTTGCGTTGGACGTTGTGGGCGGAGAGCCATCAGGGACCTCTCATTACGTATATGGCTCGATGCCCAGACTCAGGTAACCTACTTCCTGTTCTCTGCAGGGTTTGAGTTCAATTCATTGACTGGTAGGCGGCAAGGTTGCAACGACTACCAAACAAATGGCACACCTGTCTGGTTCAAAATCGCCGAGGACGGTCTCCACAGCACCAATGCCGACTGGCTTAAAAACCAATGGGCCGATACACCGCTAATGACGTACCCCAACGAAGGTGTCAACTACGTGATTCCAAGCTGTTTGAAACCAGGGTACTATCTCGTGCGCCATGAGATCATCGCGCTGCACGGTGCGTACAAGGAAGGGGGAGCTCAGTTCTATCCAGGTTGCCATCAATTGAAGATTTCTGGGTCGGGGATGACGGTGCCGAGCTTAGGATTGGTGAGTTTTCCTGGTGCGTATAATAGTAAGGATCCCGGGATTCTGTATAGTCAGTATAATGAGCTGCCGTATACGATCCCAGGACCGGCGGTATTTAAGTGTTAGGCAAGACGCAGAGAAGGTAATGGAGTTCTGCGGGACACGACGAGCTCAGATGTTGTATGGCAGTTTTGATATTCTTAATCCTTTCTTAAATTCTAGCGAGAGGCTTAACAAATCGTGGTAGCTGGTAATATGTTTAAAATCGCTAGTCCGGAAAGAGTTCGACTGCGACGAGGTGTCTGCAACACTCTTCCTCTCCCCAAGGCTATGTCGCGCATAATCCCCAATCTGATCGGACTTCAGAATACTCCTGAAACTCAAAGCTGACCAATAGAAGAAGTATGTGGCGCATATCTCGCAAATCCCCTGCTGACAGGGCAGTGCTGCTTGGCCGATCCTGATCAGGCAACCTCTTAAAGCCCGTTGTTTCTACCGTCACTGAGCGGATTCGATTCTCCTTGCATTCATTCATCATGGCTTCGCTCTCATTCAGCAAATTTCTCTTGTTTGCTTTCGTGGTTTTTTTCTCCGTTCGTCGCGTCGTTTCCTTGCAGATTCCGCACACCTCCCAGAAGCCTCTCAGCCTGAGTGACGAAGCAAGTGAAGAAGAGCTGGAAGAATATATATACGAACCATTTTGCCCAGGTACATACGATCCCGAACCACTGAGCGACAGTTTAAATGCTCCGCCTGTTGCCCCTCCGTTCGTTACACATCAAGGATTCGACAGATCGTTCACGGAGTGCATCGAATGGCTTGAGAAAATAGAGACCTCGATTCAATTCCATTATGGAATGAATGACAATTCTTCAGAAGTCAATGCTGTGCTTAATTGTTTAAGAATAGCTCCAGAGGCAGCTCCAGTGCGTGAGAGGATAACTGAGATCTTCATCGTCTTTCCCTTATTTGGCGAAACGGACAGCTGGTCGAAATCTTTGGCACACCTCATACTAATTCTTCCAAATCTCAAAAGCCTAAGGTATGGAGCCAAGAATTCCGCTCTTAGCTCGTGTCTAATATAGTCAGGTTTCCTTGCCAGTATTCCTGGAGGCTTCGATGGAAGCGCGAACTGTCTCCCATCATTAGAGATGCCTATCGAAGTGACCTCATTGGAAAGTGTTACTACTACGACGAGCGCAACATCAAACAATTCCCTGATTGCGATATCACTCAGATCGAAATGGAGTATTCGCGATGCCAATGCAATCGCACGACGAGTCATGAAAACTACCGGGGTTGTTACTTTGGTGATAAGGGGGAAAACGGGATTATATCTGCTTACAAGTCGCTGATGACATGTCCGACTATCGAGTCATTATCCTTTTATGAACAGCAAAGACACCCTTTGTCATTCACGTTTCAGGCCGGGGATCGCTTCCTCTCGAAAGTTAAGCGTATAATTCTCAAGTCATACGATTGGGCAGCACCTGGTTTGGATGGACAAACACAAGCCAAGACATGGGCATCTGTAATGGATTGGAGCCATGTCGAAGATCTCACTATCGAACATCCTCCTGCGGACTTCATTTCCACTTTTACAGGACAACTGCCCAGCCTCTCATCCTTGAGTATCATAGCCCCTGAGGTGTGGCAACCATATCTGTCCGGCACCATTCCTAAGACCCAGTGCCAGGACTTCAGCGACCACGGCGAAGACGCATCAATGTCACTTAAAGATCTCTACTTCAAATTTGCATCCGCGCTTCCCCCGCTAAAGCGATTATCTCTCTTCGGCCTGAACGACCTACTTGCTGCGTTCGTGTCCGTTGTCAGACGCGGATCGAGCTTAGAAGAACTGCGAATGCATAGCTACGAGCACACAACCTGCCCCAACGCAACTGAGGATAAATATATATCGGAAACCTCTTTGAAGCTGTTGCAACAGTGGACCCCCAACCTGCGGATTTTAGAAATCGATCTAGAGCATGACGGGCCGAAAATACCATATACGAAACTCGATGTTTGCAAGAAATGGAAGAAGCTGGAAGACGTGACGTTGCGTTTCCCACTCAAAAATTCTTGGTCGCTATCCCCAGCTGATAACACCACCAAAGTCTTCATGTTTAATCGAACAAGCATCTACTCCATATTCGAGGAGTATTTCCCCACGGCTAAAAGTCTGTATATCTGGGTCGGAGAAGGATCCGTGGCTGAACTGGAGTTTTATCAAGTTCTTGGGGTTGCAGCTGCGGGATATCATTGCTCTCGTAGCGAAGAAGCGGATGCAGCACCCGAGTGCAGGGTAACTGGGATGAATATGTGTATCCAAGGACCAGGGAAATGGGAGAGTGAAGGGTGGATAGAGACGACGTCTCCTCAGGATGAATCCGGAGAGACTGAGACATGGTATATGTAAGAGGACATGAGAGTATCCTGTGGCAAAGGGACGTACGAGTCGCAACGATGTGTTTTGGATGTCAGAAACCGAATGTTGAAAGAAACGTCTACTGCATGCGGAGGACTCTGATGGAACACGGTAGGGACGTGATCTACAGCAAAATCTATCTTCTCTAAACACTCCCTTTGCTAAACAACTAGCTTGAAATATCACAAGTTTTCTTTAATCTTTCATCGTAGGCGTTAATATGGGATGACGATTTGTCCCAATGTAGCACCAACACCAAATGCTGGCCTCAGCATCCTTTGGATCGGGACAACTTTACTCCGTCTACTAATAATTCCGCTTCCTCATTTGCTTTAGCAAATAAATGTTCTGCATGCACGCTCTTTAGTCAGCTATCTATTCGTAATGATTTTTCAGGAGCATTCTCTCAAGTCCCTCACTCCACTCCACCCCTCCAATCTTCGTCTCTCTATTGACCAACCCTAACCGTCGGAAAACACGCCTCAACAATCCCAATCCCGGCCACCCTTCGGAAAACTCATCCATCACATCATAACTTTATCATCTAAGCATCTGCACCGGTGGAAGTTTCCTCCATTGTTTCCAGATACAAATGCAGCGGAGTTGAGATATTTCCGCATATAAATAACCCCCTGCTGATTAGTGAACCGGCTAACCGGATTTGGTTATCTGATGTAGACCCGTACTCTTCGCTTCCGGTTAGAGTATGTTAGTCATATAGGTTGTTAGTAAGAGGATGAAGTGGAACGTCATATTATTGTGGTTACAAGTGTAGGAGAGGGTGGAGATGGAATGGACATGGGAGGGAGGGGAGGAAGTATAAAGGGGAGAGGAGGCTTGGAGGAGAAAAGCTCTTTCTATCTCATCATCAAGCATTCAGTCCAGTCATCTTTTGCAGCAACTCTCTAAGAATTAATCATATCGAGTCAATCAACCACCTCACAACTTTCAATTCTTCCATTCTAGTAATCTCGCTATTTCCAACCCCTCAAGCAAGCACAAACACATCGACCACAGTCATCCCAATGCAGTCTCCAAAGATCCTCATCACTGGTGCCACCGGCTACATGTAATTCTTCCTTCCTCCCTTCCAACACATCCTACTAACCCCTTCCAGCGGCGGCACCCTCATCCACTCCCTTTCCACTACCACCAATCCAACCCTTAAAACGCTTAAAATCAGCGCACTCCTCCGCTCAGCCTCTCAAGCCGCTCTCTTCACGGCGTACAACGTCTCCCCCACCATCCTATCCAACCCAGACGACCTGGAGGAGGTGCGAAAGATTGCTTCCGGCTTCGACATCATTCTAAACCCAGCTTACGCTACCTTACCGGAGCATTCCAAAGCGCTTGTCCTCGGTCTGGGAGATCGCTTGGCCTCGAACCTCGAGGGATTTGTCCCACACATGATACAAGTCTCCGGCACCTCGAACCTCTCCGACCGGCCCTTCACGGATATTGAGAAAATCAATCCCTACAGCTCTACGCCGGAATTCTCGGACACGGATTCTGTAGCCGTGTATGAGATGGAGAAAAAGCTTGACGCGCTGGAGCCATATGCGCAAAGGACTGCCGAACTGGCCGTCATCGACACAGGGCTTGCGGTGGGGATCAAAACCCACAACATCATGTCTCCCACTATTTACGGGCCTGGCTCCGGTCCGGGGAATAAGCTAAGTATTCAGATTCCGGCGGTGGCGCGTGCGGCGGTCAAGAATGAGTTCGCGCACACCGTTGGCACCGGCTCGCAGGAATGGGATCATATTAGTATCACCGATTTAATCTCCCTGTACGAAATCCTGCTCACCCGAATCATCGAAGGCAAACCCGTCCCCTCTGGTCCATCTGGAATCCTATTCTCTGAATCGGGCCGACATACGTGGAGGCAACTCATGCAGATGGTGGCAGATGCAGGCGTCAAAGTCGGAAAGTTGCAGAAAGCGGAAGTGAGGAGTTTCGAGCTGCAGAAGGCAGCAGATTTGTGGGGGTTGGGTGCTATGCCGGCGTTTGCGGAGTTGGGGCTTGCGAGTAATTCGAAGACGAGGGCGGAGGTGGCGAGGAGTTGGGGATGGAGGCCAAAGGACAGGGATGAGGAGTTTAGGAAGGGGATAGAAGCGGATTGGAGGAAGGTGGTGGAGAAGGATGGGCAGTAGGATGATAGGCGGGCTAGGTAGAGGCGGTAGCTGAGGCTGGGGATAGAGGCTAAAGGATAGAGATGAGGAGTTTAGGAAGGGGATAGAAGCGGATTGGAGGAAGGTGGAGAAGGATGGGCAGTAGGATGATAGGTGGGCTAGGTATAGGGGGTAGCTGGGGCGGGGGAAGAAAGTTGTCTGGCCGTGCGTAGATGAGTAAAGCAATCGCTCCTTTTGTGGCATGGTGCATGCATTCGCTGCCAGCTCTAGCTCCTATGTGACATCACAATTCTCAACGAAGGCCACTCGCTCAAATACAGTAAATCCAATATTTTCCCCCCAACCCATCTCCTAATATCCAAACGCAGCAATGGTATATAGCTATAGCAAGTCTCCTCATCTATCGTCGAGGGATAACAGTTCTCGTCTCTGGCTGATCGAGGACCCAAAACGCCATTTCCAAAACCAGAACCAATACCCTATATGCAAAACAAATACAATCGGCAACGAAGGCCGCCACCCATTCCAATGAAGGTTCTCAAAATATTCTAGTTCTCTTGGTAGATAGACAGACAAAGAAAAAGAGTCCAAACGAGGGACGAAAGGCTAGCCCAAATCAGGCCTGAACCTCGACATGATGTTGAATATCGAGGTGGGGGAGAGGAAGAAGGAGAAGGTATGTAGGCAAAGTGATGTTGTATACAGCTCCGCTCCACACGGAGCAAAATAGAGAAACAGAAATTGGAAATGGGGTATTTGTTATGAAAGAAGAGAAAACCAGATTTTTTAGAATGAAGAAGTTCATGTGCATGCAAAGTAAGTATTAGGAACGGATAAGCAAGAGGGAGAGGTGGGGTGGGGTGGTATGTGAGGAGGGACGGGTGCACATATCTACACCCCGTCACCATTTGTCCCAACAAACCCATCAGCAAGCCCCATGCCCATCCGTAGGAATTGGTCTTGGTGGTTCTCGATACCCTCCATGGGTATCATGCCACTAGCACTCATGCCATGCGTCTCCATAAGCACCTGTGAGGTCCTTCGCGAGGAAGCTGCAGACCCCATGTGTGTCGGATGCGGGGACAATTGCTGATGCTGGTGGTGATGTTGGTTCCGGCTCTGGTTCATGTGCTGGCGGGCCCATGCCTGAGCTTGGGCCTGAGCCTGAGCTTGTGCTTGTGCTTGTGCTTGTGCTTGCGCTTGTGCTTGTGCTTGTGCTTGGGCCTGAGCATGTGCGTGTGCCTGCGCTTGGGCCTGGGCATGCATCTGGGAGGGATGGATGGGTGTAGGTTGGAGAGGTAAGCCGTGGTGGCGATTGTTGAGTGCGTTCCCGTGGGGTTGAGTGCCGATTGAGCCTTCGTCTGATGCGACTTCAGCGTCGATGTCATCAGGGTCATCGTCTTCCCCTTCGGCATCGGCTTGGTCGCTGCTTGCTTCGGTGCCGTTGGTCGTGGGCGGTGCCGAGTAGGGATTCGACGGAATCTTCGCACTGGCATCTTGGCCGGCGCCATTGATCCCAGAAAGAGATTGCGCGGGAATGTTGGCTACGGAGAAACTTCTCGCACCCGTGCTGGGCAATGGCTTTTGCGCAGCCATGCCCGTCGAAGCGTTCTTGTTTTCCCGCACAATGTTCTTCCACTTCTCGATGAGACGGTCGTAATCCCAATTCCGAAAGTCCATGCCGTGTTTCCCAAGCTCCGTGACCGCCTCGGGACTGACATGGAAGTTGACCGGGGATAACTCTGGGGCGCCCAATGACCACCGACGTGCCTTCAGCTGTTCGGTCTCGCGCTGAGCATGCTTCAGGGTCACTTCGACGTCGCGACGAATGTCATTGGCGCGGGCATATGAGCGCAACACCTCCAGCTGCCACGCCTCCTGCCGTTGCTTGTCGGTCAGGGTGGACCAGTGATTGTAGGCATCGGCGAGGTGGCAGAACAGCTTCTGCGGGTCGGGGTCGAAGAGGGGAGGAGAGGGGAGGGGCGAATTGCAGGCGGAGGACGAGTTCGAGGTGGTGCCCCGGGGATAGAGCTGGTTGATCTGACGCTGCCGTTGGTGTGCCAGGAGCCGCTCGCGCACCTGCCGATTGAGGGCATCGAACTGCTTCTGGCCCGGGGGGCTGATGGACCAGGACTCGCTGGTGGGAAACGGGGTCGGGGAGAAGAGCGTCGAGGGCGCTGGCAGGATGTGCAGACAAAGGCTGGGGAAGTTGAGCGTGTAGGGGTCGAAGTCGAAGAGCCCTAGACCTGATGCTTTCGCGCTGGCTTCCCTCATGCTCTTCAGCAGCTCCCGCAGCGCCATCTCCGTGGCCTTGGCCGTCTCCATCTCCTCAGACATCTTCTGCCGCTGGTCCAGGTCCGACTTCTGCATGTGTCGCGATATGTCCCTCCTCACTTCGGGGGTGCGAGCCCCAATTGCGCGCGACGGCAATGGCATGCCAATGCTGCCACTGTCGCCTTGCTCCCCCGGAGAATGCACAATGACAGGTGACCCCTCTCCCGTCACCGACTGGTTGTTGTTCGACACGGGCGTGCCCAGTTCCTTCTTGATCGAGGCTGACGTCCTGGCCTGCCTCCGCGTGATCCCGCCCCGGATCTTCCGAATCTCCTCCACCACATGCACTCCATCCGGCGCTTTGGGGTTCTTCTGGCGTATGTACAGGTCGAGGTGACGCCCCAGAGACGACGACGTGAATGCCTGGCCGCAGAACGGGCAGCTCTTGTCCTTGGGAGCCTTGAGCGGCTGGGGTTCCGAATTGGAGCGAGGGGTAGCTGTGGACGAGTCGGCCATGGCCCATCTGGTGTGCGGGTGGGCAGATCTGAAACGAAACGAGCGGCTGGTGTCAAAGCGACCTGCAGTGCAAAAGCGGGCAACAAAGAATTAAGGCATGATTATTACAACGGTCTGGTATAATCGAAAGGAGACCTCGGGCATCGTGGAGCGCCGCAAAAGGAGTCACTCGGGAGGAACGCGCAACGTCGACAACAACAATATTACTACTGCTTGGCAGCACCCTCTTGCCCCTAAAAAATGGGCTCTCCCCTGGGAGGTTCCACGCTGGCCCTGCGGACTTGGGGACGCCAACCGCGCATGGGCCCTCGCGGGAAGCACCCGCCCGCAAAACCCTTGGAAATTGGTCCAAACGCACACAAGACTTTGGTTTAGAACCCTAAAACTCCATCTGAACTGTTCTGGGGAGCTGTCGCTCGTCTCAGTTGCTCCTGTCGTCTCGTGTGCTATGCAGCCTGCTTCTTCTCCAGCTTCGCCGCCGTCCGCGACGCAATTTCCTCGTACTGCTCCATCCCTCCATCCACTCTCTTCAATTGGCCCTTGACGAGGCGAAAGACGGTTCCTGCTGGTGCCCCTGTCTCTTCCTCTTCCTCGGATTCCTCCTCTTCTGGACCCTCGCCCGCCTGAACCCCTGGCGCTAGCTTGTACGGGCTCTCCCCTTCAACCACGGTCCTAATACACACGTCAATCGTCATATCACAAAAGCAATTTGGCGGGCGTGGTACCTCATGAAAAAGCGGTCGTGAGTGACAACTAGCACCGCTCCCTCGTATTCCCGCAGTGCATTTACGAGGCTAAGGATGGTGTCGGCGTCGAGGTGCGTTGTCACTTCATCTAAGGGTCTCGTAATTAGCTTGTCAAAATCGAGATCGCAGGTGTCATTTGTGCGATACCTAGAATCAGCAGCTGAGGCGGCGGCCACAAAAGCTTCGCCAGTGCAAGTCGCACTTTCTGCCCCCCAGACAATAGCCCAAGTGGAACGTCTGACGCTGTCGGACCCTGCAGTCCAAGTGACCCCAAAATCTGACGAGCGTCTTTCTCTGTCATCTCATCTCCAGCAGCCTCTATTAAATGTGACAGTGCCGTCAGGTTGGGACTCTGTGCCGCAATTGCAGCAATCTCCTCCACCGATTCCTGGGAAAAGCGCCCGAACTTCGCACGGGGGTGTCTACTGATAGTGCCTTTCGTCGGAGTGAGTCCTCCGACTCCATCATCTCCGCCGCCCATGATGAGAGATACCAATGTCGTTTTCCCAGATCCATTAAGCCCAGCTAGTCCCACTCTCGCTCCAGGATGGATAGTCAAATCAATATCAACCAATACTGGTGCGCTCCTCCGACTTGGATAGGAAAAACACACCTTCTCCAATGTCACCAAAGCTCCTGGGAATCGAAGATCTGGCGGTTGTTTTGGAAAAGCCATCTTGACCGGAGGATCAAAGTCCGGAATCTCAATATCCGCCCTTACACTTAAATGGTATCCAGGCAAATCACGATTTAGCTTGAATCTTCCTCCCTTTTGGTTAACCTCCATTCCCATCCGCTCGTCCAATTTCTTCTTTCGTGATGCTGCTTGTTTCAATTTCTTATCGTCACCTCTCTCTTTTGCAGCTTTGATATTGCCCTGGACTGTTTTTTCCATGTGCTTCTTCTGTCTTTCCTGCGCCTCTTTCATCTTCGTCATGTAACGCGTCTTCTTCTGTCGTTCTCGCTCGTAAAGGCTGAGGTTTCCACGGAATTTCTCCAGAATCTGATGGCGAAGCATGATCAGCTCCTCTGCCACTGCGTCCCCGAAATCCCGATCGTGGGTGGTGATGAGGACTGTAGTCTGTGTCAGGTTCTGGATATAGCTCTGCAGCCATATAATCGACGGAAGATCCAGGAAGTTCGTCGGCTCGTCCAGAAGAAGAACATCCGCATATTGGCAAAGTGCGCATGCAAGATCGCAGCGAGTCTTCCATCCTCCGGAAAGTCTCGAAATCGGCTTATCAATGACGACTTCCTTAAAACCCAAACCAAGCAACACACTCCTCGCTTTAGCCTCTGCTTGGGAAGCGTCTATAAGCTCGAGTACGGTCTGCACATTCGCCAACATATCCGCCGCCGCCTGCGTCTCTTCGCTCAGCTTCGCCGGTTCAATCTCGCTTTCATGCTGCTCCAACCTCTCTTTCGACTCTTCAAACCTCTCCTCCAATTTAATCAACTCTTTCCTTGCCTGCTTTCCCCGCGCTCCACTTCTCCTTTCCGCAATCCGATGCGCCTCTTTCAACTGCACGCCCAGTCTCTCATGACCAATCTTCCTAAACGCTCTCACAGGCGCAAGAGGATCACTCGGGTGTTCAACTGCTGGCTCTAACACCCTAACTTCCCGCATATACCGCTCTCGCACTCGATCGCTCCTCACAACATGCTGCAGCACTGTCTCGTCTTCAAGCTTCAGCCCGCCGAGCTCATCTTCGAACGTATCTCTCGTTTGCCCAAGTAGCAAAATCCTCGTGCTCCACGGGATGCCTGGAATAAGGCCATCCGCAATCGCTTTCAGAAGCGTAGATTTTCCCGTCCCGTTGCGGCCAACAAGGACATAATGGCGTCCTTCGACGAGATGCAATAATGCATGAGACAGCAGTTCACGGTTTGCGACGCTGATAGATAGGTCTTTGATGAGGATCTATTTCCCAGATGTTAGTTGCTATTGCACCCGCGATGTTGGTGTTGAGTAGATGGAAGCTGAGTGAGATATATATACCTCCTTTGACGCAGGTGCATCTACAGCATCAAGCGCATACCGACTCTGCTGCGCCGTGACTGTGATATGGCCGCCACCGGGATGCTCCTCCACGTTGGCACCAGCATCTTTAACTGTTTCTTTGCCTTTGCGGACCATCGCTGGCTGCACCTCTTAGACGCCCCTATAAAAAGTGCAATGTGGATCCCGCTTGCAAAACAAATAAATCAAGTGAAATGGGCTACAGAAGTAGCAAGAAATTCAAATGTAAAGAGTTAATTGCGACGACAAAGTTGATATAAAAAGGAACCCAACCTTTAAGCTGCATCCAAAAATGGCTGGTGCAATTGTTAGGTTTGAATGCGAGGGTGGGTATGCCAAGGCGGAAACCAACGTAAGCTCAAGATGAGTCGAAATGACGGAATGTGTCGATGCTGTGATTCACTTTAACACGCAGTGGCGACTCAGGCAAAAAAGGTGCTGGTGGGCTGCTTGTGGAGGCGTGGGTGGCAGGTGGCACACTTACACCGCCACGGTGGGGTTGAGCTTGCGACAGGTGCTGCGATACTTTTTGTTATCGCTGACTATGGGATATTATTCGGGACGGTTTGGTGGATTAAATCTATCGCTAGCGTTAGAGAGAATGTGAACATGATGTCAACGTCTGTCCTAAATTATGTCTTTTGTTATGCTCCACACTAAGAGCGGTATTTCCTGCTCTGTATGTAGCTAAATACCCGCGTGTTGAAAGTATTTTAATTGAATACGGCATATCGAGTAGCTTCAATGTAACTAGTCGCGAGGACTACCATGAAAAAAGAAGACCCACAAAGCAACCACCCATGTCATGTATATTGCGAATAATCCCCGTGGGCATGCAAAACTCTGGCTCTCTCAGAAACACGCGTTCCCGTCCCGTCCCGTCCCACTTAGCCTACGAAATATATGTTTGGGTATCAACTATACCTTGGACAACTCCCCAACTAGGAAACCCCTTCCGCAAGATCTAGCCTATCTCTCTGAGTAGAGCCTCATTGAAAGGGAACGATGTAGTTGTGCGCGTAGAGCCTAGTGAATTTGAAGAAGGCCGTCCTAGAGGTCGATAACAATCACGGCATACAGTAGTACAATCGACAAGTACCAGCATCAGTCCCAATTGCAAACAGCAGGATACACAAAATCATGAGGGAGGGCTCCGACAGGAAGAAAGTTGCGCCTCTCTCCTTTCCAAAAATTTGTCTGATTTCTTCCGTCGAATCAATAGTAAAGAGCAAAGAATTGTTTAGTTTGATGCCAACAAACATTTAGCCTCTAGGTATGTTGTCATCTTCCTTCGGCATTCTTCTGCCAGGAAAATTCTCGATCCGATCTAGGTGAGGATGGGTATTCAGAGCGAAGTTACCAACGAGGACAATTTCATTTATTGAGAAGCCAAACCCTGCCATTGCCGCCAGAGTACCACTTTACTATGGGCTCTGTAGGATCATTGAGAGAAGCATCGTAGAGCGAGAAGGTTGGGTGACGATGAGGCAATGACAAGGCTAATTTGTGTCTTGAACACCTACTGCTGGAAAGTTGGCCCAGCCCAGCGGTTCGCCAATCGATTGGTGGATACCCTCGCCAATCCTCCCCCGGCAAGCAGGCCAGCCTATCCCCCCAAGTACAGACAACAGCTCTAGGCACTATAATTCGTCCCGGACCGTAATAGATGGTAATAACCACAATGCAGTGAATATCTACACACAGGAGTGGAATAAATGGGAAGCGTAGCGGCAGCAAGACTGACTGGGAGCTCGCTATCTTGAGGTGAGAAGATACAGTTTGATTTCTCGGTTTGAATGCTCAAGGATATCAATAAAGCTTTCCTTCTGATCTTCAGCTAACCTCAATGACGGTGGAAAGGCAAGATCCCAAGTAATGCAGAGGTCACCATGTTCCGTCGGGTTTGTCTGCTTGGGCATTCCAAGAGCTTTAAAACCACCCTCAGATAAAGAAGTTGGGCCATCCGCAGACATTTGTATTGTCACGCCAAACAAACCGAACGTCTTTTGCCAGCCGTTGAGGAGTTCATCCAGACTGAGTGTTAGTGTGAGGTCAAGGTCATCGCCATTTCTCCGGAAATAGGGGTGTGGGACCTGAACCCTAGTCAATATTGAAAAGATAAGGATACGGTGCGGTTATGTGAGTAATCCTGCACTCGCTCCCTGGACGATGAATTTGATGGCTGGTAATCCTATCCCAAGGTTCTGAACAGGAAGCTTGGAACCATCTTGAGCACCTGGCCATACTGTAGTACTAATGACCTTCTCCTCAGCTGCTAGATTTCCGGTAGTCTGTTCATAGAAAAGCTTTGTGATCTTGATTTTCTTGGTCGCTCCGGAGAACAATTCTTCTAAGGTAAAAGGTATTGGCTCTTCCATAGTTGCATTTTCCAGCTCCCACGGTTGAAGTGCGACTGTATACAGCTCAGATTCGTAAGAAAGTTTAGGCGGGGAAGGAGTTGATGGCGTCCAGTCTGTGGGAAGTGGGAGTGGTTGCGGTAGAGGTGGTGGGAGAGGGAAGTAAGGGGGTGGCGGAAATGCGAAGGGAATACTAGTCTCGCTGGAAGGGCGAGGCCTTGTGCTTCTACTGTTCCCCCAAATTTCCCGAATCCCCAACACCTGGGGCTTACGACGGGACTTTCTGGGTTTGGGGACTGCACATTCACACACTCGTTAGCTTTGCCCTCTTACGAGCCATAATCACCTACACATACAAGATATCGACTCCTTTGCTTGGCTTTTGTACAACCTGGACTGGTCAGATGGTCTAGGAACCAACAAGTCAAAGAACTCGATCGGCCGGGAGGGTGCCGACCGTTGTTTAATGTTGACCAGAGATGGTGGTGGTAGAGGAGGAGGAGGAGGAGGAGGAGGAGGCGGCCCACATTTTAGACCCATAATAAACTCGTCTAGTTGTATTGGAGGAGGAAGAGGTGTTGATGCTGTTACTGGTGACAGGTTTAGATCCCTACTGGTCTTGGCTGGTCGTATCTCGTAATAATAACTACCAGTGGCTTTCCTTTGCTCGGGAGACATGTCATGATTCCTCCTAGCTGTGGCCGGATTTCTAGGGGTTACGGTGTTGTCCCTTCGTTGTGTTAGCTTATTAGAGGGATATGTGTGCACGGATATGCCTGACAGGTCTTGTTTATTGATATTCCGTAGAGAGAATGTATGTTCAGAGGTGTCGAAATGGTTTTTGTAGTGGCACTTATCATCTTCATCAAAACGGTCCTCGTCTGTGGGGTTTGGATTTGGGGTTTTTTGTGGAGGTTGTTGGCTTCTACTGTCTGATCTGGAAGTCTCAATAAAAGGGCTGCGGACACACTCTCTCATGTTACCCTTTTCATTGTCACCAATCCCCTGGTGAGGTCTTATTGACGTCGCTCCTGTCACATGGATTTGCATCCGCGATGGGGAGCTTCTATCTCTGCTCGGGGCTTCTGTCTCTGTTAATGGAGATTGAGCTGTAGAAATACTTTCAGTCTGGCAAGTTGGAATTTTCTGGGACGAAGAGTCGTCGGCATGGTCGATGGGAATGACTGCGTTTGACACCAGACCCGGCTGCTGTGCGGGATCGGATAAGACACTGGCCTTGGAATACCCTGCGTCTTGAAGTGCTGACACCCATTCCGCTATTTCATCTCTGTTTTCTTCGATGTCCACTTCTGTAATGTTGTCATCGACCAGCTCTTTCTCCAAATCGCCTATGTTAGCCAGCAGATTTGGGTCTCTTCTCCCTGCAAGTACATCCTGATGGATACTGTTTAGCTTTGCCTTTATCTCGCCGAGTGCAAAAGTTGTTTTTTCACTAGCTAATTCGATCCGTGCTAGGGAGTTATTATGAAGCTGAGTTAAGAAGAGATTCAGCTTTTGAGAATGCCTCACAAGCTTCCCTCTAATCTCTGCTTGTTTATGGGCCGTGAATGCTAATCTGTCTCGGAATCTTGGATCGGTTGTTTTCAGGGATTTAAAACTGGTAAGGACCATTTCGAGGTCTTGTAGGTCTGATTTGCAAGATTGCGTGAGAAGTGTTAGCTCGCGCTGCTGTGTAGGGCTTGAACGGTGGGCTAGCGAGTTCGAATTGCCGACTTCATCATTCAACTCGTGGAGAGCAGTTTGAAGGGAATTTACTACAGCACGGTCAGCGCGTGTAAAACTTCGATTTTCTGCCTCTATCGCACCATCGGTTGTGATGGATTTGAAGTCTTCACCAGCATGCTTGCTAGACTTGTAGACATTCCAAGCTATGTCGCTGAGGGCTAGGATATCACTTATCGAGAAGCCAAACCCAGCCATCGCTGCTCGCTATGCGAAGGATAAGCACATCCGTAAGGTCTGCGGAGTTTGTTAGGTTCATTGTGAACACTCAAGGCTGAACAGTAAAGAATGACGAGCCTTAGAATCGTGTGATTGAGCCTCGGAAACGGGGTGTTCCACGCTAGTCCCGTTTGTGTAAGCTAGTTGAACGAGAATTGACTTCCGATCGATAGACCGACCAACAACACTCTCTCCGTTCGAAGCCCTCATTCAGAGGAACGAGTCCTACTTTGCTTGATTGCCGAAATAGTGTAAAGAGCCGGCTTGTGAGCAGTATGCAGAGTTCTGCTGAGAGCTTCGACGTGACGGTGAAGACTGAAAGGGGATACCCAATCTTCGAATCGTCCTCCCTATCTTTCAGAGTATAATCAATCTTCAGGCATGCTCGTTCCTGCCCCCGTACCCACTGTCGATGAGGCTCTATTTTTTGCGTTACGAGAGCCCAGATTTACCTTCATGAGTTCGCCAAGCTTCCACGAGGTAAGAACATCGTAGACTTACCAGTTAGCTCCAAACTCTGTCCCTCCATCATAAAGCTCCCTATAATGCCCCGCATCATCGCCATCCTCGATACTCCAACTGCAGCCCTTCTGGCCAATTCATCACTGCCGAACACTGGAAACGCCAACACAATGTAATATCCTCCCGAGTTCATTGGCAAGGTGTGCAACGATCACTTCTGTGGTGAAGCTGACGAAGCATTTACATCCCGATGTACACAGGGCGGTCATTGCAACTCGCCGATAGAAGTACGCCAGTTGTCCGCAGACGGTCTTCCTTCATCCGCCTCTGCTCGTGAGAATTGTAGTGTTGACGGGAATTTTCAGCACTGCCGCTAATTCTTCGCCAAATGCCAGACCACCGATTGGCCGACTAGGTGGGTTGTCGGTGTCAATGGCGAACATCTGGGCAGGCAACATCTTCGGGTTGTGTTGTCAGGGTCTCGGTAGTAGATTTTCAAAGCTGGATATTTAGTGCATGAATAGGAATCAGATCCGAGGTTTCGATGTGGCACTCATTCTTTCGGTAGTGGTGATGGTCTGAAGACTGATCAATCTCACTAGTTCACCTGGCGTGGGTCAACTGCAGCCCATCCGACATTGATTATCTTGGATAGGAAAAAAATGGGCAAATGAAAATATACCATGTTGAACATCTTTCACCATCGGCAAATTTGTGAGAGAAGTATCCACATGCGGCTTTGCTTCGATGTACTGGCGCTAAGAAAGAACTTCAGTTCACTGAGCAACCCCGCAATGTCTGTGGCAACAAATACTGGGACGATAAGCCTGAAATTTAGCACGCGTCCAAGGAAATAAACATATAGATTTCAAGGAGATGGGCAACCGAAAACTCGGATATAGACGCAAGGCTACGGGTTTAGGGGTCTCAGCGACAGTTGAAATCGCAATACAAAATTCTCAATCGGGACATCTCACGAAACTAATCCGTACTTTGGGCTTCGTCATGTAGCCACATTAGGGCACGCTAAAGGAAAGCAAAGAGCTTGTAGCTCAAATCTAAAGCACATCTTAAAGCAATAGAAATCTATGCCCTTCCAATGTATATTTTGTATACTTGCAAGCAGAAAAAGCCTTGCAAAGAGACGCAATCTTTAAGACCTCCCGCAAAAATTTGGGCCGTGCGCAGGCTAAATTTTGAAGGTGGGTGTGACGAAGTGGTTCTGGGTGTTCCCATGCAGGAACCAGTGCATGCATGTGCAACGAGAATCGGGAACAAAGCTCGCCCGCGTCATCGGAAATAAACAATTCTAACCTCAGCTCTTTTCTCTCGTCAACCGGAAATCATCAATCACCTCTCAGCTCAGCTCAGCTCTCTCGGCCCGGTACCGGTACCACTCCCCGAACTCCCCAGCCTCCTTTCTCAGCCCCCAAACCCATCCCGTCCATCCTCGTCACGGGATCAACACCCCCCAGACCCCACCCTTGTCCACACCGTCCAAAGTCCCCAAACCCCCATCATAAACGACCACAAAACTCGAGGCTGAGGTCGCGTGTCCGGGCCAGTAATATCCGCACTCATATTAATATCCCGGAAATGAGATCTCAGCCAGCCAGCCTTGGAAGACCAGTCTGACAGCCAGAACCAAGACAACAATCACCCATTTCAAGCTGGTCGTTCAAGTGATGGATAATTGACAATTTCGCCTGCGTGTGTGCAAGCCTCGCACGCCTAATACGCTGGACCAGCGGGCAGCCTCGCGCAGCCCCCTCAGCCCTTGTCTATGATGGCCGCCCACGAGAAAGTGTACAAAAATTGCGGTGCTAAATGCCCCATCCCAGCACCAATGGCTGCGCTTCACTTCGGTTGGCCGGGTCGTTGGAAATTCGAAGGGGAACGAGCAACCCCAGACAAGCGCACGAGCACTCAAGACGGAGCGTCGTGACGAAAAACTACCTTTTGGGATAAGGGCGTAGAAATTTTCGCCAAACGAGGTTGAGATTGTGATTTTCAGTATACCTTTCAAAGTTTCATCTTGCAAAAAGGAGCTGGGCTGGACCCTTGATGAGTTCGGCAGGTTGGGAGCTCAGATGCGTTCTTGGATATTTGCTTGAATTTCGTGTAGATCGCTATTAAACCAAGAACAATAACCAAACCACGCGAACTCCCTTTGAACCAAAGTTCTGTCGCACTGGGAAACGTTACTAGTTTCTGAGTCTTGATCACTTAAATATTCACTGGCACATTTCATTATCCCCATAGTGTTTGTTTTGTAATTCTTTCATGTTAACTGTTCACAGCTGAACAGCCTGAATACGAGGGGCCTTCATAAACCAGAAACAGGAGGTTGACAACCACAATTCTCAGCATCGCACCTCCAGATGCCCGACTCTTCATGAATAGCAGTGTTAGCTGGTCTATAATGCCACGCCTCGTCTGAAATCAACTTCCATTCATCCATCAAAACCTCCATGCATCCATGCTCATAGTACGACAAAAATCCCTCCAACATGACAGCCATCGTACTCCAACCCCCATATGAGGGGTTTTTCCGAATCTCAAAGAATATAGAAGTGTGAAAAAGGGGTATCTCCAAACTCCAGCTCCACCAGAGAAGTTTTGTGTGTCTGTCTGTCCTTATTTTGATCTCGTCAACTAGGACGGCTGCCCAGCGCATTGCGCAATGGTGGGCGACGACAGCGACAGGAAGTGAAAGTGGGGTTGAGTTGCAAAGAAAAGCAAACAGCATCCTCTTCGCGCGCAGCAGCCAGCATCGTTCGTATGAGCGATTCCATCTCGTGCAGTTTCAGATACACAGGGTAAAAATGTTAGGGGTGTGAAAAGGTGAGGTGCAATTACAAAGGATTATCAAATCCCTGCTCCAAAGACGTAGAAGTGAATGCAAGAAGGTAAACATGTCTTCGGACTCAGCGGATAAAGGAAAGTGGATATAGCCAATAATCCGGACCATCAACAACGCTTTCGTCAATCGTCTCGATTATAAAAAGGGTAGAAAGCCGGGATTAGCTAAAGTTCGAATGGTGTGCGAGTCGAATGATAACGGTAAACGGTAACCAAATTCTGGTTTATCTGAACAATTGAAGGAAAGACGTCGACTCCTCATGACACATAACAGAATCCTGCGGGTCCACCGAGCCACTCAATGCGGTGACAAAGCTTCAAGGGGGAACATAAACGGGGTATCAAAGACGAGCACCAGTCGATGATGCGTGCGAGCAAGAAGCAGAGCGCGATGCAAAGAGCTAAGTGCGCGGGGCGGACAGGGGTTAAAGTGCCAAGTAGCCAGCGCCAGCCGCGAGTATCGCGACGAAAGCATTGATGTTGAGTTGCGATGCTGCGCCCGTGAAGACGGAGGGTGCGGCAGTTGTGGTGATGGACGGAACAGCTCCCGTAGGAGCGACCGTGGCGTTGCTAGATGGGTAGTTGGGCTGGAGAGTGCCGACAGACGCATAGATGGTTGAGGTGGAGTTCACGGCAGGGCCTGTGGGTGTGCCAGACATGGTCACTGTGTTGACCTTATAAACGGTCGATGTTACGTAGACGGTGGCATCGTAAGACTGTTCCTGGGCGAGCGCGAAGGCGAAGAGGGCGAAGAAGAAGACGACGAGCTGCTGAATTGACCTCATCGTGATGGTGTGGTGAGTGTAATTGTGCGGTTTGGCGGTGTTTTAAGCTCGTGTTGCTGTGGAATGCAATCGGTGGTTTGTTGATGCGATTGCGCGTCCAGGTCGCGAGGTTGGTCGATGACGACGAATGCGATCAGTAATGATAGTGGTGCTAGATTGCAATGTGGATTCTGCGTGCGACAGGTCTGCGATGCGTCTCAGAGCGGAATTGGCTGGGTGACTCTGTGCGGTGTCTCAGGATGCGACGGGCGATGACGGGCAGTGAGTGTGAATTCAGAACAGTTTTTGCGTGCAGAGCGAGCGAATATAGGGAGCAAGGAGCGTGGTGGAGGCACTGCCTGTGCTGTTGAGCGTGAGGAAAAGTAAAAGAGTGACTGTGGTAGACGGTGCGTGCGAGCGATGGGGCGTTTGGGAGAAGAGAAACAACAGCGGGTTGGGGCCTTTTAATGAGGCGCAATCTCCCATGCGCAATTTCGGTTCAACGCCTGGATGGCGGCACGGCGCTAACCTCAACCCCCCATGGCCACAGCTCCTCCACCCATCCCGCCCAGATGTTTGGGCGGGTGTGCCTGGCATGGTGCAGAGATTGCCCGTCCGCAGTCGATCGCCGACACGAAAGTTCCGGCTGACAAGGCCCACAAAACCGCACAACACCCAGCGACTGCTATCGTGAGCCCCAAATTGCTATTAATCACAGCTTCATCTTTTCGTCCACAAAGCCTGCAACCCCGTTCTCCCCTAGCGGACTTGCAACATTTTCGTCATGTCCCGCACGCAGGCTAGCCGCGTCCTGGTGCTGAAACGTGGACGACGAATAGTGCCTCGCTCCCCCGTCGGCCCTAGGCACGGCGACTGTGTGACGACCACGATCCCATCCTCAGGCAGGGCGGCCAAAATAGTACGACACGGTACGTGGCAGGCTCAGAAACGTCGTCTGTCGCGGTGAGCCACTGCGACTCTCGTCAGCCAACCGAAACACTCTCACTCTTTTAACTCTGACAGCGTTTTTGCGCACACCAGAGACCTTGGCAATCTCACGCCGGACAGAATGCTGGCTTGCTTCAGCCACGTCTATTCCCGTCTTTTTCGCCCGCTTTCTATTCCGGCGGCCTTGGCTAAGAGGCAGGGCGAAAGGACAAGAATCTCATGAACAGCAAATCGAACCTCTGATATGATGTGATGCTTTAAAGATGAGAAATTACAATTGCTCCGGCCTAGTACCGTGTATGTGATTGGTCGGAGCCAGTTGTGGGACCCCCCCTATTGAAGAATTGTGACCAGCAAATTGGTGGTCCAGTGAATGCCCGTTCTTCCGAACACCATCGCAGCCCTTATATGAAGACTCGCTTGCCTAGAAATCACCGTGACCCGTTGACAGAGCACTGTTACATGCGCGAAGCAGCGTACTGCCGCATTTGGAGGTGGACTCGCACCAACCGACAAGAGCGAGTGACGGTAACCAACCTTTTCCCAGCTCGCCATAACTCTTTCACAGAGAGAAGGCGTAATGGCAGGGGGTGATGACACAATGGGCGGAATATGCCTCGCCAGGCTGCAGATATTGTAAGTAAAGTCACAGCGGAGTGGTTGCGCTGGCTCCCAGCCTTGGAAGGCCGTTGGTACTCACTTTCATTATTTGATGGCGCCTCGACACGTGTAAGAAGCCCATCAGTCACCCTCAACCATCTCGGCGCTCTCCCACAGCCGTCGACAGATCTCCTCCGCTTCATTCCGAACCCGTCCGCCATCGCTCTCAAAACTCTGTCGCCCCTCCAAGTCATCATCATCGCGACCCCGGTGACTCTCAAAACTGACTCGTGATCGCCGCCTTGCACCCGATCCGTCTGTTTCAACCCCGGACTCATTGAAGCTTGTGCTCAGACTGCTACTACCATGTACGTTCACGAAACCATTCGTTGCCGATGACGACCTCGGCACTCTGTGTTTTCGGCGCGTTCCGGGAATCTGCTCAATCCGCATGATCCCGTCCGCCAGCGGGTTGCGATAACGTTGCACGACTTTGTATTCTATCTCGACTTGATTGAACCGTTGCTGAAGACGGGGATCCAGTCGGCCTTCACCGTTTGCGTTATAGGTTATGCCGGCATGAATGAATTGGGGCCCGCCCGTTCGCGGTAGGATGGCAGGAACGAGCTTCTGCGGCTCGATGTTGGACGAGGCGCGTTGAAGCAGTAGCTTCTGCTGTGTTCTTGACGGTGGGAGATTGGTAGGTGTGCTCGTACCAGACCGCCGGGACTGCGCCTTGGGAGGAGTTTCTGTGTCCACCACGTTGGGCATTGATTTGTTTCGCTTTGCCTTGTCAAAGTCATTCCCTGCAGACTGCGGTGAGTTGCGCGATGGCAAGAAGCTGCTGTCCTTCGGGGTGCCGGCCGAGCCATCTCCGTCCATAAAGCGCGACACCAGATCACGGCCCGGGGTATCGACAAGTGTGGACCCTGCACTCTGGCTCAGAACTCTTGCGTCATGCGAATCTGACACCACCATTGCGGCGATGGAGGACATCTGGGGGGGAGGATTATGTGAGGAGTGGCGCTGGAGGAGTCTTGAAGTGATCATATCGGCGTCCGGCGGTCGCGAGTGCTGGTGCGAGCTGGCCCCATTCACAAGTCGCGCATTGAGTGTGCGGTCGGGCAGGGCGTGACTTATGGTACTCGGGGGAGGGCGGGCAGGAGTACTGCTGGTTTCCATCTGTGGGGATTCGCCCTGTGTGCTCTCCACCTCCGGTACATGCATGGCTTTGTGCGGATCAAGTATGACCGAGTTGGAGCGGGTGTTTGATCGGGTAGTAGTTGGCGATTGCGAGGCGCTTTCCTCGGTCCATCCGTCGTCAGCTCCTTCTTCATTGCCGATATCGAAATGAACAGTAGGGTGAGGATCAGGCGAAAGCTGGCGGGCCTTTCCGGGATGGGCTAGCGACCGTTTTGGTGGTGCTATCTCACTTTTTGACGACTTCAACATATTCTTGGACGAGCCCTGGCGCGAAAGATGGCCGCTGGAGTGGTTCTTGCGGATGCCGGTGTGCGAGTGCGTGTGGTTCGCGGCCCTCACGATGGCGCCGGACGACGCATTGCGCTTGAAGCTCGGGCGGGGGCTGCTGGGAGCGGAGGTCGAGTTGCCAGAGTGGGAGCGACGGTGGTGTTTGGTGCTACTGCCATCGCCCTGTTGTACCTGGGCGAGTTTGCTCAGCTTGTTCAGGTTCTTGCCCAGCGAGGTGTTCCTCTGCATGCGACTCTGGCCAACGACGTGCTGGCGCTGTCCTTTGTGTGGAGCAGCGCGGGCGTGCGAATCCGACGGCGATTGCGACACATGCGAGGAAGTAGATGACTGCCTCGCCATGGCTTGCGCCCGTTTCGGCTGCGAATGAGCGTCGGTAGAGGAGGATGCCATGCTTACTTTTCGGTGTGGCGGCACGCTGCCTCGAGTGAAGTCCGGCGCAGGTGAAATGTGCTGGGAGAGGAGCGGCGACTACCCAGCGGCCCTGTGGGGATCAGCAGCGCGCTGTCTCAGCAACAGCAGGTCCAAATTGTGTGTCTCTTTTGAGCCAGCGCAAGCCAGTGGTATCAGCGGCCTGCCATGGGGCTCAATTGCGTGTGGGCGAGCGAAGGGGGGGGGGGGGTCGTACAGCAAGTAGGTCTGCCACGTTGGGCCCAATCGCACTCAGCGGTGATGGCAGAGTGCAGAAGAGCGCTGCAGCAGAGCCGAGACTCTTACCTCTTTCGGCTGACCGCGGGCCGCCTCCACCGCCCAGCCTTCCTCAAGCGATCATCTATTAAAGCTTCCTGTCACTGCATTCCCTGTCTTAACGAGCGCTTTGGTCGCCATGTATATTCTGCACTCCTTGCTATGTACATCCTATAAGCCTGTCCGCCCCCGTGCGGTTGATGAATGCTTATCCCTCAATGTGCTCATGGCCAAACGGCCTGGGACATGGACAGAACGCGGAGAAGGAGATACTGAGGCATAGAATGCAGGCAGATGCGATGTGAAAGAGGAAGCCCAGCCATGCATCAACAAATCCCTTCTGTCTCTAAGCATCAAATAGCATAAGGCATGCATCCCCTCGCCGAAGTTCCTGCGTCGACTCCACAAATCGTATCTATGTCTCGTCCTACCCATGCTGCAGAAGCCATCAGTTCGTTGGCTTCATTTCCTTCATCCATCACTTTTGCCTTCAGTAGTTATCTCTTTCTCTAATTTCTCTTCACCATCGATTCTCACTTTGTGAGATGGGCCTTCTGCGCGAATTTCTTCAGCTTTCCCTTGACACCCCGGCTCCGCTGCACGGCCCTCTGCTGACTAAGCTGTCGCCGCTCTACATTCATACCATCGATGCATCCGAAAGATGATGTTGTACGGATAGAGGCAGCATGGGATCGATATGACGGTGGTGGGATTCCAGAAAAGTATGTCGGGGCGTCTGAGAGATTTCCCATCGAGTCCTCCCTAGGGATCTGGTTACCCGAGGTCGATGGCCGTCCTGTGGTTCCCGTTCTTGCCACCTGGCCAAACACAGCATGGACCCGTCGCTCCATGCTAGATTCTTGCTCCCTAAACCTCACACTTGCAAGACCGCTCGTTTGTGGGGAAGGAGTGAGCAACTGGCGCTGGCCTACGCCAAGCCATCCACTACTAGTGGGTGCAGGACTGGCCGCTCGCGACCGCTGTATGATATGCATCAGAGACTTTGATCGATTCAGCGGCCTAGGAATCCGCGCGTCGGTCGTCTGGTCCGGTGAAGAGAGGCGCGGCATCGAAGTTGAGTGTCTGGTTGCCTGCTTTTGCTGTGTGACTATCACCCGATGGGACTTCGTCCTCAAGAGTGATGGCATTCGGACATTCATCTTCCTAGCACGGCGACAAAACGACTTGATATGGTGACTATGGGATGTCTCTGGCCGCTCAGTCTCGGGTGCTCGAATTATCGGCATGGCGAATCGCACATCCGCCGATGGTCCCACATCCGTAATCGAGCCTTCTCTCCAATATGGTATGCCGGCCATGAGGGGAGGTGCTGGCTTGATCATGCTAGCGTCGAGCCATGCATTGACATCCCGTATGACACCGGAATCTGGTCGTGGTGGTCGAGGTGGTGGCTTGTTGAGAGGACGTGCAAGCGGGGGCTCCAAGGTGGTGGTGAACTCGACAGGCAGTCTAGTAATTCCCGCTGGGGGTGCCGTGCTGGGCCGATCCAGAAACTCCATCATCGTCATCTCCTCATTGTCGCTGTCTTTCTCTTGCTTGGAGACCGGTGCCAGTAGGTGCCGCGCCAGCCAGTTCTTAGTCGTCTCTTGCTTACCGTCCTGGACGGTCGTCTTCTCCACTGATATTTTCTTGGTATTCTTTGCTGTCATGGCGCCTGCCGCTGGAGGAGCTATTCGAGAGTATATGCCCGTATGATGTGTGATTGGAGGGTAAAAGGTCATGGTGGGTGGAGGAAGAGCTCAAGGCTTGGGAATACTTTGCGCACAAGGCCAAGCACCACCGGAAGGTGAAGGTGAAGGTGATCACGTTGAGGAGGAGGGATGCGGCGAGTGAAGCTAAATGGTCAGGTGAGGCTCTTGGTATGAGGCAGTTGAAGCTGCCGTAAGGAAGGAACTCCCCATAGTCGACCACGAAATATCGGACGAGAGCGATGTCAGCCTCATTGCCCAGTTTGTTACTCTCACTATGCCTTAAGAAAGCGAAAAAGAGGGCTTCGCAGTTTCTGTATTTCCCTTACTTTCAACTCAACACCACTTTAGTGTACTCGGCGTTTTCTCTCAGCCCAGAGCCTGGTTCTCCTTCCCAATCGGGATATCTAGATGTTTCGTTTCTCTCGTCCTCATCGCCGGTCACATTGGCCTTGGGCTGCATGGGCGCCATGTTGGTGATATACTAGGAGCCGCGACAGCTTCAAGGACTACGTTGGCGTCCGTCACATTCAGGGAAGGTAACCGAAGGATTATCCACAATTCACTTCCGAGACGATTCCAGCCACCCTCACTCTCTTTTCTCCAATTCTGTTCCGTTTCTGACCATCTCACTAGCCCAGAATGTCTTCAAGAAATTCACTTAGCCCTATATCTCGTCTACAGCCAGCAGATTGTAATATGTACGCTCTCGATAACCGGTAGCTCCACCACCACCAATAGGTCCATCACCAGCAGTGCGGAAACCCCCTCTATACTAGGAGCCTAGACTGATATCAGATCTGCCTTAACATTTAGGCTCTCTAAACCTGTCTTGCAAATGCATGTGTCCCGAGAAAGGGTTTTTTTTTAAAATTTTATTTTTTTAGCGAGCGCTCTGGTCAGGCTCAAGTGGCCTTCTTTGCGTCCAAGGCTGGCGCTTCAGCCTGGCCTCTGGCTCTGGAGCTTCTTCACCACAAGAGCAAACTAGCAATTTATTAGGCAAGGCGACTCACAACGTCCCACCATGTTGCCTATGGAATTCGACCACGAGACCTTTCCACTTTCGTAGAATGGATATTGACCGGAAACTACTGCAAGCGTAAGGGCGAAATTTGGTGTTCTTTACTAAGCTTACGAAAGTCGGGGATTGGACACGAGAAGGCTGTCCGCTCTAACGTTCCTTAAAGCATGCATCTGAGCGTATACTACGAGTCTCTAGTTTGGAGCTCCCGCTTTTTAAGAATGATGCAATGTGACATATATTTCGAATTTAGATTGACGCCGGAATAGTCCTGTCTTCAATGCCCATGATGTTATCTTTGTACGTTAGCTATTCAACAATCAACACTCGCGGATCTGGCGTTTCATATACGAATTGGGGCGACGATGGCTGCATCCTCCATGCGGGCCATATATTATCCATCTTCTTCAACGACAACTAAGAGCTGAGGGACAATATCCTGAAGAACAGGCGTGGCAATTCAGTAGTGCGGCAAAAGCAGGGGAAAGACAACGTCAAGCTAGAGAAGTTCCTCTTCAGCGAGGGTGACCTGGCAAATGTCAAAGAAGATGAATGGAGGCAAAATGCTGCAAGATGGAATTCGCTAAGCGTGCGACCTCTTGTGATTATGGCTCCCAACTTTTCTTTCGATCTACACTTTATTCCCTGCATGTCATTCATGATTTCATTTTCTTTCTTCCTTCTTGTACCTGACATGTTCATTTTCCATCTTCCTTCTTATACCTGACATGTTAATTTTCCCCCTCTCACCTTCGATTTCCTGCAAAAAGGGGATAGACTTTAGCAAATCCAAAGGGGCTAGTTGTCTGAAGTCTTGCACTTGAGCGAAGTGATTTCACACAAGGCAAACTTCGAATCAAGCAAAGAGAGACACGCCAGGTGTATCGTTTCCAGGCCTTTCATTTTCCAGCTTAAAGCGTTCTCTAAGATCCCCGCTCGTCGCGTTTACAGCTCGGCTCCAGTCTTCGTATATTCCGACTAGGGAGAATATAAATCCGGAGATTGCATATGCTTTTCATTTCTCTGGATCTGTGGGATGTATTTCTACCATAACTTCGAGATGAATATCCCAAATTCTGCCAACGAACCGACCCGGACACCGAAACTTCGAGACTCTGTACACACCCCAAATCCATTCAAAGTGTAACCACAGACACGAGTAAGCTCTGACTTATCAGTGAGCATATTTATCCTTCTATCTATCTCAACCCTCCCGCTCTACACTCCACCACCCAGCCTCCTTGCTCCTCGCCTCCTCTCCCCCTCCCATATTACCCGTATCCGGCGGCGTCAAAATTGCGCCCCACGATCACTTCATAATTTAACAATCTAAAGCCCTCTGCTATGCCTCACCCACTCACACCAACCTCGACGAAGTTTTCCAAGCCCCTAACATCGGCGAAGTCAACATCGTCGTCGAATGAAAAGACGTTTATTAGCGGAACTCATAGGCGGACTCGCCGGGGTATCAAGCTTGGAGAGCGCGGGATGGGTAGGGTGAAGAATGAGGCAGCTTAGGATGGCGATTCTCATGGTTCAGGCTGATGCTTTTGGGTTTCTTGATTGTTAGGCGCTGCAGGTTTTCTGGATACTTAGGGAAAATCGGAGGGGGCTGAAGCCTGAGATGGTGAAGTAGCGATGAATGCAAGAGGGGCGTATGTTATAGAAGTTTACGTTTAATTTTATTGTGAGTAAGTGGGGTGGTGGATGGGGGTTATTAATATAGGGGAGGGGGTTGGCAGACGTCTCTGGAGAGTAGGAAGAGTTTGTAGATAGGTTTTTTCTAGAGACCGAGGGGACCGGGAAGGGGATGTTAATGTGGAAGATGAATTTGGGACAATCTACTGGAGCGGCTGGAGGGTTAGGATAATTTGCCTGGGGTGGGTGACGATGAACAAGATCTGCGTCTGTACCCCTACTAGGGCGCAACGCACGTGTCTGACGCCATGCACGCGAGAGGTGCCAGTAGACACCTAACCAATAACTCTCAAAGATTAAGTGACCGGTTTTGAGACTAGTTCGGGTTATCTTAGTGTTCTGGAACGGCCACCCTAAGGAAACCATGTCCTTTCACCAGTTCTCATCCTTCAGTTACACTAATAACTTAGAAAGGACATGTGGTACTCCCTAGGTTGCAGCTTTCCTTACCCTTTTACGCCTAGAATTGCGTATAGAAAAGAGCTTTTAAAGACAATAATTCTCAGTCATCAACATTCTGGAGCCTAAGACAGTTGGGAATATCAATAATAACCAAAACTCGCATGTACCTGGAGTAAAGACTGTTAATTGCCAATAATAACCAATACTCATGCAGCTAGGACATTGATTTCCTCTCCTGGAAGTTTTAGCATAAGCCGACATGACCAAGTCCCCCGGACTACCTCTGCCCCATGAACCTGGATTCGGTCAGATAATACGTCCTTATTTCCAAACTCAATACCATTTTCTCTATTTCTTGCTCCCAGAACCGACATTCCCTCCTCAACATTTTACTTTCTTAATATCATGCTAGCCTTTCTCTTTCAATGCTACTCTAGCCCCACCCTATCTTTCAGATGCCCCCCTAATCATGAAGCTTTGAATCATCTGAACCTCATTTTCAACGTTCTCGGGGCTATACTTGTAATCGCTTCTCTAGCTTTTATGTATCTGCATTTTATGTTAGAAGCGCGGAATAGAAACATAGGGGAGGAAAGAGACAATAGCGGCGATGGGGACGAAGAGATCAAATTAAGGCTATTAGATAAGAGAAATCAAAATTTTAAATTTAATGTGCTCACAGCTAGATTGAAATTAGGACCGAAAGATTGTAGATACTAGAAAGGCTTAGCCTATCACAACGGGGAGTATAGGCCCTAGAATTGTGAATGTTGACCCTAAACAGCATGGTATGGGCGATATTGCTAGAGCCTCTGAGAGCACTTCGACCCTAGGTGTCAAGTTTCAAGTGCCGCTGGTAGCCTAAGTGAATAAGAGGGTATATGAGACCTTGAAAAGAAGAGCACAAACAATAGTAGCTATGCTCGCGCTCATGTCCTTGTTATAATTATAGAGTTAAGTCAGTACGCTTCGTCATCTAGTAGATATGTTTATAAGTTACTAAGTATTTTGCCAGCAAGGAGGACTGTCTGTGGGAGGGGATGAGAGGTTTGACAGGGAGGAGAGGGTTCAATAAGACGTCAGGCACCAGGAGACCAGGAGCTTCTTGTGTATTATATACTACTACCAAGCTTATAGACAATCTTCCTAAATATATCCCAAGCTAGTGCTGTTATCTGTTAACTAGATCACAAAACCCTCCAGAGGGGGCAGCAGGTTGTTGTAGGGACTTTGCTACGCAGTACTAGACTAGGAAGCGCTAACTAGCGGACAGATCTAAGGGTTCTAAGAAACAAATATACTTACTGGATAGAATCCTCTCTTGTTAATTATGTACTGGGCAAGGCAGTACTAAACATAATTGTTAACACTATTAAGCAACTGTTAGCTACGCAATTAAGCACGTTAGACTAGGAAATCGTACTTGTTCACGTGATAAACTAGGGAAACAAGTTCACTTAGCAACAGATGCTTTACGTCTGATGTCTGATATGCTTTCCAGCCCGTGGCTCCTGGCATTAGAATATCCTTAAACTATCCAATCTCAAGAAGATTAATCGGCTTTCCAATCCAAGACACATAAAGTAACTCATAAGCCCTAGAAACTACTCAGCGTCCGCGTCAACTTCAAGAACCTGTTGACGGAATTCCAGAAGCGCTAGATACAAGTATCTTGTTAGATTGCAAATTTGCCATTTTAACATAAATAAAAGTTGCGGTTTTAACGTTTTGTACTGTGTTGCGTGGTAAACTATTGCGTTAAGATAAAAAGGAATGCTTAGTACAAGGATGCTAATACTGTCTAATAAGTGCAGAGATAAACGACTTTAGTCGCAGCGTGATAGTAGGTTAGGACTAAAGAACTAACTATTAGTGCAATTAGCTGCAGGATAGAAACAATCCTTAACAACTGTTAGCTAGGCGGTAAAGAGATTAGGTGCCTTAAACTAGGAAACTCTATTAACTTTTAAGTAGAAAGTTTTCTTAGACTATATTCTAATGTATAATAAGCACTACATGTTGTTTAGCCTAACTTTGCGCTCTAAAACTTAGTTAGCGTCACAACTATACTCTAAAAACTTAGGATAACAGTTCTTGTTATTCTGCTAATCCTTATGCAGGTTAAAGTAATCCTATTTGCTAGATTAAACTAAGGCTAGTGTGATAGGAGTAAGTTAGTTGTCTTAAAGGAGTAAGTTAATAGCGTTGTTGTAGCATCTGTTAGAACTTATCTATTAATTCGCAGCCTGTCTGGTAATGGTAAATAGATAACTAAATTCTTCTAGGATGGTAGAAACTAATGTGATAAACGTCTACATAAGATAAGGCCGTGTCCATGTTGCGCAAATGATGACGCGCACAATGAAGACGCGGTTAATGAAGAGGATAAGGATAAGACAGCAAATATGGAAAGGATTGCGTGCAAGCTTAAGTCACGCGGGACGCTAGTCCGAATCCAGATGCTGAGTCATAGGCTTGGCGCCTGCTCAACTTCACAAACCCACCAAAACTATGGATACATAGTTGCAGGTCAGCCAAGCCTCTTTGCATGAGTAAGAATTAGGCAAAGTTACAGTGACTAAAGTTTTCTTAGAGTGAGCTCAGCCACGGCTCAGACAGGGCCTAATTTCAGCCTCTTTGCATGGTTAAGGATCAAGCACAATTATGACAACTCAAGTTTGCTCAGGATGGGCTCAGCCACAGCTTAAAGTAGGCCTGATTTTAGCCTCTTTGCATAATAAGGAGCGTGGATCCTGAGACAAAAAATTAACTAAGTAAGAAATTAAGAATACGTTTCACTAAATTTAGCATCTACCTAAAGCTGGGTGACAACTCCCGTCATTTTCAGCGGCACATACTGCCCTTTTTGTAGGACATTGTCACTGGCGGTGGGCCTATATAGTGCAATATGTGTCTATCTAAAGCCACTCTAAGCCGTCTTGTGTAGCATGTTCTCCACAGAACCGAATGTTCTCATAGCCAAGTTTACTCTTGCCAGTACCGTTTGTCAAGTCTTCAAAGGTGACCTCCTCGGTATCTACACCCCACGTATGTGAAAGTATTGCATAGGAAGGGATGGCTTTAGCGCTAAACTGAGTAAGACTGAAATCGCCAGTGTCACAGCGTCGCAAAAGATGCATTGCTTCGCGTGGAGCTGGACGGGGAGAAGCGGGAGGAATGGATCTCGGTCGGGTTCAAACATAGTAGCCTAACTGAAGGGACAAGCAAGGCAACTTGCTCGTCCGTCAAGAGAATTAGTCCTGGCTATCGAGTTTAGGGAGTATATAGGAAGAGAAGATGCTGAGTTATACCAAAGAGTTAACTTACATCTAAAAGCGAGAGAGCGCAAGAGTGTTGTGAGCTAGTTGTGCTGTGCCTTGCTACATCCTTGGTTTTGTAAGGTGGGTGCTGGAAGAAGCTCAGCTTGAAGTGGGGCGCGGGCTGACTGCGTAGCCACAGTAAGGCTCTCGCAGAAAGCGAATGAGCAAACGACTAGGTTAAATCTGCTTATGTCTTGAGAAGCGGACGAACACAGTAGGGAAGCTGGCAGGGAGTACAGCAGACCTGCACCTGCTATGGGCCTTGCCATGAGCGTGCGGATTGGATGGCAATGCGAAGAGATATAAGGATCATTGCTTGATGGGGGACGGTATGCAGCCTTAGAACTAAGCAGATGTGCTAGGTACATTAGAACATAAAGCACTTAGTAGAATAGTAGTAAGATAAACCTAATAAAGGCAGAGAAGCACAGCATAAGAATGCATTCTACCTAATGCTAGATTATAAGGTGTAATAAGGTAGACGCCCTGCCTGCTAAGTTAATACTATAGCTTTAAGTGTAAGTATAGTTAGTAAACATCTAGTCTATTATAAAGCCTATCTTATTAAAGTTGTACATGTTGTTATTCTAGATACTATACTTAGCTTTAATATACTTTATAAAGCTAAACTAGCTTTAAATTACTTTAGAATCTTTATAAAAAACTCTTTTATAGTTATACTTACACTTAAACTTTACTTTTGTAACAAGGTAGGCACAGTCAACCACGTGGCCTTCTCTCGCTTATAGAGGTTTAGGCTAGACTAGAGACAACCGCTAGTGCTAGTGCTAGCCCTAGCATTATCTATATATATATATATTATACTATGCGAGAATACTTAGCTTAAGTATTCTCGTGCGTACCTTTTAGTACAGTGGGGAAAGTTGTATAGTATTGGCTTGGCAGGCGGGGTGCCTACCTCATTACAACTTTAAGCTCTAAATATTACTTTACAAACATACTAGGCTAGTTTATGCTAATATAGCCTAGATTATACTTGTAAGGACGGGGCTCCGCACCACTCCGCTAATACAACTAAAAAGGTGCGAATAATCAACCAACGTTAATTATTGCGTACAGAATAGTATATATACCCGTCGCACGTAAGCACCATCTCGGCCTTACACGTAAGCGCCATCCCGGCCTTACATTAGCTATAAAATTACCTTATAAAAGTTATCTAGTGTGTTAGTTATTTATTATTCTTTAAGAGACTTTATATATAGCTATAGTATGTTACTTTAAAAGTGTTATTGTCCGAATAGTGATATTCGGGCGCCTGGTTGATAGTCACGTGGCTCGGATGCGCCCGGATCCCTGTGCACGGAGATCCGTGCGCAGAGTTTGGGACTATATCAACCCCTTTCCTTCGTACGATAGAAACAACAAGAAGCAATCAACACTAGTTACCCAACACCCCCGTGCGATGTTTACACCGTGCAAACCTCTCCGTCTCGTACGCATTTGCTGACACCAAGTGCTAGCTAGCAGAGAGTCTATTCAACAGTTATGTTTTATTTAAAAACCTAAAGTATAAGCTATATCTAACATTCTTTTAGCGCGTTTAAGTAGTGTTATTAGGAATGCATTAGTAGAGAAAAAGTAGTTTAGTAGAGTCTTAGTAAAAGTACGCAACTTAGGTGTAATAAGGTAGGCGCCCCGCCTGCCAAGCCGATACTATACAACTTTCCCCACTGTACTAAAAGGTACGCACGAGAATACTTAAGCTAAGCATTCTCGCATAGTATAATATATACAGTCAAACCCCGCCAAGCCGATAGGAATCCAGCCACGTCAATTCAATCGCCTTACTAAGGGTATTAGCTCACTAGGGTTGCTAAGATGTGTCTTAGTGATAATTTAATTATATAAGCTAACTATCTAGTGTTTGTTAGCGCTAATGTTAAGCCTTATAGGCTTAATATTGCCTCTCTAGGCGCTTAAGTTAGCAGATGTCTATATTAATTACTGTCTTTTAGTGTTGTTAGTATTGTAAGAGTAACTAAATAGCCTAAATTACTTAATAAGTTATAAGTAAAGGTATAATTTTACTTTTATCTTTAGCTTAAGTCTTTTTAGTATTAACACTATTATTATACTTTGTAACTATATTCTTAAGTATTTAATTTTCTTTTTTAATATTAGTGTCTTTATTAATTAGATTAAAGAAGTTACTAAGGCTTATTATATTCTATATCTAGCTAGCCTCCTGCGTACAATTGTATAGGCCTGAGAGGTCTAGTTCTAGCTAGAGGGGTAGCTGCAGTACCTATAGTAGAATAACTGTACTACAGTAGAAGTAATTATATATTATTAAGCTTAATATATTATTTATTTAAGTAATGCGCAGCTATTTAAGCGTGTTTTAAAGTGTAATTATTAATAAAAAGTTATAGCTAGCCTTATACTCTTTTACTATAAATTAAAGCTAGTATTTTCTATAGTAGGTTTTTAGATTTTAGATAATCTCTTAATTAAGAGGTTAATATAGGCTTGTTATATTTAGTAGAAGAAAGGCAATGTAGATATAGAATAGTAAAAAAGCCTACTGTAGGCCTTAAATATAAGCCTTAAAGTTGTTTATAAAAAGAAAAATTAGCTAAGCTATAATGCTACTATAAAAATATATTAACTACTTAGCTATAAGTGTTAAGTTTATTTATGCCTTCTTATTTACATGCTAATATATATTAAGCGCTTAAAGATTAATACTATAGAGAGGTTAAGGCTGCTTAGCATAGCTAATAAGCTATAAAGATAGCTAATAAAAGCTAGTTACATTAGTACAGCATACTATAGTAATCCTTAACTTTAACTTTTTAACTTTAGGTAGAGGCTAGGTTAATAGCTCTTTTACTAGTATATTTTTTTAAAATAACTTTATTTTATTTATATTATATATATTTTTTTTAGCATACTTGCTATAGATTATTTAAACTAATTTTATTACCTTTTTTACTATAGTATTGTCTACAGATCTAGCCTTACTGTAGCGCTATTAAAACTTAATATTAAAGCGCTGCTAGAACTAATATAGCCAGCCCTAGCTAAACTTTAGAGGAGGTAGATGTTAATACTTATTAATCTATAGCTAGATCTTATGTGCTTTTTTAAGAAGTAAGTTGCTAGTAATATAGGCTCTGTAAGCTTTTATTAACTAGAACTACTAGAAGAGTATTAAGTTAAGGATTAGCTAATTACTAGTTGTACATTACACTACTAATAAAGGCTGCTAAGAGAGATTAGGTTAGTTAATATTATTAAACACACTACTTAGCAACTTAGAGACTGTTAACTAACTAATTTTATAGTTATACTACTATAAAAACTACTATATATAGTTTTTATAGTGTAGTTAAGGTGTTTAACTTTTATACTAGCTTTTAAAAGCTTTGCGCTGTTCTTTTATAATCCTGCAAGCTATTGCTTGTTAATTTTAGTAAAGTAATATTTTAGTGTTTTGCAGCTAATATATTAGAGGGTAAGGTATTAATTAATTTGTATAGGGGGATAATTAAGGCACAAAAAAATTATTGCAATATTAAGGTTATTAGCTTAGCAGGTGATTGGCTTGGCGGGGTTTGACTGTATATAGGTAATGCTAGGGTAAGCACTAGCACTAGCGGTTGTCTCTAGCCTAGCCTAAACCTCTATAAGCGAGAGAAGGCCACGTGGTTGACTGTGCCGACCTCGTTACATTAGGTGTGTAAGCAACTTGCCTATAGTGTACATTATTGTTACAATATCCACTCGATGGTCACGTGCTAATGAGGACGTGCTTCGAGTGCGCGGGCCTAGGTTATGTTATAGCGTTAGAGTTATAGATAGGCTTAGTCGGGGTGTGCAGTCCCAACGTGCAACCTATAAGAGTATAGAAGAATTCAGGCTAATTATAGTTTATCCCTTAGTGCTGTATAACAAGTAGGAAAATAATCTTGTTAAGATAATAATTAGAGTGTGTATATGTTGTAAGATATATAAGAGTAATAAATGTCTTTAAAAACAGTTATAGCTTACTTAGTTTTATTATAAAGATAAAACTAAACTTTAATTATAACCTTCTAACTATAGTTAAGATTAAGACTATATACCTGTAGTAGTAACTGTTCTGCCTATAGTAACTGTTATCCTGTGATGGCGGTCGCTGCAGTCGCTGTAGTTAACTACAGTCAAACCCCGCCAAGCTAATAGGAATCCAGCCACGTTAATTTAATCGCCTTACTAAGGGTATTAGCTTACTAGAGTTGCTAAGATGTGTCTTAGCAATAATTTAATTATATAAGCTAACTATCTAGTGTTTGTTAGCGCTAATGTTAAGCCTTGTAGGCTTAATATTGCCTCTCTAGGCGCTTAAGTTAGCAGATGTTTGTATTAATTACTATCTCTTAGTGTTGTTAGTATTATAAAAGTAACTAGATAGCCTAAATTACTTAATAAGTTATAAGTAAAAGTATAATTTTACTTTTATCTTTAGCTTAAGCCTTTTTAGTATTAACACTATTATTATGCTTTATAACTATATTTTTAAGCATTTAATCTTTCTTTTTAATATTAGTGTTTTTATTAATTAGATTAAGAAAGTTACTAAGGCTTATTATATCTTATATCTAGCTAGCCTCCTGCGTACAATTGTATAGGCCTAAGAGGTCTAGTTCTAGCTAGAGGGGTAGCTGCAGTACCTGTAGTAGAATAACTGTACTGTAGTAGAAGTAATTATATATTATTAAGCTTAATATATTATCTATTTAAGCAATGTGTAGCTATTAAAGCATGTTTTAAAGTGTAATTATTAATAAAAGGTTATAGCTAGCCTTATACTTTTTTACTATAAATTAAAGCTAGTATTTTTTATAGTAGGTTTTTAGATTCTAGATAATCTCTTAATTAAAA